CAGCTGTGTCAAAAACCCTGAGGTATTCCTGTTCTGGGCCAATCATGGAACTAGACTCAAGTCTCTGGATTCCCGTCAGCATGATTCATGAGGTCTTCATAGACTGCTTCAGGTCTTATGTTGTAATATTACGACGATAAAAAAAATTACTATACAAACATGTAATGAGTTAGAAGATGACACCAATAAAAAACACAATTTCAATAAAGACACAAATTTGAGGAGCAGCTTGACACCCCTGCTTTAGAATGTAAAAACAGCTGCAGTACATTCAAAAGGCTGCAGCTGGAGTCCAGGCTAGAACCAGGAAGTACGATCACATTAGTCCTCGGTCTCTTATGAGCACAGGGACTGGCCTCCTGCTCGTGCCCAGAGTCAGAACTGAAAATGGGGAGGCAGAATTTCAGATTCATGCATCTAAAATCTGGAACAGTTTTCTTGAAATGAAAGACAGGCTTCTACTCTTTTAAAACCAAGTTCAAAACCGTTGTTTAGCTGTGCATACAACTGAGGGATTTTATCTTTAATTTGTTTTCATGTACGGTAATAATTCATTATTTTAATGCCTTGTGTGATTGTTTTGTTTTTTGTTTTGTTCAGAACTTTCAGTTGCCTTGTGTATGAATTGAATGTTTTTGAGCATCAATATATTTCAAAAAAGGTAAATAGATTATATGAGAGCAATGCATGCATTTTCCAGAGAGGGTTGGGTAAAGGTGGGGATGGTGGAATTATCTTTTTGCTTCTGATCAGAGAAAATCTAAAAATAAAGGAGAACAGGATAACATGTTTAGTACCCTGGCTCCCAGGTCTATTGTGACGAGCAGGGTTAAACTGAACTTCACCTGGTGCTACATCAACTGTATGAAAAGTAATTTATAAATCCAGATTGAAAGTATCACATAGCCATATGGCCTATGATCCATTTTCCATATGGTCGTTTAAGGTCTGTGGGCTTTTTATTTGAAATTCACTATAGCATATATATATTTGCAGTTTTTTTTAAGGATGTCCATTTAAGGATGTCCATCCAATGACATCTTGATATATAATCTTCATATGTATGAGGTATGTGATTATAAGGCAGGAGGTGACAACCTTGTTGACCAGTGTGAAACGGCAGCTACTGTCCACCAGAGCGGGTTCCTTGGTATTAATTAAAGATGTAGCTTGGCCAGTGACAGAGCTACCGACAAGATGAAGTGAGTGAGACTTTGCTGTGTGACAACTGCTGACAAGTTCAGAGTCCGGCAGCCCCCTCTTCAACCTCGCCTTCATAATCAAGCTGTCAGTGAGATCTGCTGGTACCACACTTGTTTATGAAAGTATTAATAACGCAACATTATAATTCAAAAATAAAGGATGGCGTCACAGTGCAACAGGTGCAGTAAAACAGTAGCAGCCACAGGCAGAGCTCTGTAGATGCTGCTGTTGAGTATAAAATGAAAAAATGCTTAAATCTAAACATGATTGTTGACACAATTGCATATGAATCAAAATATGCAATTTGCACAACTAGTAGAAAATTTCAATTGTTGATAGATATTTTTGTAAGAGTTTCTTTGTTTCACAAAGCTCTTGGTATTTTTGAGGGTTTCTGTATTGAATTGAATTCCATAAATTAATTGGTTCAGATGTTATTTTCAAGCATGCCATTATTGGTGTTGGTTTTTTAAGAAAGAGACTATTTTTATTCCGTCACACATCAGGTTCTATAAATCAGACATTACATCTCAGTCTTAATCTGGCCCCATTTACAGGAGCGTTTCCAGTCAGATGTTTGGCCTCTGTCCCCAACACTTCCAACTTCTATTGGGACAAACGCATGACTGTGCTCATGTCAGGAGTTATTAGATGCACAGAGGTCATTCAAGATGATACATTATTTCATTATGACAGCATTGGAATAATTCTAAGCAGCCAGATTCTTACGAATGCAAAAGTACGATATTTTTCACTTTTCCACTAGAAAACGGATGATTGTACCCACTGGACCACAGAAGTTTTATGGATAATGCCTAACGATTGGACTATTCATAAAAATTATGAAAATGAATAATACAGAATGTTTATTAATATCAATGGTACGAGAATTATCAATTCGAATCACAATTTAATTATCAAATTTCAAACATGCAACAAAATTGTGTGTCACAAACAAACACATTTTGCAAGTAGACCAAAGATTTCCATGATGATATAGCGACACAGCAGCCTGCAAGATTGACACTGTCCTCATATAGAATCACAATAATGTTGAATTCATGTACTTTGGAATCTCTATTTATCTCTACTTGCAATTTTCCAGGATTTTCCAAAGTGTTTCATCTTCACAAACAACACCAAACTGATGAATGACAAATATTATTTGCAATAAAAAACTGAGATTAAAAACTGAGATTTTAGACTTAAAGAATCAAATGAAAACGACTAAACCATATGAACAACATTCTGATGAAAAACCATTTTGTCTGCAAGTAAATACAATCAATGTCATCAAGTGGCATTTCTCTAGCTTTATCAGTGTCAAAGTAGAGAGAAATCGTAGGGAATCTAAATAACAAATCAGTTTCAGCAGGGAAAAGATCTGCTTGAATGCTGCTTCCTGTGGCCCTCAATAGCTGCCAGCCATTACTACCCTTGTAAATATAATACAGTTTCTATAAAGGGCTGTTTACATTCTGCACGTCCCGTCTCCAGTGCAGTGAGAACACGTGACACCACACTCGAGCTGTCACAGACGTGCTGACAGACCCCCGCCGTATTTAGCGGAGGACAAACAAAAGCATCAGGTCGTGTGTACTGGCTTGTCCAACTCTAAATAGAAGAGCTAACATTGTTCTGAAGCGCTGATGGTGAAACTCTTGGGAGCATGGAGTCATCAAACTGAGACTCTAATCCATGAAAACATAGTTAACATAAAGTTTATGGCAAATTAATTCACAGAAACATGATACAAAGTAATCTTTAGAATAATGTATTAGAGTAGACTGATTGCAAAAAGTTTTCTATAAATTTCTGGCAATAAAATGATTATTCATTTCATCCAGTTACACAATGTAGCCCACAAAAAAGTATGGTTTATATTTTCTACCAATCCTCTAATTACATCCTCTTTTATAAAACATTATGAGATCCTTTATTCGTCTGACAGTGGTGAATTTTCAGTGTTGCATCAGCAGTTACAGAACAGTCAGAACGTGGAACACACAGTACTAGAAACAGTATATTAATAATGACTCTATACTAAATAAAATAACATTTTTAAAAAATCTTTAGCAGCAGTATTATTAACTGGATTAACAGAAATACAGTCAACTCTGTACTGATTCTTTTTTTCAAAGGGCAAAAGAGACAAGCTATCAACGAGGGTCAAATCTATTTGCACCCCGTGTGAATGTTTTAGAGTTTCTAAAGAGCTTAGTCACAGTGAGACCAGGATGTTTTGCCAAAGCACAAAAAGAGCCCTTTATGCTCCACTTGCACCAAACATCACTTGGTGCAGCACAAGTTATATTTCCTTGTGTAATACATAATTTGATGGTGACCTAAAAATAGACTGTGATACTTGGTCTACTGGGATAATCCATGGAGGTTAGAAGGACAATAGGAAGGTCTGGAAATAGAGTAAGTTAGAGTACGTTTTTGGAGATGCAGTATTTTCTCCATTGTGAGATCAATAAAGTTATGTTCCAAAAATGAACTTCACACAATAGGACAAAAGATACTTGTTTTTTGTTTTTTTCTCAATAAAAGTCCATGTAAATAAGATGGAATACACAAAGAAATATATAGTTCTGACTTTCAAATTAAAATAGGAAATAAAGGTAGTATGTAGAAATGATTAAATGGGGTATATCTTATTTTGAAAAGAGACATCAGTTCAGTCTTCTGCACTAAAATGAACTTATGAACTGCTTTCCTCATCAGTGAGAATCCCCATTTTATGATTTTGGCTAGGTTCACTCACTCACTGTACAATATACAAAGGTTAAAAACATACAGTCTACAAAAGGCACAGACAGGTTGTCCTTCACAGTCTACTGACAATTCTCAAAGCAACCGCTGACCAGAGCTCTGCGGCCTGCAGCCAGTCCAGCCTTTATAACAAGCACATTTCCACTGCCAATGCAAGTCTCAACAATACAACAATTTTAATGAGGCTTAACTTGTAAAAGATTTCAAACTCCAATAATATTACATAAGTGCCCGAAAATGAATCGTGCAGGCTTTTCATGCAGAATCGGTTATAAACGTTTATGTTCTCAATAATTAAACGGAGTCAATACATTTATTACCAAGCAGGCTTCATAAGTATTGTTGTTTAGGGTTAGGCTTCCAGCTGAATGGGTTCAATTAATGGTAAACACAACTTTTTACTGAACGTGATTTCAAAATCTGAATCAAAACTAGATGATTACGCAAATCTTTAATTAAAGTTACAAATTCCAAAATGTATACTTCACTATGTCCTTGGAATTTGCTTCAACATGCAACACTTGTTGAGGACCTTTATTGTCTGACTGTTTCCACAAAACCAGACCAAATGTATTTTAAAACTGCTTGACATCCGGCATGGCTGTCTGTAGAGCTGCCTCTATTGTGGCAAACAATACAATCATTAATACTCTATTTTCTATTCTAAATAGATAATGTACTCTATGCTGTCAAAATACATGTGCGAAATGAATCCACATAATCAAGTTTGATTTGATGTTTTGTGACACTTTCAGATCAGAAAAGTGCTTATGCTTCAGAATTTAAAGTTTGTAGTTACATATTAGCTTTTTATTTATTTTTTTTATTTATTTTTTAGATATTGGATGTGAGGATGTGCAGGACTATTAAAATCAATAACAAATATAAATAAAGGAAAAATACTGGGAAACGTTTGTGGGAAGCCAGGTCGCTGTATATAAAGTGTCCTGGATGCAGGAGATCATAAAGCCATTCTGCTACTCATACTATGTTGTGTGCTATTTTGTTGTTGTTGGGGTCACCTGTTGAGGAGCGTCCCGAACAGCAGTCGAAAGGTTCTCTGGATGTTTTCGGTGCAGAGCCAGCTCCACTGCTCTCTCATCAGCAGACACAGGATGTTCAGGGTCACCTCGGCCAACGGCATCTCAGAAACTGCATCAAGACAACACAAGTTCAAATGCGTCCAGCTGACAGTGCCTCCCACAGCTTTAGTCGTATTGCCCCCATGTGGACAACTGTACGCACTGCCAGATTAGAGTTATACTGTATAATTACTCATATTAGGAGGTCCTTTCCCACTGCAGTTATATATGTATATTCAAAAAATTAATGGTCACTTTTTCATTGGAAACAAGCATGTGCTACCATTAGGCTTAAGTCATCTCTGAGAAGAGGCGAATCTTCTCACTGTGATAAAATCTGTTTTGTAAGCGAATTGAAGTAAGTGAAGTAATGTTTATTTAATGAAGATTATATATGTTTTAAACCCAACCAAGAAACATATGAGGCAAAGCAATAATATCTCTATTGAAAGAAGTGAGTATGTATGTATGCATTCATACATACTTTTAAGCATTGGCTGTGATTGACTGTGGACATTTATGGTTATGTTATACACTGGTTGAATTGTGCTATACAAATAAACTTGCCTTGCCTTGCCTTGGTAGAAGTATTTCATATTGGCACAAAATATGACAATATACAAATTATGTAGAAGCAGTAGGAAGCCGTTCTCTAAAACTGAACCGTGAAGTAATTGAATATAAAAATTGTCTAGAAGCGTGGCTAATCGCTTTGAACCAGCAAACATAAAAGCTTCACACTTATTTGCTTTTATGTTGTGTCGTCATGTTCAAAGTAACTCACTCTTTCTCATAATGTAAGGAGTAGAAAGCACAGATATTTGTGTTTAAAAGTGAGGAGTAAAAGGAAAGAGTTGTTGCTATCCAAGTAAAGTAAATATTCGAGGAAAAAATTATACAGTATATGAGTAACAATACGTTTTACTTTTATGTACTTGCCACATCTGCAGTGAGTGGTTTGTCAGATGGCCATTGGGAAGTTTTGTAGGGGTCTTATGATCTGTGGTTTGGAGTTTCCAACATTGTCACTCTATTTACTGGAAGTTTCTAAATAAAAATATATTAAAATTGGACATTAGGCTTTTTAATTGTGTTTTTGTGTGTTTTTTTAAAGTATGTAGAAATTATTATTCGATTTGCTATTCTTTTTTTTTCTTTCTTTTCCTTTCTTTGTTATTGTTGAACTATAAAGCTTATATCCACCCGAATGGAGGCTGGAAGTGAACTGAAAGTGACTAACTTAAGTCCTAGAGGAAGTTGGGCGACGGAGCGGGCGGTGAGTCATGTGGTTGTTCAGACAGAAAATCAAGGCAGAAAAATCAAGATTAGTTGCAGAAGAGTTAAGAGCTAAAACTGGAAATTGAGCGCCACAGTCAGCTGCAATCAAACCTGTTTCATACATGCCATTAAACCCAAAGACTTTAATGTTAATGAGCTCTTACCAGATTCATCATTGGACTTCATTCTTGTGTCCATATTTGAAGAATGTGTTGTGTCTGACACTGTAGGGCTGTCAGCTGTAAAGGAGTCTTGTCTTATGGCCATTTTCTCACGCTCACCGATGAAGGCTTCCAAATCTTCCAATGTCATTCCGTTGAAAACCTGAAATATGAAACTAAGCATGACTTGTGAAAAAAAAAAAATCCCTGCGAATGTTTGAATTTTGTTTTCCATTCTCATTTACACAAATACTCATGACATTAGAATATCTAAATCGTTTTATTGTCACCCGTAATGACAATATTAGCTACAATGTTCGTTTTTTTTCTAATCATACATACACAGATGATTTGGCAACGTTGAGACATTTTGGCTCAGATGAAAAGGCCATCCACCATCATCTTGTGATATGAGATGGCACTTTGAGGTGATGCAGTTAAATTAATTATGAGATTTGAAAAGTGAAAACTAAATGACTATAAACCATTGGTGACATAAATTATATCTATGAAGCAGAGATAATGACTAAATGTCTAGTTTAAAGCAATATAATGAATGGAATAGAAATATGTTCAAGTCTCAAAGACGACATACATTGCCGTTCTGGTCGACGCTGAACAGAGGCGTTGGTCTGACATCTGAGCCGTTCATAAGTGGAACGCTCTTGGAAGAAAACTTCAGTCGCGACCTGGTGAATACATATCATTTTGTAAGTATTCAAAATCAGTGTTATTCATTCTTATTTTATACTGTATAGTGTCTTTTTACAGCACATCTAAAAATTATCAAATTTCAAGTACAATATTAGACATATTTTATTTTTTCACCCATTGTGCCAAAGTAGATACAATATAATAATAATAATAATACTAATAAAAAATTAAAAAAGGGCTTGGGCTAGCTTTAATTTACAGATACAGATATTTTGTCAAACAAATCTACAGCCAGTGCCATACAGAGAAAAGAAAAAGAAAGAAAACGAAAAAATAACAATAATAATTAAAAATTATATATTTTTATTTTTGTACTTGTTTTTCTTGTCAGTTACAATTCTTAAACCGTCGGCCTCATCAGTATCGTCTGTGGGACTCTGAGGCTCCGAACGAGGGAAAGCTGTTTTAAGTGTGTCGACGATAGCATTCACCACAATCTAAAAAAACATTGTGTTACAAACAGGTGTCATATATCAAAAGAAAATTAAAAAAGCTATAATTAATAACCTTATCGATACGAGATGTTATAAAAGGCTTTTTCACAAAGGCAATTCTGGCATCTGTGTTTAGAGCCAGAAACTCCTGCATCTCCTCACTGTTGGCTATTTCAGGGATGGCACAGAGTTGCTGAAAAATAAATATATTTAATGACTATATTCAATAAATACACTAAAACTACTCGAATATCCAGACCTTCAAAAATGTCTCCAGTAATCCCTTCCTCGCCTCTATCTTGTCAGTGTCCATGTTCCCAAAAGGCATGTCGGGAAAAATTTTCTTTGGGCCCTTCACCCCTGCCAATATATTTGCATTAACAAACAAAAATCTAAAAGTGTGATTTGTTCTACATGAACAATTCCTGTACCTTTGATGAGCTTCCTGAGATCAGCCCTCTCCTCCAGCCGTGTTTGAAGGTTGAGAAACTCGCTGTATCTCCTGTTGACCATGTGGTAGGCGATCTGAACCGGCGACTGAACGTCAGAGCCGTTCTGCTCTACGGCCTCCTCAGAGATCGGAGTCATGTTCTCCTGGTTTTCACATCCCACAGCAGTCTCATACTAGGACCACAAAATGAATAGGCCATAATAAATACATAATTATTCCTTGTAATAATTTTGCTGAAACCTATTATTAACCTCCAATAGAGTCCTTGTCTCAGGTATCTGCACTTGCTTCCTGTGGTTCAAAAACTACTGTCAACTTAAAGCTGGGGTGCCTAACTTTTAGTTCAATAAAGAACACATTTTGATTAGCCCAACAGAAAGAGTATGACCAATTACACAGGTTAGACCCTGTAAACATGAGATATTGTAATACTAAAGTTGTGTTATGGTTCCTAATTAAACTGGGACCTTACTTTGATAGTGTAGAGGGTGTAGGGGTGTGAGCCGGTGCCACGGTGCTCCTTGGCCGTAATGGTGCCGGTAATGCGGAGGTTCTGGATCATCACTGGTCCTTCGGGGCTGGACAGGGGCTCAAAACTGAACGAGCCCATAGGAGATGTCACCTGGGATGGACTCACTACACTCAGCTCATTTGGACTTGTCAGTCCACTTTGTTCCACTCCTAGAAGGAGATCTCTCGATAAAAAAGCCTCCTTATCAACATTGCTGGTTGTGCCTTCAACCGTTTTCAGTAATAAACTCCCAATTGCGTCCTCTACAGGCTGCGAATTCACCAAAACTTTCGGGCAAACGGCGTCTATTGCATTTGTGTAAACGTCTTCTTCCAAGTTATTTTTACTGCTATCTTTATACTTGTCACCGGTGCCATTCTCCTGACCAAACATATCCAAAGAATCAATGGGGCTCTGATGATAGTCAGTCAACGGTGAGTCCAAATCAGAATCGGTTTCTTGGTAAAAGGGATTTAATTTGCTTTCTCGTAGGTAGTGTCTCAGAAAGGGCTGTGCTGGCTCATCATCTTCTGTGTTTTGCACAGCATCTAGTTCGTCTGAGTCAATCTCAAAATACGCAGGCAGCTCTGGTGAGGCCATCTCTGCATTTGTGGGTACTTGATTAAATGTTACCGCCTCTGTATTAATACTTTGCTGTTGTTCGAGTGGAGATTCAGCAGGAGAGGGTTTTGATTCAGTAGATGACAAAGGTGATGTTGGGGTTTGTGTGTTTTCTTCAATGCCATCTACTTGCGTGCTATGTTTTCCAAATAATTGAATCACAAATAGGTTTAACCAGTCAGGGTCGGACAGTTGATCTACCAGAGGAAGCATTACATTGCAAGTAATAAGCTCGCCAACGACAAAGCGACCACTGCGGGTTTCTAAGTGAGGAGATGGCACCAAAACGTGTAGAATTAAATCTACCACGGCCCTCATGTAGTTTATCTCCAAGCCTTTACTGCTCATGGCCACATGTGGTGCTGTGGTGCTGGTGTACGCTCGCCACATCCTCTCGCTGTCCCATTTGACACATCGTTGCTGCTGAGGCACAAGCTGTTTGGCTTTCAGCATATCTTGCAAGTGGCATCCGAAGAGATCCAGAATTCTCAGCGTCAAATCCTACAAAGAAATACAGGTTCAGATGTGCATTCATATGAATTGTAAAAGCAGGGGTACCTAACTTCCAAAACAAAAACATGTAATATAATAAAATCCATTCAAAATCCAATTGAGTTGAAATTTGAATTGAATGTATTTTTGGCCTCATCTTTAGATTAGAACAACATCCTCAGTCAGCCAATCAGGTCTTGACCCAAGGCGTCATGTAGTGACACCATTGACTGTAAATATTAATGGATGTAGTCACGCCTATCTCCACCGTTCAAGCAAATGGGCCAAAAAATGTGCTCTACTGGAGCTATCCAAAATGGCCGCGAGTGGTCCCGCCCACAAGAAAATTGCGAAAAAACGCATCTGCGCATGCGTCAGCCGGCGCAGCTCCATTCATTTAAACGAGTCACTTCAAAAATTCACAGCGAGTAAACTAGAGTGGTCCATAAAAAATCACTCCCCTCAGCATTGACACACATGTGGAACGGAGCTTTGGGCCAAGAGCCAACTTTTGGACCATCCTGTAAAGGTGTTTTTGAGAGGTAAGAAGATGCTATATGTTAGCATTGGCTAATTCTTATTCCGGGTCCACTCCCATCGGCCCGGGGTGGTATTGCAAGCATGTCAGCGCATGTCATTTTGGCCACTTTTGAGCCGGGACCTGCTCCACTGAGTGACACACAGGCCTGTTTCTTAAGTATGCATGTAAAAGATGACATGTTTTCTAATAAGATGGCAACTTTAATAATGATAACATAAGGACCAAAGTGCATAGTGTGTAAAGTACATGCAAGACAAAATGTTAATTTTTGTGAATATACCAATTTGGGTACATCAATTGAAAAAAAATATGAATACGTGTTAGTAGGGTTATTTATAGCATTACAGTTGTGTCAATCAACCTATTTCGCTTTATATGTTCAGTCTGATGCAGCAAACTTTATAGATGTGTGTAACCCTGGTCTGTGAAAGTGCTGTGAGACAGGCCTCCTCTCTGACAATGTTTAAAACCAGGTTAAAAACGGTTCTGTTTAGCTGTGCATACAACTGAGGGATTTTATATTTTTATCTTTCTTTTTAATGTACTGTGATTATTTATGATTTTAATGCTTTCTTGTTTTGTTCAGCACTTTGAGTTGCCTTGTGTATGAATTGTGCTATACAAATAAACCTGCCTTGCCTTGCCTTGCCTGTTTAAAATAAGATGTCTTCCTAACATACTAATGATATGACTGTCATTAGCTTTGATTTCTCCTATGGTTTTTATAATACCTTTCTGTCCACTTGTCGTGCTCGTCGTTTGAGCTCCATGGACATAGAGATCATAGCGTTGTGAACACCATATTCAAACGCGTTCTCCGTGGACACTGTGGAGTACCAGGACGTCACAAAGTCTCGAACAATCTTCTTCACAGTGTGGTGGATTTCTCGGTCCAGCTGCTCCTCATCCTCCTCAGATGGAGAAATCTGTTATTGAATAAATAATGAAAACAAGAATAAAGTCTGATTAATGTCTATCTTATTTATTTGCCTTTTAAAATGCTGATTCACTGTTTATGCCTTGGGGTATTGACTTCACTGCATAAAAGGACAAAAACCAGAACATTAGATTTCATACATTTATGGCACGCTTGATTTTAAATTTATATGATGTGGGGGAAGATTAGAAGTTGTACCAGACACTGTAGACCAGGGATTTTTTTTTTAATTCATGTCTTTGAAACACATAAATTCAGATTATTTATGGTTTACTGATAAATTACACATCAGTTCTTTGCTGCAGGCTACTCAACACAAAACAAAGAACTCCAGGTTCTCCCAAAACCAAAACGAATTTGAATGATGAAAAGCAACAGTGTCCAAAGCAAATAAATCAATTAGTCCTATCAATGATCAGATCATTTCTGACCTAAATGTATTCTTACATCAAAGAACACTATTGTATGTGTCCTTTTTGAACTCTTCCCATCCTAAACATTGCATCAAAATCCATGTAAAAAAATACATTACTTCCAGTCAAAATGACTTTGTATACAAAATATATAAATGGGTGACAGTAGCTCAGTTGGTAGAGAATTGGCCTTTGAGCCAGAAGGTTGTGGGTTTGAGCCCACCTCAAGACTTTCACCATCGACTCCCACTGTCTGCTGTCGTTGTGTCCTTGGCAAGACACTTAACCTCTGGGAACACCAGCCACAGTGGGGCGGCTGCGGCTGTAAAGTGCCAAACTGCCGTTGTGTCCTTGGGCAAGACACTTTACCCCCATTGCCTAGAATGAGTCTGGTGTGTGTTTGTGAATGGTTGGTGGTGGTTGGAGGGGCCGATGGGCAGCTGTGGCTACAGTAGTAGTTCATCACCACTGTCTATGGAGTAAAAGAATGATGACATGTAAAGCGTCTTTGAGTGTCCATAAAAGCGCTATATAAAACTGATACAATATTATTATTATTAAAAAGCTCCTCTGGTTGCTCCGGTTTCACTGAAAACATGTACAATGGTGCTCCAGTTTCATTAAAGATATGCACAATGTGATTACGGAAAACTATCTTTGTTTCCCTGCTTGACTGCATCAGTTGCTGTTCTTTAATACACACTTTCCCATTTAATTACAAAGAGTGCCTTGGTAAAGTGTCTGGACAACACTTTGCAAAGTTTAAACTAATGTTTATTTTTTTACTGAAAGATTACAACAGTCACCAAACAGGAGGCGCATGCCAGCCCTTTTCCGACCGGGATTCGAACCCAAGACATTCTTGCTGAGAAGTAAGAGTGCTATATTCTTAAAAATTTTATGAACATAATGTACATAATATAGATAATAAGATTTTCAAACAAATTATCCAATGAGGGAGCAGAAAGAGTCTTTCATTTGGGTTGCAAATTTGTAAGGGGAAGAAAGAGGATGGATGGAGGGAATCTTTTCTTTAGCACTACACATATTTGTGCATTTTACATAAGGTGTCTTTGATATGGAAATTAAATATGTTGTTAATATATGTAAAAAAATTAAATAATATCTTCCCCCAGATGTCCCATACCTAATATCAATATTGCAAATAGTGATGCTTCTCCCTACAAAAATCACAAAACTAACATTTGATCTTGATGAAACTCTGTACCTGCTCCATTGTGATAAACCTCTCGAGGTGGAGGACAGTGTTGGAGTCGAGTGCAGCCTGGGAGCCCAGCCAGCCCCCGAGCACCACGAGGAGACTGGTGAAGACACAAAGCAGCCAGATGTTTACAAACAAGTGGAAGAGCACGAGCCAGGCCAGCAGCACACCCACTCCCAGCAGGCTCCTCTGTCCCAGCACTTCAGCCATGGCTCAGCGCTGCAGTGTCTTCAGGTTCAGGAACACAGGCATCTTCCACTAGAATAGACATATTTGCAATTGATTATTAATTGCAAGAAAGGGACAGACATAAAGCAGCAAACTGTCTGGCTATTTATATATATATAAAAAACAAAGAAAACAACAACTTTTTAATAGGAAACACGTAGGCCACGTGAGGAGATGGAGATTGTTGCTGGCAGTAAGAATGTGTTCTCCTTATTTGCTGCAATTAAACAATGATGTATTTATTGAGGGTGGTTGACACGCGCATAATGACCCAATTTCCTCAAATATCAAAAATAGATAGCCTTTATGTGTAATTCTTTGAGTTGATTAAAGCATAGCATATTATAAAACACAAAATCCTGAGGCGAATGGCCCAGATCACATCCATCCAGAGCCGGATGATGAAGACGCTTGATAGCAGTGAAAGTAGGGCGTTTCTGGACGGAGAGAAAGCAGCTTGCAGCTTAGAGCGTGGAACCCTGTTGACAGATTACTGTAATAACTGCGTAACAGAAGCGTAACTTTCAGAGATGCAGATGATGAAAAACAAGCTGCGTAGGAGAACTAGTGGAATGAACATACCGCTTCGTGCAGCTGTTTTTACACACGTCTATAGTCGATCGTTTCACAAATACATAACTACACAAACTCCTTCATAAACACCGGGATCTGTATCAATCTTGTGTGTACTATACAAACAAAGGGTTCATGAAAAGATCAATAATCTACAGATAAAATTCATACACGACAAAGACATCACAACATAAAAATAAACGTTTTGACTCAATCTCAAGTCTCTGATAGAATGTAACATTGACAAATATGTTCACATTACTTTTGGGGGAAATCAGAAACGTCCCACCTGTTCTGTAATAAATCCAGCAGAATCCTTTCTTGAGCCTTTTTGCCTTTTTGGATGAAGCTTTTTCCTACGATTGTTTACTTCCGTGTTGGTGACGTCATGGCAGCGAAAACACTTTCAATTCGCTGAAAGTCTTTTTTTTTTTTTTTCATGAGTTTCAGAATAATACATCATTTCAAAGCTCCTTCGTGTAACGTTTTAGCGAGATAAATCAATACCAAGAGCCAGATTGCTGGATTCTGTCCTCTTCACAAACTAATCTCTCTCCTGGAAGAGTGTTTTCAATGCAAAAACACGTCTCCATGGACAATCATTATAATAGTATTTTTAGATTTCTTCCACCATGGAACTGTGGAGGTGACAACATCCAAATAAAGTAACCAGGTTTTGCTTTTTAAGATGAATAATATTATACTATTTATCTTGAGTTTGTCCAGTTTTCCCAATTTTGGAAAAGTCTACTTAGCGAAAGAAACCTTATTTTCTCCAAAAGTAAGGATCAATTCTTCACTGAGAGCATAGTTGCCACAGACCTGATTTGACCTCCACATGTTTGTTTCAATAGAAATATTGTTCAAGGCTGTGATCCTGGTGTTAAACTTCCACAATATTAAATGTATAATTCAGTGTATATAGAGAATACATGTATACATTAAATGCATAACAGAGAATATAGATTTATATTAGACTATTTATTGCTTAAATTTATACCATGGATGTGATTTTACACCTCCAGAAATGTGCATGTTATTGCTTTTAATTGTTTACTCTTGGATCAGATTATATTGTTTGTTATGCAATATGCAATATTTGCAATATTTTTACTTTTCACTTTCTATTCTATCAATTTATCTGGCACTTAAATAGAAAATAATAAGTGGGATTGTCAACTGGTCATACACACTTCATGAGGCATCAAAAACATTATCCATTAACATGACTGACCCCTGTTAATTTAGAGACTTCGGTTTTACTAGAACGAAAAGTTGAAATATATTGAAACTACCTCAGAAACTCAGCATAAAAGATGTGACAGAGATAAGAATCCAGCATGAGCTATGGGAAGGTAAGCCTTTAAAATTGTACAGAAAGAAAATGAATACCACAAAATTATCATAGCCTTGAGCATTCTACAGAGAGAATAAAGACACTTTCTTTGCATTTGCATCATTGATGCAGGTAAGGCTATTATTCAAAAATAGGATTTTGGGTTTACCCCTATTACATAATTTCAGAAATTTCAGAAAGTCAGTGGTCAGATGCCCTAATCACGAGAAATACCACACTAGTTCTTGCTTTCAGTTTTTAATACACTGAGATTTTTGTGGATGAGTGGAGTGAAGGAAGTTCTGAAACACTGAATAATGTCTTAAAAGTGAAGCAAAATATACTATGTATAAACAGTGACATTCTGTTTACATAATTGATCTATACATTTACATTTATGCCAGATTTGTGGCATAAATGTGAATTTATGGGCGACACGGTGGCTGAGTGGATAGCACTCTCGCCTCTCAGCAAGAAGGTCCTGGATTCGAATCCCGGTTGGACCAGGGCCTTTCTGAGTGGAGTTTACATGTTCTCCCCGTGTCTGCGTAGGTTTCCTCCGGGTACTCCGGTTTCCCCTACCACTAAAAAACATGCACAATAGATCTGGCATGTGCCCCCGCTCAAAAATAACAATTGTAAACTGCTTCGAGACCCTAACCCTAACCCTAACCCTGACCTTCCTGATAGATATTGTTGTCTACCAGGGAGACTATTGTAAAAAGACTTCAAATTGTTTCAGACTAAGTGACAAGTATAAAGACAGAAGGCTCCTCATAGTTTAAATGTGATGCAATCATAACTGTAAAAAATAACAATTCAAAAAACAATGGTATATTTTTTCAGTAAGAGAAAGTCCTCAAATGTTTCATAAAACCGTATATACATCACTATTATGTTTTTTTAGATCAATTTTATCAAACAAATTGAGTTGGGAAGTGGTGTAAATGATTATGCTGACTCTAGGATTAGTGTGGAGATGTCTGGTTTCATTTTCCCAGATATAAAACCCAACGTAAAGAGAAGAGACTGAGCAGAAGGAGCCGCTGGAACTCTGTGAGGTATGCCACATCTTTTATTATTATTCTTATTATTAATTCAAGACAAACTGTAACAAAAAAGCCTGCATCAATTGTTCTTTTTTTGTTTCTTATCCTTAAATGTCCAATCAGAATTCTGTATCCCCAATGCTTGAATTGGGTTGATTTGAATATTATACCAATGCTGCGCCCTTTGAAGCCTAGATTGCATTATCAAGTTGCACTATGTATCAGTATAATGAAATCAATTAACCAATATATTGGTTGAATCTTTGTATTGTCTACTCTATTAAAACATTTTCCCTCAAAAATGAAAAATGAGGACCTGAAAAAAGATATATACAAATATGAATAGAAATGAGTTTCCTCCCTGTGGAGTCAAATGAGCTTCTTCCCTCCTAAGTCAAAGACATTGAAATGCAAGATGATGAGAGCAGTGCACCGGTACAACCTCGCTAATCTGATTTGTTCAGAATGGGTGAGTCCGAGCCCTTGTGGGAAAGTATTTCTGGGAGACTTGAGGAAAATGACACCATTTTCACATTAGTTTAGATTAGAGCTGTGACCACAGACGGTGAACGGTATTTGTATTTATTAGTTGTTTTAAGTCATGCCTAGATCTGCTCGTGATGAAACTTTACCTTTGCTTCAGGTGAGTGGCAGATCCAGTGATTTTCTGGATTTTTTTAACCTTCGAAGTAGCTGTGGGTAAAATTATGCCTTCAAAATGTGATGCTTTTACATTCAATGACAATGTTGAAGCTTATTGTTTGTTTTTTCAGGCTTCATTGTCTTCTAACAGAGTCAATGACACCTGGACTAAAGCAACTGTTTTGAGGTCTGTCCAGAAGATGACGCTGTGCAAGTTCTGTAAGTAGTATTTTTACATTCGTAATTTGTCTTAGTTAATGGTAAATAGGGATTCAAATGTTTCTGTTTCCTTATCAGTTGTATACATAACAAAATGATAAAGCTATAGCATTATCTCAATCAACAAAATAATATAACTATAGCGTATGCATTAAAATCCATCTCACTAGTTTCTCGCCTGCAACAAAGGTTGGTTCTAACATTAGTTTTCACATGCATGTATTTTGGCATCAAATCTTTAGATCAGGTTTTTCAGAAAGAAGAGTGAAAAAGACACCCTCACTCAAAAGCATCAAATGTGACTCAAGGGGCTATTTATTGTATGCAAAAGTATTCAGAAGATGTTGTGGTCGGATTTATTTACACATTACTTTCACAAGACTTTCTGGACAAACTTACCAAATGAGAACGTTAGGTACACCAGCTTTAATGAGCTTCTAAAAGTATGTGGACTGGACTTGAACAATTTTGACGTAATGTTGTCTATTTGTATATCCATTTCTTCCAGTGCCCGTGCCATTATTGGTGGTTGGTGTGGTTGTCTTTGCTGTGAGTGGAACCATCGGGGACCCTCTCCTTGATTGCCTCATGGACTCAGACTACAACGAGCTCCTAACCTTGGTGCAGACTGGACTCCCCATGTCCCGGACCCCTAGACACGTGGCCATCATCGGAGGGGGCATGGCTGGACTTACTGCTGCCATGTTTTTAGAACGAGCTGGACATAAGGTACAGCTCACAGCTTCTAAAAAAAAACCCAAATAAAACATCTCAGAAAAATACAATATCATAGAAATGTATTAATCATCGACATTATAACAAACAAAGGCTTGAAATACGTCACTTTACCTGCAATGAGTCTATTGCGTATATTGGTTTAGATTATATGTGGGATTACAGAAATACATTTTTGAACAATATTGACATTTTCTGAGATTCACCTGTACACATCAGCTCTATAAAAATATTGAAATAATCTTCTTATTTGAGTGAAGGAATACGCTTTAATATACACTTAAGGGTAAAAAAGGAAAACTAGTAAAAACATTTTAAGCATCGAGAATGTGACGGCTAACCACAACTAAATAACTTAGAACCTGTTTTTATTTATTATGACCATTTTATAGTAACTTGTCATTTTAAAATGTAAGGTTTAATGTGTTTAGATTGGATTTAAAACAGAAGGATTTTAGAAATATAACCCTAACCCTAAGTAGTAAAGTAAAGTATGTATATTATACTTTACATTATACGCAAACATACTTACTTGCCGACTCTGCTTCTCTCTAAAATAGTATTGTGAATTTCTTCTCAAAGCTTCCTTATGTCTCATACTGGTAAAATTTACAAATAATATTGTATAGTTTTGGGTATTTTCTTCAACCTTCTGCTTGCCAGCATGTAACTTGAATTTTGATTGTGGCGTATAGGTCACAATAATTGAAGCCAGTAACAGGATCGGAGGTCGGGTTCAGACGTTCAGAAACACAAGGGAGGGCTGGTACGCAGAAATGGGCGCCATGCGGATCCCAAACTTTCACAAGTAAGAAACTGCAATTACTGGAAAATAAATAAATGTAATATCAAGAATACAAATAATAAATATATCATACTCTGTAGTAAGTAAATGTATAGAATAGATTAAGATCCCTGAAAGAAACAACACAGAAGTAATTTAGTCCCCAATACTGCAGTTATAACATGGTATTGGTATTACTTTAGTTTATACTGTACTTGTTATTTTATATATTTTCCATAAAACAAGGGTAGAATTTCATGACATCCCCTCATGCACAACCCTGCACATTTTGTTTTTTATTTATTCTTAAATAAATATTAATTTGATTTAAATGTGTTTTCTACAGTGTTAGTATTATTACTCTATTGTTTTAATATACTGTGAATTTTCTTTCAATGATCCAATAAGTCCCATTTCCTTCACAGAATTCTTCTGACCTTTTTATCAAAGTTCCAAATTCCGTTGAATACTTTCATCCAAAACGACATCAACAGCTACTATTTGATAAATGACATGCTCCTGAAAACGTATGCTGTGGATAATGACCCCAGAGTCCTGAACTACACACTGAGTGACAATGAGAGGGGGAAATCTGCAACTACTCTCTTTACGCAGGCTCTTTGGAAGGTCAGTAATGTTAACTCTATACTTCATAACAGTATTTTTCATCTTGGTCCTGATAGGGTTAATGAAAGTGTTTCTTGCGTCATTTAGGTGAGAGCTGACCTCGCGTCTATGGGCTGCAGTGCCATGATAAACAAATATGATTCCTACACAGTGAAGGTGAGGACATCAATTGACAAAAAATCCGGTTTCAAAGGTGGTTCACCGGCAGCAGGTTCTCATCTCAAGCACATGGAAAGATCTACAGAATAAAAAGTAATGAATTATCAGAGTAAAAATGTGTTTTAATAATAAAACAACTCTGCAAAGGCGTGGTACAAAATCTGTTAAGAAGCCTAATAGTGCTGATTTACCATGGCAAGATTTGGTTGTAAACTCTTGAAAAAAACAAAGTTATTGGGGTAACTGCATTTTTTCACATGAAAATTAGAATCTTTATAACCTTATAATAAACTTGGCCGTACAAGAGACACCATCAATGCAAAATTATAAAATACTTTAATCAGCAAACTTCAATAATAGCAGTGCTAGTACTATGTATTGATGATACTATATGATTCCTGGCAGGAGTACCTGGTGAAAGAGGGGAACCTCAGTCGTGGAGCCCTGAGGATGATCGGAGACATCCTGAATGAAAACAGTCTGTTCTACATGTCTTTGGTGGAGATGCTCTACATACAGTCTGACATTGGAGACAATATAGAGTAAGTATGGTTTGACGAAATGAAAACATTACATACTGTATACATCCAGTGCATTGCGTTTTTCTTAAGGCAAAATCCTTGACATGATGTTCAATTTGGAAACATAATTTGTCTTTTGCTGCTATCAAATTATTTGAAAATAAAAAGGAAGTTAATTAATCACAACTAATGGATTATCAAAGTAGATTTAAGGGTTTAAAAAAAAACAAAAAATTAAACAAACATGCTGAGAAGAGGCTTTATGGCCTTTCTATAATGACTGCAGATAATCAAACAACCAAACTGTAACGAGAAAAAGTAAAACCAATATTTGCTGACCTCTTAAGAGCTAAGCGAAACTGCAACCTTATTGATTAACTGTTGATTATCAAATGACATAATGTGACTTTACATGAGCATTCAAAGAAACACAATGCAACCATTTCAAGTCTTTTTTTGTTTTGCATCTTTCAACTAATTATTTTATTTTAGGTATTTTGAAATTACGGGTGGCTTTGAAAACCTTCCACGAGCCTTTTTCAACATCCTAAACGCAACCATCCTCCTCAATTCCAAAGTCAAAGGGATCCATCAGACAGGCAGCGGCGTCACAGTGACATATGAGGACGGGCGCAGGCTGGGTTCCATCAACAATCTGACAGTGGACTACGCTCTGGTCACCACCACCGCTAAAGCCACACTCTTCATCGACTTCCAGCCTCGGCTTTCTGGCGTCAAAATGGAGGCTTTGCGATCGGTCCATTACGCCAGCTCCACCAAAGTCATCCTCAGCTTCAGTGAGCGCTTCTGGGAGCAGGAAGGCATCAGAGGGGGGAAGAGTATCACAGACAGAATATCTCGATTCATATACTATCCCAGCCACACGTTCCCTGATACTGCAGCAGGAGCACTACTCGCATCCTACACCTGCTCAGACGACTCCACTCTTTTCCAAGGCATGAATGATGACCTTCTGATGGCGGAGGTGCTGAATGACCTGGTCAAGATCCACGGAGAGTACATCAGGCCTTTATGGACAGGGGGGCTGGTGAAAAAGTGGGGGTTGGACCCTTATAGTCTGGGTGCGTTTGCTCTTTTCACACCCTACCAGCAAGGGCAGTATGCCAGTGAACTGTTCCACAATGAGGGGAGAGTGCACTTTGCAGGGGAGCACACAGCCGTGCCTCATGGCTGGATTGAAACAGCAATGAAGTCTGCCATAAGAGCAGCAAAAAACATCAACAGTCAAACACTTTAGGCATCTAAGAGACTCATGTTGACTTTTAGTATTTAGCTGGGAAGATGGAGTAAGTACCTAACTTTGAAACTACAAAAAAACTCAAAGTCCATCTTAACTAGTTCTCTATAACTAGTTTTCACATTCATGTACAAGTCACTTATCAGTGAAAATCCCCCACTCAATAAATCAATTTCAGAATGTATTTTTTTTATAATAATAGAATGTGGTGGTCTGATGTTTGTGAAATGTTACACAAGATTCTTCCTTTTGTGACAAACAAAATATATACATGAAAGAAAGAAAAAGTTAGGTAGTCCAGTTTTAAAAAGTCTGTTGTGTGAATAGGGCAATAAGCCAGTTTATTTACTACTGTGTTGTATATAAACAAATAGTAATTTACCTAATTTTCTTAAACAAAATTACAGCATTTAGTCACGGAAAAATATTGTCTTTCAAATTGGTTGTTTCCCAAAACAAAACTTTTTTTTCTTAAGTTTTTCTTTTTCCATTTTTTATTAAAATAAATCAAATATAAACAAGAACCATATCAAACAATATTTCTTTGGAGTAATATTTTAATCATGGATTATTGTATTGGAATCTTTTTTAGCAGCACCCCAGAGAATATACCAAATAGGCGAAGATAAATAATCTGGTCAAGCTTTCATCAGAATTTACCGAGGTTCATGTCATAATGAAATCTTCACAATTTTACATCAAGGTTATGAATCATATTGTCCAATAACTCCTATTACAGTAGAGTCCATTAATGTGTTCCTTTCTGAACCATCTGCGTGAATCGGTTGGTTATGTTCAACGTGGTGTCAATGAATCTCTCCACACAGCTCACTAGACACGTCTCAGTTCTGTAGTCCAACTTTGAGCCTGGAGTGTCCACGCACTTGTCCCAGCAGACGTCCGTGAAACTGTGCACCTAAAACAACAGTACACATTTAGTGATAATAAGGGCTCCAGAACCTTAATTACACTTCTGTCAGTGTGCCCCAGGTCAGCAGTTGCTACAATATAAGTGTATTATCATTGTGTATGGAGTGAATGAATAATGACATGTGAAGGGTCTTTGACTGTATTGATGCATTAATAATATTATTATTCTATTACATTTAATTAAAAATAACATTGTCAACTAAAATGTTAGACTGTGACCAGCCAGACCCACACAATTCTTCCTTCACATATCTCAGAATGCAAAGGGTCTGGCTGGTCAGTCTACTATAATGAGATCTTTGACTGATTTCAAACTTAATATGGATAATTGTTTTTACCCAACCCCCCCAAAACTTTCCAACAACTTGGAAAAGGATTTTTTCATTTGCCAAAATCTATATCCAAGTATAAATATGAAATAATGATTGGATAGAATAAATAAATGCAAGGATAAAATTGCCCATTTCCTACACATTGGGTCAGTCCTTGAATTTGGCTCCAAAAAAATAATACTAAGGATTCTGTTATGCATAGTATAAAAAGGCAGAAATCCTATTTTTCACATAGTAATAAAATAGTGATCATGTACCATCACCAGGTCTCCCCATACACCCTTTCTTACAAGAACAGACATGCAATACTAGGAGATTGGTATCGAAATCAGGATAACGAGGAGAGGTGCTGATAATGTAAAAGATCACAACGCTACAACATGGGCTGCTAGGCTATCAAACTACGTTACAAACCTGTGCTTGGAACTGCGCTTTCTGCTGCTCTATGGCGATCATGCGCTGCAGCTCGGTCGCCTCTGCCTTTTCCGACGCGCTCAGGTTATCAAAATTATCCATGTTGATACAATAAAGCGATTATAAAACCCTTTACTTGCAGAAATGTGCTTATAAGTGTGACCTTCGGTTTACGTGCAGGGGGTTCTGCCGTAATCGTGAAATACCGCTGATATATAAAGCATGGTACAGCGTGCTGCTCTGACCATAGCCAGCCAGAGCGGACCCGATTGTTATCCAGTTATTTGCAGATCAGCGTAGACGGTACGTGCAGGAAATAGCTTGTACATAGATGGTTGGTTTGGAACAAGATAGTTATGGCTCTCTTCAAGCTATAACTTGACGAGAGCCAACATGAACGGAAAACTCACAAAAACGTGTAACCTGTGTAACATGTGGAAGCAAATGTAGAAAACAAGATATGTGCCCAAAATATGCCAAAATATCCAAACATTTAATTAAAAAAAAACACCTTCAAGCAGTGAGCAATGTCAATAAAATAAGAAGTAGAACATATATGTGTCTTATATTTCATTTAGCTTTATATTTTCATCAATCGCGCTTTCACCAGGTTAGAGTGAATGGGCCAATTGAGCAAAAAAATCAGAAGCAAAATACATAAGGAAGGTTCTTTTTCCAATTATCATAAATGTATAAAATTAGAAGATGATTTAGAGTAATTACATTATTTGTGCATATATACCGTAGCGTTATATCATAGCAGACAAAGGCAGAGTGGTTGTTTACATTTTTTAGAAAACGCATTTCATTACACATAATTCTCTTGTTCTGTTTTGTTAATCTTTGACTCAAGGGGCTCACAGACTACTTCCGGGCTGAGCTGGTGACCTTGCCGAGTGTGCATCATGGCGTCTATTGTCAGGTTGAGTTCTGTGTGTCGCAGAGGAGTTAAACGTGAGTTCGGTGTCAATTTTAGGCTGTCTTTTGCTCTTATAGCTGTAGGTTGGTGTATATTTGGGTATGTGTTGTATCCCCACGTTTGGTCGAGGTCCCAACGCCAGTCGAGAAATCACGGGGAGTACAGAGATGGTAACCGTCTCAAGTTCACCGCCCTTGTCCGAAATCCGGGCACAACAAACATATAAACTTACCTCCTGTTTAATTTTAAATTTAATCCCTATTTGCTCCTTAGTGACGCTAAATGATGTATTGCATGCGTGTAAATAGCGGTGTGGATGGACCATACATGGACACGATTTTGAAATTCCTCTCAGACATTTCAAAATCTGAGAGGAATTTTGAAATGTCGATATAATGTTAACATATGATGTGTTCACGTACATTTGGCGCTCGATTTCGATAAACTCACCGTTACTTATAATCTAAGTAAAGTTCATTTAAGGCCTGTACTGTAGTTTTCTCTGTCGCCCTCCCCTGTCTAGTGTTAATGTGGCAGCCTACCAAGACTTCTCACAAGTCTATCACGTGATGATCTTGTTTTCATAGTAAATGTTGATTCTGTTTGACGCCTACATTGTTTGACTTTAAGCTACGGTACCCAACTTTTTATTCTTCATAGATTGCAATATATATATATTTTTTTTTTTTGAGAAAAAACTTACAAAGTAAAAGTTTGAACAAATCAGACCACATCATATAATCTGGTTTTATTATATCTTTTTTATACTCGTTAGAAAGTCCTTTTTGAGGTACTATTTGACAATTTGGTTGGGAGTTAATGTAGGTGACGTGGTTTTCTCTCATTTCTCTTTGAAATAGCTGATTTTAAGATGTAATGTATGCAAACTTTTATAATAGCTACTGGTTGGATGGATTATTACATTGTTCATTTATTGTGGTTCTCACGGCACGGTGGCTGAGTGGATAGCACTCTCGCCTCTCAGCAAGAAGGTCCTGGGTTCAAATCCCGGTCGGACCAGGGCCTTTCTGAGTGGAGTTTGCATGTTCTCCCCGTGTCTGCGTAGGTTTCCTCCGGTTTCCCCTACCACTAAAAATATGTCCAATAGTTCTGACATGCGCTTCCTGTACTGGCAACCCTGCTCCCATCTCTGTGTGGAGTGAGAGACAAATGCCCAAAATTAACAATTGTAAACCGCTTTGAGACTCAGATCTGCAGTGAAAAGGCGGTATATAAATAAAAACTTACTTACTTACTTACATACACACTTGAACGTTTAGGTTTGTTTTAACCTATTTTTGCTGTTTAATTTTCTTCCATATTATCTAGATAACAAACCTCCCATTCCTTCTCTAATTGCTCGTTTTATGTTTGTCTTAATCAGCTCTGTTCTTCCAAACGACGTTGCTAGCCAGACCGCTGGTTGTCCCGCACCATTACCAGGAGCAGCCACACCAGCTCACGGCAAAGATCCATGCATCTCAAGCTCTGTATGGTGAGTAGTAAATTGAATGAGAATGACTGTTGTAAACCATCAACCTGGGGCAGAAGTCAATTGAAGTAAGAAATAACCACAGTGTGATCTAGTAAGAGATGATTTAGAAATGGGCTCATTTGATAATAGTAAGCCCTATTGTTGGTTGTCTTGGCGAGTTACAGCTTAATAACCAGAAGGGTCTTGTCTCTCCACTACAGCCGGCTCTGGCTCTAAAGCTGCCTCCATGCACTGGACAGCAGAGCGTGTCTTGAGCATTGTGCTACTGGCCATGGGTCCTGTGGCCTATTATCAACCTGGTCCGGTCATTGACTATTCCCTGGCTGCAGCACTCACTCTTCATGGTCACTGGTAAGTCCCTATATTTGTTACCTGAAACTTGAGATGAGACTGTGGCCTGCTCTCAGTCATGGCCGAAATGGTCAGTAGTAACCTGTATGTGGCTTTCTGTTCCCCATTTGGTTTTGTTTTTCATTTTTGTGCATTAGGTCCTGTATGTTTGTCCTAATTTTAAATGGGATTTTCTTTTGTTGGCTAGGCTGTCTTTTTTGTGTATTTTCATAGGTTTATGGAAGAACAAAGTGGCTAATTGTAACTTTGGTAAGCTGCCATTTGAGATTGGCCAGAAGCTTCCTCGTGTCTACATCAATTGCATGAATACTGTACATTGTTCAAGTATGAGATAAACCTCTCCACACCCACTAATGGAGTGACATATATCAAAAAGGAATATTAAAGTAACTAGTTATTGTTTCTTTTAATTTAGGAATAACTTGTGTATATATTCAATACATAATTAATTTAAATTCTTAACTTTCAAGGTCAAATGTAATTGTAATTATGACCCAATGATTATATACTTGCTCTAGTGTGAATAATTTAAACTTATCGTGGATGAAAAAAAAGAAGCTTTAAACACTTGGAACTGATGCCACTTAAAGAAAAAAATATAGGTTAAAGGATTATATGCATGTATCGCATGTGTTGGTTACTAAAAGTATGTCATCAATTCAAAGACGCAAGTCTTCTCTGCCGAGGGGAGGTGCTCATCACTCACTGCGGTCACTCAGTCTGTACAAGCGGTATTATAGTTGGGTGCTAAAAAGTTTCAAAACTGCGAACCAACATATCCATCGCAGCCTCCACGGTTAGAGTCGGAAAGAATATAAAAAGGCGAGCAAGATGTTGACAAAAAACAACGCAGAAAGTAGAAAAGGCAGCAATAGCATTCACACATGTTTGGCCAAATACAGTAGGTAATTTGCGGCAGAATTCTTACTTTACAAATTACAGACATGGCACATTCGCAGGTAATACGAATCCCTTACAAATAGGGTTCATAAGATAAACAGACAAGGATTTTTTTTATGCCAAATGAGTGCCTTTTAGCCATCAGTCTGATTATAACTTTTTACTGTAAAGTAGTTACAAATCTGTAAATAAAAATAAAGTTATTAAAGAGTTATTTTCTTCCTTTTCTGTTGTAAAATAGTTTACATAAATCCTAATCACTGATTCAAAGAGCTTTGGATCAGTGTTTAAATACTGTGTTTGAAAAGAAATTTAATCCAAAAAACCTTTTACTGCAAATGTTTTGTATTTTGATGTTCTTTCTAGGGGCCTTGGTCAGGTGTTGACAGACTACGTTCACGGAGAGGCAAAGATCAAGATGGCCAATGCAGGACTCTTCCTTCTGTCCACAGTCACTTTTGCAGGTCTTTGCTACTTCAACTACCACGATGTGGGCATCTGTAAAGCTGTGGCACTCCTATGGAGCAAATAGACTCTGGACAGATAGCAGTGAGGGCAGTGCTACCGTCTCTGCTTATTGTAAAAATGGAAGGTGTTCTATGTAAATTGTTATAAATATATATTATGAAAACATGGCATTGATTTCGGGTGTATAATTGTGATACAATATTGCCATAATAGCTGTACACTATATATAAACTTCATTCCTTCCCGTGGCCGAGCAGCGAATGTAAAATTGCTCTGGATTCTGATCATCACCAGATGTCTGACTTGCATTCAGCAGTGAACAAATCAAACCTGCCGCTAGATTACTAGAAATAGATTTGGATGTTGTGATCCAATGATCTTTTATCCATCGTTTCTTACTAAAAAATATGTAACTTTCTATACATTTTTCCTCGACGCACAATATGCTCCTCTGCTCATGCTTTTTGGAAACTATCATTAACCAGTCTGTTTTCTATTCACTTGTGACTCTTCCAAAGAAGTAATATTTACAGCACATCTTGTTTAAAGATGACATTTAAGAGGGATTTGGCGTTCTTGCTTATGCCCATCAGAAAGTGTATGTGACCCTGAACAGTTTCTTCATTTGAGGGAAATGATCAACTTCCTGCAGACAAGGTGTGAACTTCTGTCAATCCAAACCACAAGCTGCGGTGTGGGGTGATCCGAGAAATTCACATAACTGAAGCGAGAAAAGGAACCGATCAAAAAGGTCATTGTTGAGCCTGGGAGGCTGAACCCACAACCCTAGATATGTGACCACATCCTGCGTCACTAATGAAACAAAAGTAACTTCAATATTACACACAAAATAGAATTGTTATAGCTTGTTTATTTCATTCTTTTTCCAGACCCTAAAACACTTCTGTGCACTGTCAAATGTTTGTCATCTGTTTTTTTTCCTATTCAGGGGTGCATAGTCTTACTATGGAGTTGTTCATTAGAATCCACAAGAAGAATAAAACATGAATTGGATGCAAATGTTCCCTTTGTCTTTAAAGCAGTTTGTGAATTAAAGTCACTGTAAGATTCCTTGAAACTGGCACACGACCTCCATGTTGGAAACCAGAGAGATGAGTCTTGTATTTTGTGTGAAATCTTGCATGCTAGGGCTTTAAAGTAATTCAAAAATTAACAGCTTTGATATGATTTGACTGTTCTTTGTGTACAAAAGTGTTGATAAATTTCATATCATCCTCACGGCAATAAAAGTGTTCAAACAAAATACACATCAGTGATTTGATAATTCATTAGAACATTGTGCATCATTTGCATATTTGCAGTAAGCATGATACACAAATTAGAGTAATTTGAGGTTCGATATTAGCTTAATTAAAAAAAACATAATGGATGGAATATTCGTTCCACAGTGGGGAGATTTCATCGTTGCGCACATTACAGCCGAGATACAAGGAAATAGCGCAGTCAGCTCGCACACAGAGTATATGATGATAGACAATAGAACTAAAATAGTAAGATAATACGGTGTTAAAATTGAATAAAATCAAACTCTGAACTTATACTTGCGCTTGATTCAGAAGTATTTACAGACGTGTATATTGTACTTAAGCAGAGGAGAATATGAGAAGAATAATAGAAAAAATATCAGCAGTAAAGTATATATATTTTACATGAATATAATGGTGTTTTCTCTCATTACTTGATGTGAAATGTGTCACATTGATCCTCAGGGTCGTAAGGACATAAAATCAACTTGGTTGAATCAGCTTCATCAAATCCTATGACTTTGTTTGGATACAAGGAGGACCGAAACTGGTATCTGTGCGGCTGCTGATTCTGAACCATGTAGAACAAAGCTTTATGTTGCGAGGCCTCAATACGATCCTGAAGCTGCAAAAAAACAATGTCAAGTTGTGATAGGCCGTTGTGACTGAATCTAGGCTGTTTCTCAATCCAAAGGTTAGAATCTTCCCTATAACTTAACAACCGTGATATAAAATGTGATTAACATTTTATTTTATTTGCACCATGAATTTGCCTTTTTTAACTTATACTGATATCATCTTCATCACAACCTATAACAAAATCACAACCTATTGATGAACGATAATGTTTGGAGTGCACTGTGGGCTAGATTTACAAATGGTAACATCAATATGAGGTCCAATCAAACAGTGTGTAGTATCCCATGACTCACCGCAATTTCTTCTGCACTGATTTCCTTTTCATTTTTGCAAACTGCTGCATACTTTCGGTCATCTTTGAGGACGTACAGCATGACTGCCCGGCCACAGATTGACTGCTGGCTTAAGTCCTTATATATGTTAATATAACATTTGTAATCTAAAAAAGAGAGAAAAGGCACATTATACAGAAAAACACAAATTATTATTTCTCACAATCTCCTGTATTACTTGAGCAACTTTGCTGTTGAATATTGAGGTCTTTGAGATCAAACTGATTTTCCTCATTTAAAATTAAAAACTTGTTGTCAGGGCTCCGGACCAACTTTGGTGATGCCATAGACCATTTAAATGCGTCCGAATCTTTGAAAAGAAATAAAGAGAAGATGGTGTCAAATGATTATTTATTTTATCTAAGACATTTGGCTTACCTAATTCGTCTTCCCCGCAAAGGTCTGAATGAAAAACAAATGACAGATACATTTTTGTAATGACCTAAATTATGATGTAAAATAGATTACCATCGAAGTAGAAATGATTGTCCTTTAGGTCCAGAAATGTAAGAAGAGCTCCATCACTTGACGCCATTTATAAAAGCTGTGTAGAAACAGTCACACATATGTCAAGTAAATATTCCTTGTGCCTAACTCGAGTTTAAGTAGACCCCTTTTGACCCTAAATTAGGTCTAAATGAACCAGGGCTAGTCAAGTCAGGAAAAATCATAAAAATTCATCTCGGGTATTTTAGGGTATTTTTAATCACTGTGGCAGGTGAATTTGACGCGAGGATTGCGCCAGGGTTAAACAAACAAGTCAACTTCACGATCTAAGAAAAGAACCCCTGATTTTTATACAACATACCGACTTGTCATTCATTTGCCTGTCTAATGCACACTGACAACTTGGAATCCTACATTGATTAGAAGAGTGATAACATGTTTAGAACAAAGGACGTTTAGTGAATGCATTTATAACATTAGTATGACTTCGACTCAGCTTGTTCTGTTTCAAAATAATGAGGAATTTAGACCAACACTAAAGCGATCGTGCTATAGTCAAATAGGTCCGAGTGCGCCACCACCCTAGGCCGAGGCGCAGTCGTAAACGCGCAGGTGAAGGTATGACAGAGGGCAGGAGTCATATAGCTTGGAGAGATAAGACTCTTATATCAAGGCGCTAGTATCTTCTCCAAGACAGGGTGTCGTGCTGGGACTTTACGCCATTGTTCAACTAAACCCAAAAACCAATTCAAATCAAAAGTCAAATGAAGGAGATGAATGTATTCTTACCTTTTCCCGTTTCCTCAGAGACAGAAGAGCGCGCGAGTTCTGTTTGAACCTTGTCTGTCTTCCGCCCGCACTGGACAGGAAGCACAACGTGGATGGGTTGTATAACTTGTATGAAGAAGTCAGGGAAGTTTAGAAGACGTCGTATATGATCACTTAAACCTTATGAAGCTACCACGTACCCAGCAAACAATCACCAGGAAGGTTATAGTAGGGGAGTAGTTTTTTTGGACTGGGGGGCGGGATTTATGACAGCTCTAGTCTTCATTTAAAGGCTTCCTCTTGCTCAGATTGACACCGGACAGTAATATGTTTTATGGTATTCTGTTACCTCAGAGTAGACTACTGTACACTAAATGTAGACCTTTACACGTGCAAAAATACCAAATCCAGAAGCACCAGCTTCCACAGTGGGGCAACCAATCTGTCAGTGTTGTCCTGAAGCAAGATACTTTGGAAGACTCATCATTCTGTATGTGTATGTGCCGTGGTGGTGCATTCATTGGTGGTGGTCAGACTGCTTGATGGCACGCACTAGTTGTCTTGGAGCCGTGGCTGCAGTAGTCTTTTTTCACACCGTTGATAGTAAATGAACAGTACATGAATAATGCAATTGAAGAGATAGATGATGTTCAGTTTTGACTTGATATTTTCATCTTTCCACTTTTGCCAAAACATAAATTACACACTTCACTGTTCCTTCAACACAAATGGGTAAATTTGGTTTTCATTTGCTTAGTTAGTTTTCGTTTTTCTCCTTCTCTCTCTCATACACACACACACCCACGCTCTCTCACATAAATCCTGTAGAATAGTGCTGACGTCACAGATCTGTCTATTACTCAACTCTGAGCTCTACATAATTCTTATTTAGATAGGAAAGCCATAAAGCAAGTCACAGAGAAGTCAAGCAGGCAGATATGTCTAAGACACTCTGTTTGAACTGTCGATGCACTCGTTTACAATCGCCATAAGCCACCCCACATCTCGTCTGTGCACTGTACAAGAAGATTGTGCTGATTCAATGTTTAGAGACAAGCATGTGTGACTTGACTTAAGCCAGTGGTCTTTGATACATTTGAAGACCGTCAAGAACATTGCCTCAAGCTCATTCCATAAGCTCATAATGAAAATAAAACACTATTCCTGCTCATCAACATTTATAAGAGATGTAGAGGTTTCTGCATTATGTTACGAAAAACATTTATTTGAATTTTCTATTGAATTTTACAGAGTGAAAAATTTTCCTAGGATAAAAAAAATCTAGAAAATAACTCAATTTCACTATTAAAGACAAACCAGGGTGTAAAACAGTATATACAGTACAGACCAAAAGTACAGCACAGACACTTTCTCATTCAAAGAGTTTTCTTTATTTTCATGACTATGAAAATTGTAGATTCACACTGGAGGCATCAAAACTATGAATTAACTTGTGTGGAATTATGTACGTACTAAAAAAAAAGTATGAAACAACTGAAAATATGTCTTATTCTAGGTTCTTCAAAGTAGCACCTTTTGCACTGGTCACTGCTTCTCACACTCTTGGCATTCTCTTGATGAGCTTTAAGAGGTCGTTACCTGAAATAGTCCTCCAACAGTCTTGAAGGAGTTTCCAGATATGCTTAGCACTTGCTGGCCCTTTTACCTCCACTCTGTGGTCCAGCTCACCCCAAAACCATCTGGATTGGGTTCTGGTCCAGTAACTGTGGAGGCCAGGTCATCTGGCCCACCACTCTCCTTCTTGGTCAAATAGCCCTTACACAGCCTGGGTGTTAATCTACAGTCAATAGTCATAAAAAGAAAGGAAACTCATTGAATGAGAAAGTGTGTCCAAACTTTTGGTCTGTACTGTACATTTGTAGGGAAAAACAAATTAAACAATTTGTTTATCTAAAATGTGAATATAATACACCTAAGGAAAAGCATGCAAGATGCTCAGAATTGACGGAAATTGAAGATCAGTTTAGTATTAGCATTAGTTTGTGCTACTGCATCGTCCCTTCAGATGTCATAAGAACATAGTGTCCAAGTATTGTGCAATGAAAATCTCTGGATAACAGAAGTAAAACATATATTTTTTCCATTTACATTTAACATAATGAATGACACAAAATGTAATTTTTTATACAAATCCTAAATCAAATAATAAAAAATAGCAACATTTCTGATAAATGCGCTTGTGTAGTGCAGGACATATGACTGCTGTCATATGTCAAATCAGGCGAGTTCTACCTGAAGCAAGGGAGTTTACATGAGGAGTGCATATGTTTGGACAGAGTCTGATATCTTTGGTATTTTTTTGTCTAGCCTTGATCTCTCTTTATTAATGTCTATAGACCTTTGTGTTCAAAAGACAGCTTAATTATGATGATAATAATAATAGTATACAGTGCCTTGCGAAAGTATTCCCTTGAACCTTTCAACATTTTGCCACATTTCAGGCTTCAAACATAAAGATATAAAAAATATTTTTTTTGTCAAGAATCAACAACAAGTGGGACACAATCGTGAAGTAGAACAAAATTCATTGGATAATTTAAACTTTTTCAACAAATAAAAAACTGAAAAGTGGGGCGTGCAATATTATTCGGCCCCCATGCGCTAATACTTTGTAGCGCCACCTTTTGCTGCAATTACAGCTGCAAGTTGCTTGGGGTATGTCTATCAGTTTTGCACATCGAGAGACTGGAATTCTTGCCCATTCTTCCTTGCAAAACAGCTCGAGCTCAGTGAGGTTGGATGGAGAGCGTTTGTGAACAGCAGTCTTCAGCTCTTTCCACAGATTCTCGATTGGATTCAGGTCTGGACTTTGACTTGGCCATTCTAACACCTGGATACGTCTATTTGTGAACCATTCCATTGTAGATTTGGCTTTATGTTTTGGATCATTGTCCTGTTGGAAGATAAATCTCCGTCCCAGTCTCAGGTCTTTTGAAGACTCCAACAGGTTTTCTTCCCGAATGGTCCTGTATTTGGCTCCATCCATCTTCCCATCAATTTTAGTAAGTAAGTAAGTAAGTAAAGTTTATTTATAAAGCGCTTTTCACAGATAAAAATCACAAAGTGCTGTACAGGACAGTGGGCAAATACAAACAATATAAAATACACTTACACACATTACACATTTTATGTACTTAAAAGTGACATCAGTGAGAACCCAATCAACTAAAAGCTTTCTTAAATAAATAAGTCTTCAAGCCTTTTTTGAAAGAGTCCGCAGAGTCGACCAGACGTAGGGACAGGGGCAGGGCGTTCCACAGTCTGGGGGCAACAGACTGAAAAGACCGGTCCCCTCGAGTCTTATAATGGGTTTTGGGGACCACAAGCAGGTTCTGGCCAGAGGACCGGAGAGAACGGCCAGAGGAGTACAGGCTCAAAAGGTTCAGGATGTACTGGGGGGCCTGACCATTTAAGGCTCTGAAGGTCAGCACTAAGATCTTAAAATCAATCCTGAATTTGACTGGGAGCCAATGAAGAACAGACAGAACAGGAGTGATATGGGACCTACGAGGGGCACCTGTTAAAAGTCTAGCAGCAGAATTTTGAACAATTTGAAGTTGATTGAGTGCAGACTTATTCAAGCAGGTAAAAACAGAGTTGCAATAGTCAATTTTAGCCATCTTCCCTGTCCCTGCTGAAGAAAAGCAGGCCCAAACCATGATGCTGCCACCACCATGTTTGACAGTGGGGATGGTGTGTTCAGGGTGATGAGCTGTGTTGCTTTTACGCCAAACATATCGTTTTGCATTGTGGCCAAAAAGTTCGATTTTGGTTTCATCTGACCAGAGCACCTTCTTCCACATGATTGCTGTGTCTCCCAGGTGGCTTGTGGCAAACTTTAAACAAGACTTTTTATGGATATCTTTGAGAAATGGCTTTCTTCTTGCCACTCTTCCATAAAGGCCAGATTTGTGCAGTGCACGACTGATTGTTGTCCTATGGACAGACTCTCCCACCTCAGCTGTAGTTATCTGCAGTTCATCCAGAGTGATCATGGGCCTCTTGGCTGCATCTCTGATCAGTCTTCTCCTTGTTTGAGATGAAAGTTTGGAGGGACGGCCGGGTCTTGGTAGATTTGCAGTGGTCTGATACTCCTTCCATTTCAATATAATTTCTTGCACAGTGCTCCTTGAGATGTTTAAAGCTTGGGAAATCTTTTTCCAAATCCGGCTTTGAACTTCTACACAACAGTATCTCGGACCTGCCTGGTATGTTCCTTTGTCTTCATGGTTCTCTCTGCGCTTTAAACAGAACCCTGAGACTTTCAAAGAGCAGGTGCATTTATACGGAGACTTGATTACACACAGGTGCATTCTATTTATCATCATCAGTCATTTAGGACAACATTGGATCATTCAAAGATCCTCACTGAACTTCTGGACTGAGTTTGCTGCACTGAAAGTAAAGGGGCCGAACAATATTGCACGCCCCACTTTTCAGTTTTTTATTTGTAATTTTTTTTTAAATAAATTTCGTTCCACTTCACGATTGTGTCCCACTTGTTGTTGATTCTTGACAAAAAATTCAATTTTTATATCTTTATGTTTGAAGCCTGAAATGTGGCAAAATGTTGAAAGGCTCAATACTTTCGCAAGGCACTGTACCAAATTACTTTTCATAATGGGGTTATCTAAAGGTGAGCATCAGCCTGAACAGGTTGGCCTACAAACGTATCAGATAAGAGCTGTCAGATCTTGGCTCATGATCAGTTCAGTTCGGTTTATTATATACATATACTGTAAAACAATACACCTTCAATCAATTAGATAAGACTGCACATTTATAAATGGGATACCCATTTACCAATGTAAAGTGACTCAAAGTCATGTGATTAATAAGAAGGAATAATAATATCATTCTAAGTCTTATTTTTACTCATTTGACCCACAACATGAGAAAAAAAGTGGTTATTTTGATTTCAGTAATTATCTCTGTGAATAAGTTACTGCTTGTTTTATCTTCTGTTCACAAAGTGCGGCTTTTTGAGTCATTGCGTAAGCATTAAATCCACTTATCACAGTATGTTGTGGCACACTGAGGGAGGGTAACTATAAAACCAGAGAGAAGAGACAGTAACAGCCAAAGTAAGTCTTCTTCTGCTAACTCTGCACAAGACACCATCGCCGCTATGGAGACAGAAGTACAGGAAAAGAAACATTCAGGTAGTAGAACTCTCTACTATCAATCGCACACATTTGAAGTATGTGTTGAGTACAAACCTTTTCTTTGATTTTAGATCATACAAAATCAAAGCATTTTACAGATGTGCATGGCCTGCCCTGTATTGAGAAGATTGTGCGCTCTGTTGAAGAAACGCCAGAGCCAATTGAAACCAATATTATTGGCAGAATCCCAGAATGGATCAACGGAAACTTCCTCAGAAATGGACCTGGAAAGTTTGAGATTGGAAATCATAAGTAAGTTATTTTAAAGCAAGAAGTCTCAACAAAACAAGAATAGACAACACATTTCTTACTTTGCACCAGGTTCAATCACTGGTTTGATGGCATGGCTCTACTGCATCAGTTTAAAATTGTAAATGGTGAAGTGACCTACAAAAGCAGATTCTTGTCCAGCAGCAGCTACCAGGCCAACAATGAAACTAACCGAATTGCAGTGTCTGAATTTGGCACAGTGACTATGCCAGACCCATGCAAAAACTTCTTTCAACGCTTCCTGTCACGATTTGAGCTACCAAGTAAGTAATACTCACATCATATTATATATAATGGCACTTTTAATACATTGAAAATAACTAAACAAACCTCAATAAGATAAAAACAACTACAATATAACAATTGATAGCCCTTTATTAGTCCTCTTGAGATTTCAAAATGTATTTTTTTAATGAAAAATAATAATCTAAATTCATTGTAACCAATCCCTCTATCCATTTTGCAGAGCCGACTGACAATGGTAATGTTAGCTTTGTGACATATAAAGGAGATTATTATGTAAGCACCGAAACCAATTTTATGCACAAGGTCGACCCGGATACACTAAATACTGTCAAAAAGGTAAAACTGACAAACTTTACTGAGTTCAGGCCAACAAGATAAAGACTCAGAAACGTCTAACCTTCTCATAGGTGGATTGGAGCAAATTCATAGCTGTAAATGGGGCGACGGCACATCCCCACACGGAGCCTGATGGCACCACATACAACATGGGGAATTCCTACTCCCCTAAAGGTAATTAAAAACATAATCTGTTTGCTTGTTAATGGTTGTGAAATTGAGCTGTTACATGATTGTAGAGATGTAAAGTTGGGTCTCTTTCAGGATCACATTACAACATTATCCGTGTCCCTCCAACCAAGAAAAGTGACACAGAAACTCTAGAGGGAGCCACAGTCCTCTGCTCTATTCCCTCAAAAGATAAAACCAAACCCTCCTACTATCACAGCTTTGGTGAGCCAGATGCACAGTTAACAATTAAGAACAGAATATATTTCTGTGAAGTCCTAACTCTCTAACCTTTTCCAACAGCAATGTCAGAGAACTACGTGGTGTTCATTGAACAGCCCATCAAAATGGACCTGATGAAAATTGTGACAGGGAAGCTGACAGGAAGTAGTATCAGTGACAGCTTTTTTTGGGACCCAAAGGCCAACACAATATTTTACCTCATTAACAAAAAGACTGGAAAAGTGAGTTATTTTACATCACCATCAAAATAAACTGTATCGTCTCATTTCAAATCCAGGATAATGCCTCTATTGTTCTTGATTTCAGGAGAGTTCTGTGAAATACTTAACAGCCCCATTAACGACATTGCATCAAATCAATGCTTATGAAGAAGATGGTTTTTTAATTGTGGACATGTGTGCGTCTGATGATGGCAACGCAATCACTAACTACAATGTGCAAAACCTCCGCAAAAGTGGAGAGGCTCTTGATGAGGTTTGACACATAGCACATAATCCATTTCACTATTTACATGCATTCTTTTGGTCTAATTGAACTTCTTCCATAGGTGTACAACACACTTTGCAGAGTCTTCCCGAGGCGTTTTGTTTTGCCTCTAAAATTAGACAAGGACACTCCATATGACCAGAATTTAAACACAGTTCCTGGCAGCACTGCAACTTGTATTCGTACTTCTAAAAACAAGGTAATTTGATATTATACTATTTAAAACATAGTATTATTTTGTAGCTAAACATACTAACTGAATAGTAACTTGGTTATTACTGTCCAGCTATGACAGTATTTCATCATAGAAAATGGCTATCATAGTTTTGCTTCAATTTGCCTGAATCGTGTATATGTTGTAGGTGTTTTGTACTCATGAGGACTTGCATGGCGAAGAGCTGCATCAGTACGGAGGCCTGGAGTTTCCACAGATCAACTATGGTCATTACAACACCCATCCGTACCGCTATTTCTACGGCTGTGGCTTCAGGCACCTAGTGGGTGATACTCTGCTGAAGATGGACCTGCAAGGAAAGCACATGAAGGTAGCTCTTATTACATATTTGTATTCATCCCCAGATTATGTAACATTTAAAATGCTTACTCACTTCATTGTCAAGGTGTGGGAGGAGCCTGGTTTATACCCATCCGAACCCATCTTTATCCCTTCCCCAAATGCCATGGCTGAGGATGATGGGGTTATTCTGTCTGTAGTGATCACTCCAAATGAGGTCAGTCCAGTATTTTTGAATTTAAGACTTTAGGATTTCAAATTATAATATTGGTATAGGTGTGTAGACATGATCCCATTGTTTAAGTGTGGGGGATTATATAAGTTTTAACAACAATTTTTTTTTCACCCTAAAATAACTTTTTATATGGAGAATTTCCATTGATTTTGTAATCTTATTAACTGAAACATATGATTTGTTTTCTGTTAGGACAAGAGTACATTTCTTCTGGTCTTAGACGCTCAGACGTTCAAAGAACTGGGTAGAGCTGAGGTTCCAGTCAACATTCCTTATGGTTTTCATGGAGCTTTTAACAACAAAGCATAGGATTGTATGAATGTATATAATAGATATGGCATAAATAGAAGACAAGTACTGTTACAGCAGATGTAGTCATATCCTTATATCATTCCAGTGGTTATACAATTTTTGTATTGTATGTAGTATATACTATTATGTTGTAACTTGCCATGGAGATTTGTATGCTATTTCCAGCCAAAAACAATAACTTCTTCAATGCAAAGAACTACGTAGTGCGTGTAATGTTTTGTATTCTTAGTGTGTATTTCTGTAAATATAAATTATGTATAAATACACGTTTTCTAAATCACAATATAAAACAAAATAAAGTGTTAATCATAGAGAGCACCTACCTTACAGACAGTAATACATGTTAAACCCAGATGTAAATATTCCAGTTCAGTAAATAATAGTTTGACAAATTGCATGTATGTTTTTGATGAATGTATACACTATAAGTATTATTTCAATAAAGAATCGTTTTTGGAACTTCATTGCTCTTCATATTTTATTCACAGATATAAAACATATAAGTACGAACACTTAATTCTAAGATGTACACGACAAACTGCATTTTACAGCACAGAAATCTGACACTAGAAAGTATGACATAAAAATAACACAATTCAAGTTTGCTAACCTGCTATCCAATGTTACTGTTCAATTAGTTTGTCAGAAATGAAAGACAGTTTCTCCCTCAGAAGATGTTTCTTCTCCTTAAGATAACCCTCCAGGTTTCGAGCTTCAGTCACGATGCCTTCCAGTTCCTGCATCATGGAAATGTCTGCAGCCGCCTTCTCACTGCCAAAGAGAAAAGCATAGTAAATGCTGTTGTCCAGGGGGTGGCACTGATGCAAAGAAAATGCTATGTTGTGCTAGTATATTACAGTCCATGGCTCAAACATTGACCTAAAATTGTTCTTATTACAATGTCATTGTCTTTTGAAGTAAAAAGAATTCATTATTGATTAATGAATCAATGGCTGCAGACAATTTGAAAAAAATATGTAATTATTCACAGAAACATTTATTTCCAATCATTTATTTATGATTTTTCAATAATGAACAAACAAACACATAGACAAACAAACATAAACCCCTGGAGATCGCCGCAAGAAAAAATAAAATAAACAGTAATAATAATAATAATAAATATAATAAAAATATATTTTTTTTTTCACAGAAACATTTATAGCTTTATTATACTATTGTTATTTACATTGAAATCCCCAATTGTGTTTTAAACGTTTAATAATTGGGACTTAATTCCTAACCCACTATAGATTTTTAGGTGGTGCCTTTTCAGGAATGTTCCACAGTCTATTATAAAGTGAATTATCTATTTTATTATTATTACTATCATTTTTATTGTATACTGTGGCTCAGTTGGTAGAGCATTGGCCTTTGAGCCTCAAGGTCGAGCCCACCACAAGACCCTCACCACCGACGTCTGCGATCGTTGTGTCCTTGGGCAAGGCACTTACCCCACTTTGCCTGAAGTCTCTGTTGAAAGATCAAGGCTATGCTCACACTGACAGAGCTGCCAATCTCCTGTGGACTCCCCACCTGCAAGAGGATCAGTGAGGGGCTGGTGCTCTGTGAAATGGATGGCATCCCTGATTGCCACCTCCCTGACCCAGAAATGGATAAAGGGGTAGACATTACAATGAATATTATCATTCATTCATTCATTAGTCCATTTCTGGGTGAGGGGGTGTCAAGGAGAGATGTCACCCAAAGCTCATAGCACCAGTCCCTCACTGATCCTCTGCAGGTGGTGAGTCCACAGGAAGATGGCTGCTACGTTAATGGTGCCACAGCCTTGGTGTTTTAGCAGGAGCTTTAGGCAATGTGGGGTTAAGTGTCTTGCCCAAGGACACAACGACAGCAGACATTAGTGGGAGTAGGTCCCGAGGTGGGGTCGAACCCACTACCATCAGTCCAACACACTCATCATTTTTTATTTATTATTTATTTAATTATGTTATGATGATTTAGTTGCTCAGACTTTTATTTGACCTACCTTAAAACATCAGCAAAGTTTTTGAAAAGTTGACTGATCACACAGCTTGCATCTGCAAAAGAGTTTGAACAAGATTTGTATAAATGTTGTGACATGAACAAAGACAACAAATAAATAAAATAATATCTATTTAGATATTAGACCTGACTTAGACCAGTAAGCTAAGGTAAAAAGGTGACATTCTAATTTCCAACAGTCTGCGCCTTAACAAATGTTTACTGTGTTAAAACATGTGATTCATTTCTATTGTTATTTTTAACAGTACAGTCGGCTTTTTATAGAATTCTATCACCATACCTACTTGCTAAGAGTTGTCATTTCTACACCATATGAGGACAATACAATATCAAACACTGCTGTTTCACCTTAAACTACTACCTTGAACATAGGAGAATCCAATCCTCCACCCCAATAAGCCCCAACTTGCAGATCTACATTATTTGCATAAATTAAAATGTCTTGTTAATAAGTACAAAGGATATTTGTCATCTAAAAAAGACATGTTTGCAGGTATGTGTATGGTACTGACCAGCAGTTTCAGCTTCTAATAGATGTGCTGGATCCACTGTTGATAGTTTGCAGGATCTTTTTTTAGGTGGGGATTTTTCTACAACAGGTCGAGAATCCATCTAAAGTAAAATCAAAGAAGATGCAATTGTGATAGTTACTTTCATTTACACATTTTTTAATCATTATTCTTTATTATTACTATAGACAAAATTAAAAAAAACAGTCGAGATATGATATATGTGATGAAACGCACAGAATTTCTTGGAATTCCAAGAGGCCACAGGCGAGAAAGTCTTTATTAAGCAATTTAGCAACACTGCGTAAAACTCCTGGTAGTGGACGTGCTTCCTCTATGTCATCAAGAACACCTACTGTATATAGTTCACTATCACTTTTAGATGGCTTTGGAGATTTAACATTGAAATCAGTGTATTCTTGTTTATTGTTGTTTTTTTATGTTAGAGGAAAAACACATCATATTAAATCTCCATGAACTAAGAGAATGGGGAGAACGATTCTTCATCATAAAAGTTACTAGCTAGCGTTGATCAAATCTGTGTGAGAGTGCACGTTTGACAAAGAATTTAGTCAGATGTATTCAACAGTACCCATTTAAATGCATGCAGTTTTGCTTTTGAAAATAAACAAAACAAAAGAGACAGCTGACTTGCCTTTTGAGTTGTCTCTTCATTGGGCCCCTGACTGTTTGCTGGTCGCTTGTTAACAGGTGAAGGGCGCGGTGTACTGCTAAATAATGGCTTAGCTGACATCTGTTCAGCTTCTTTCATGGCTCAGAACTGCTACGAAATAGCATCAGTTGAATATAATATATAACATATTGAATAAAAAGTGATAAGAAATTGTATCTATTCTACGTTTCAACTGACTAATATAAGGTTGATTTAGTTAACGTTACTTAAACTAAAGCTAACTAGTTAACGCTTGTAAAATAAGCAATGCTAGGCAGACATTAATCGTCATTTCAAGTGGATAACTTAACTTTACTGAGAATATATAACGTTTAGACAAAACGTATTACTAACTTACATATAAATATACTTAGACGATATGGTCCTGTGAGGTGTTCTAAAAATACAGTTTTCTCATGACAACGTGATGCTGACTGTGGGTAGTTAGCATGCGGTTACCAACGAGCGGTGGTTGGTTAGTGGTGCATTCTAATACTGACGTAAAAAATAAAACTTCTCACGATAGCTTAGATTTAAATGAAAAAAAAGTTCATATTTTATTATTGAGAAAGACCAAATGGAAATTTTTGGAAGTTTATTTTCGTGAGTTTCCAATATTTTGTTGAAGACCAACTACTACAAATCTATGGCAATACTTTATTTGCTACAGAAATTGCTAGTTTCCGCCACTCCCACGGTCAGTGAAGAGCAGAGCTGGAGCAGAGCTGGAGCAGCCCTGTCACCGGTAGAAGGAGCTCTTCAGTCTTTCCCTCATCCACAGCTAAACATACACAAACATGGCGATATCCCAGGCGGCCAGGATGCAATCCTGTCTTCGCATATGTTTCTTAGTTCTCCCGCTTATTGGATTAAATGCATCGACGCTTCACGTTCACCGGGAGCAGCGTTACATGCTTCCACAGGACAGGGGAATTCACACCATAAACGCAAATGTGGATTTGGAAGACGGTGATGGAGGAGGGCTGCGCCTAGCCGCTGGAGGTGTCACCAAACGCGGCTTGGACTCGAGGAGTTTACCGCAGCATCGAAGTCGGAGGGGTACCGGAGACATAACCATGCCCAAGGTGTACGGCCAGGTAAATGCATCTCTACTGGCTTTACATGCTCTTGCTGACCTGATGATGATGGGCTGAAAGAAACTGGGTGGTTGGTCGTAGAACCCTCAGTGCAAGCAATTACACAAGCCACTTTGTTGTCCAAGAGGCATGTTTTTTAGCCTTTGTCATCCAGCGTAGATTTGCTTGAACCACAACTAACCATGTAATCAGAAATTAACAATACAATATTAAAGCTGCCCTTTTTCTCTACAAGTATATTTGAAGGACATAGAGGTAGGAAGCCAGCCAGGTGATTACCAAAGGCCCACGTATTGTTTTTGTATTTTTTTGATGTATTTTTTTTTATCTGTCAGTGGTTCCCATTTTATTGCCCTCAGTGCCTACTTTCTAAATGTTTTGCCACCATGGATGAGTCTACTGGTTAGGCAAAAAACTGGTATCGTCTATGCTGGTTATGCTTATAATTAAGATGGCACAACTTTTGGGTGTCTTGACTATTATCATATTTAGTAAAAAATAAAACGTAGGCTACAATATTTGTGCATGGATGAAAACACAACACATAAAGGTTCTGATTGATCAACTCTGTCCGCTTCACATTTATGGAAAAATAAAAAAGACTGTGGGAAGTGGAACATGTTTAAAACTCCAACAGCGAATCAACAAATGTCAACTTGATAAAAAGGCTGTGTAAATTGCCTACAATGGGATACGTCATACTCAAATACTACATGCTTCAGAGTCGTCAGTCGTTTCTATGCAAATATCAGGTGAACAACAAGGAAAATGCTAAAATTGGAAATAGTGGCTGTGAGATTAAAAGGCTACAGTTACACCCTTTTATGTGGCAAAAAGTTCTATTACGGTAATTACTAATTCAATAACTGATAGAAATAATAAGATAAGATAAGATATGCTTTATTTATCTCACAAAGGAGAAATTTACATGTCACATTTGGCATGGGTAGAAACACCCATGCCTCTCTTTTTGCACAGATTGTGCAAAAAGAGAGGAAATGTGCAAACATGTTAAATGCAGGATATATTATGTACAATAAAAAAGTGTCAATAATATGCTCAGTCATTATAATTTGTAAATTATGTTTGCAATAGGGAACATATAGTCGCTATGCAAATATTGTAACTCAATGACATTTCTACTGTCGAGGGATTCATTATTTCAATTATTAAACTATTCTACTACTTTTTTATAGTTCTATCAAAAATCGAAAAAGAGCCTTAATGGGATGATGCTTTGCTTTGTTGTATATATTTTAGTATTTTGTATGTTGTATTACTATTTTGAAAATTAACGTTTATTTCAAGTCACAGAAGAAGTTTATCAACTGTCAAAATTAGTTGTTGAGACATAAAAAAATAATACACCTTGAGCATTGTTGATATTGAGGACCATACATGTCACATTGAAACTGTAACCTGATTTGGAATCTGAGGGGGTTTTTGCTGCCACGTGCCATTGCTTTGTCGCCCCATTGGTCCATTAAAATTCCTGCAACTGCTGCAGAATTGTAAATACATGCTGATAGACAATTCCCCTTAGACAGAGGAGATGGGGGAAGTGTGTCACTCCGAATCTTCTACCTCCCCCTTCTCCTCATAAGGTGTCACCACTGTCCAAACAAACAACACAAATGGCCATGTGGAGTCTAGACCGAGGTCAGGTTTCACAGACCCAAATTATTATTCAATGTTTAACTTGTCCAGTGTTTGTTTGTGTGTTTGACTTCATTCAGTTGAGGATGCTATGCCTTCTGGATGCGCAAGCACGTGCTGTAATAGGTAACAGGCCTCAGTGTCTGGGTGAGCACATTTTGCACACCAGGACTTATTCAGGTGCATCATTGAGAACCAACAGGCCTTGTGAAGTAGATTGATGGAGAATCCATCTAAAGTAAAATCAAAGAAGATGCAATTGTGATAGTTACTTTCATTTACATTTAAATCATTCATTATTACAATAGATACAATTAAAAAAACAGTCAAGGTATGATATATGGGATGAAACACACAGAATTTCTTGGAATTCCAAGAGGCCACAGGCGAGAATGTTTTTATTAAGCAATTTAGCAACACTGCATAAAACTCCTGGTAGTGGACGTGCTTCCTCTATGTCATCAAGAACACCTACTGTATATAGTTCACTATCACTTTTAGATGGCTTTGGAAATTTAAACCTGAAATTAGTGTATTGTTGTTTATTGTTGTTTTTTTATGTTAGAGGAAAAACACATCATATCAAATCTCCATGAACTAAGAGAATGGGGGAGAACAATTCGTCATCATAAAAGTGACTAGCTACATTATTGAGAACCAACAGGCCTTGTGAAGTAGATCGATGGATAGACGTTTGGTTTCTGCTATGCTATTGTATTGTGGTGGTGAAGACTAACCCGACTCACAAGGTCTGTCACTCAACAAGACTTTGCTTTGCAGCACTGGATTTTTAAACATCTTTCTTGCACCAGTTGACAATAATAATGCAAGCGCCAGCCAAATGCATGATGATTTCTAATATAGGTCCAACCCCCATCTTGGAAATCAGTGTCAAGAAAATAATGCTTTTTCACAATGTAGTTAAACCTTTGCATGCTAGATATTGGTGTCATGTTTATACATGTCACAACTGGTTGGAACTTGGAACAGTTTCAATTCAATTCAATTTATTCTTGTATAGCCCTAAATCACAATAGTAGTCATCTCAGAGGGCAAACCGTTGAAATCGCTAACACAGAATCAACAGTTAAGACACAAAAAATATAGAACACAAGACTCAAGTCCATGAATGTTGATAAATGTCAATAAATGTCAATAAATGTTGTAGAATATATTATAGAGTGTCCTGGATCATCACCACAGTCCTTCTTGTTTGACCACTAACAGTCTAACAGACCCTCCTGCATAGACAAGGAAAACTTAACGACAGTTTATTGTCCAATGTCTGCTACATGCACACCAAATGGTTTACTGTTGGTAGATGCATTTTGCATGGGCGATGTCACAATAATTAAATAATTAGCAATATAAATAGCACTGGGAAAATTCTTCTTTTGTATCTTTTTAAAAGATGGCTCTAAACTGGCTCTATCACTAGTTTTCACATCCATGTTGGTACATCCATTTTGTACATTCAACCGCCTACAACGGTTACTGTCACCCCTAGTCAGAATATTTGTACAACTTGAGAAAGGCTGTTTGGAGCTGTTTGGAGGAAATCTTGTTGCTGAGGGTACCTGCCACAGCTATGAGCCCAGCCACTGTTTCTCCACACGCTAAGACCAAAGGTAAACATCACCATGTGCGCATGCAAATGCTATCGCGGTCGTTCAGTTTCATACCATCCCTATTCTGTAGTCATATGGTTCTGTGATAAATGGTAATACAGGCCTCCACCATAGATTACTACGTCTTTGGTGTTATGGTTCATATGCTAAACTGAGTGTTATACACTGGCGGAATTGTGCTTATTTGCTCTTTCAGCAAGTAACAAGATAAAATGTAATATACTGTTTGGACTTTTAGTCATGTACAATATAAGTATAATCTAATGGGAGTGAATGCAAAACTTTTGATGTTTGAAAGATTGATTACTTTCACATGCTCATCTTGTGTCCTTTGGCAGATGAAATACGCTGCTTTTCTAAAGCACCTGTACGCTGAAGTTCGAGCTAGTTTGAAGGCTACTGAATTGTAATTTATGGTGTTTTTAATGATGGATTACTGGGAAGCAGCAGGAGGAGGAGCTAAGGAAATCTTTACAACTAACGACATGCCCATCTGTGGGAGCTACGGAAAGTGCTTTTATGCACAATGAGTGGGTTTTTAGCTATGTAATAAAATAAAAGCAATTATGTCATGTGTGGACAAGAAATCAGCCTCAATTTACATTTAGATTGCAGATAATCTTTATTCATCCCACAGTTAGGAAATGTCAGTGTTATAGTGCACAAATTACAGTAGTAAGAGCACACAAGTATCAAAAAATACATAATGTCTTTTAAAAACTTTTTTAACACAGACCCTTTTCTCCATCCACGACTGTGATATCATCTGTAAACTGTCCCTTTTATAGAATTTTAAATGATCTTTTGTTATGAATTACCTTTCAGTAATATAAGATAAGAAAATATAAGATATTCCTTTTATTATGGAATTTTTTAATGGAAATTTCAATGTCATCGTTGCGCACATTACAGGAGAGAAAAAGAAGGAAAGAAGTACACTCAGATTGCACACATCAAACAGGGTCTGTCATATATTTCCTGTAGGGCTTTAACAAGTTTATTGATTAAGCGCAACAAACCTATTGTTATTTTCACTTTTTAGAAATCAATGAATCGTTTTTGAAACATACACAGAACAGGCCGAGAAGAGGTTTTATGGCACAGACTGCAGTACAATAAACCTGGTTACAGCTTGTCTCTATGATGATCTTGGAGCTCAATGTGGTATCATCAAATGTAAAAAATCCTTTATTCACAGTCCTTTTCTAGTCTAAACAACTAATTGGTAAATCAAATTATTTATAATAAACTGTAACAACAGTCATACTTCCAAAAGTCTGAATTGTCTGAGATGAGATCTTTGTTTTTGTCATTTTCCCTATGCAGTCCAAACACTGAGTAATACTAGTGCCCATTGAAACTCACCCAGGGCTGTTTATGGCATGACACTGGTCCAGAGCCTCACGGATAACTTAGTGACCAACATGCTGGGCATCTCTCAACGTCTGACCTTCTTATCAGAATCCAATGCCTTTTAGGAAAATGTATGTACGGGTTTGTCATTTCAGATCATATTTTTTAACCTATTATTTACGTTAACATTATTGTGTATTTTATCGGAATATAGAATTCATAATATAAATGTGACTGTTTTCTTATTGTCCTTTTGTAACCGATATAGGGTCGCTAGAATAATGAGTTGGAGCCAGGTTGTGTCAAATGTTTCAAAGCCACTTAAGTAAACAAGAATTTTCCTGGGACTGATAATCAAATTATTAAATACATTTTTGTGTTTTCCCAAGATTACAACAAGAGTTGTCTCTGAGGAATTTACAAAGTTGTCAAATCAAAGTGTTCAAACTTCGGTATAGGTCATACTTTATATAGTATTTCTCATTTGTCTGAGCTGAATTTGCTTAATTAAAGCTACATTACATAGTTTTGTGCCACAGATCACAGTGAAAACACAAATCTTGGTATAGTCAAAGAGGTTCTGAGCTTTACAATGAGGTATGGCTTTCAGATATTGGATGGGTTGAAGTTGACTTGATGATGTCTTCATGATCTCAATGACTACTTGGGATTAGTAAGACAGAGGGCCACATAAAGGTACTCAGAGGGCTGTGACATGGACATGTCTGGGTTTAGAGAGTTCAGCATAAACATTCTGGGAGGGAGTCTTCAATGGCTGCCAGTTCTGCAGAGATGATGTCATTGTTAGATATGAGCTGCGATGCCCTCCAGCCCCGCTGCCTCTCAATGATGGCACACTCAGAGCTGATGAGGGAGGAACAGGCTGCCCCAGCGTAGGGTTGAACCTAGTACTGCCTGCCACAGCACAGTCATGTCAACATTTAACATATGGTAACATTTATGTTCTAATTGTACATTGTCCCTTTTTAAATAAATAATAAATTTAAGCTGTTGTGGAAAACTGTGACACAATAAATTCACTGCCATTTTTATAATATGTTTCCACATACCAGAAGAAAGTATACAGACAAATATATTGCTCTTATCTATTATGTTATGCATAATATATTTAATGTAACTGGAGTTTCCACTAAATAGCTATATTTAAGGATTGGAGAGGTTGAGAAACATGTTTGTCTTTCCTATCAGAGTAAATCCTCTCGAGTTTAAGACTGGTCTGTACATGTCTCAAGCCAAGGACTAATAATAAAAGAATTTGGTTTCACAATCATTTACAGCCTTCATATTTTGAATTTACTGATTTTACAATTGTGTTTCATCCTCTATTTTCTTTCTTCTTGTCCTAGGAATTGTTTTGTGTTTGTAACATACTGGCATTAAGTATTGTTGAGGTAGTAAAAAAATCTAGTAATGGCGCTGGCAGGAGCAACATAGACGTACAGTATTAAATTAGAAAACTCTATATCCATTGAGGGCACAACAACAATTAATTATTCTGTATGACGCTTAAGTCATCAAAGACAGATGAGCCCTAATCAGAATCATCAAACCAATGCTATCTCATATTTCATATCTATATCTTGTGAAGAAAATAAAGTTGTTATTATGTAAGACTATTGTTAAATAAATAACAGGCAGAACAATATATATTAGCGGCCAGTATTCATATTCCGAACCTTTTCTTTGTAACATTGGAAAGATTTTGATGTTTGTTTATAAAATAAAAATGTAGAGGACGAATTATTACCATATTTCTCAGTTACTGGGTCAAGAAGTTTCTCCTTGCATGGCTTGTTATTATGACAGGTCTAGCGTTTAGGATCTGTGAATAAAAATAATACGCTTTCCAGTCTGCTGTCTCTTGTATCACACATTGCATAAGAGTGACATACTGTTGGTCCATCTCGGTGCTCCTCCAAAATGTCTGCCTGTTTTTCCCCGTCCTGTTTGCTCAGTCACATTTGAAAGAGTTGCAGCAGATAGAGATGATATGAAATGCAAAAGCCTGTGTGTTTGAACGCCTGACTGTATCTGTTGTGGTCTTTCGCTCTTGCTCAGCCCACATCTCCTCTCCCCTCTGCTTCTCTTCGGCCTCAAAGCTGTCACAGAGATGGATGGACGTGAGCAGATAAGAAACAAGTCAGTGCACTTGTAGAGAACTTTGCCCCAATCCAGTTACATATTTTATATTTGAAGTTAAGGTTACGTCATTGTCCCAGTAGGGAAATTTGTCCTCTGCATTTGACCTATTCTTCAATACCACATGTTAACCCTTCAGGAGCAGTGGTCACTTCAGTGTAACGCCCAGGGACCCATCTTGAGATGGTGATGCTTGGCTTAATGTTGTGTACCAAACGTGAGGCAAGGACCACAGGTGTAAAATCATGTCAATTTGAATTTTTTTGAAAATAAACAGAGGGCCAACTAAATTAAATGACCTAACTGAACCAACGAAGACCAAAAGAAAAATTCACCCACCAAGAACTAAGAAGGGGCTTAAATACAAAAGGAGTAACCCAAATTAACACCAAAAGGGGAAATGTTGCAATGACGTAAAATTATAATGTGCAGCAGTGTCTCTTAACCCCCTCCGAGTCCTTGGGACCAGTGGACCATCCCGGTGTATAAAATGGCCTTTTGCCCTCCAGTCCTGTCCTTTGACTTGCCTGACAAAAGACAATTGTGAGAGATGGTTCAAAGAAAGAAAAATAAAAGTGGAGTAACAGAAAATACTAACTGAGTGATGGCAGAAAAATCCACCACACTTAGTCAGGACCACTGGAACAGGAGGATTTTTATCTATGGTGCATGTTTGGCTTGTCCTGGGGCGCATGTCTCTGGAGGGGTGATGAGAGACTGCACAGACCACAGATCATTAAGAGTTAAGATTATTAAAAGAGTCAGATTAAGCTTCCGTCTGCTATTTTATTTAACACTTGTAGATCATAGTTGTGGGTTTGGGTTAGGGTTAGGGTTTGATGGACACTAACACTAAAGCTCAATGAAGCCCAATAGGGAAGGGCTTATTGGTGAAGTTTTGCTCCTTCTCGCTCTGGCTTCTATTGACTTACATGGAGAAGAAAACTCCAAGCTCACTAACTGTATCACACTCTATTTTGGGCATGGTTAAGTGCTCCTCAAACCTGGTGTTTATGTGATATTGTCCAGATATGATCCCTAACAACTGACTAATCAGGTACGTTCTGTTGTTGAATTCTGTTTTAGCTAGCGAGCAGTGCAAGTGGGGACTGACCAGCGCTGCTTCTGATTGGTTCTTGGTAACTCAGCCGCTACCAACAAAATTTACATACATTTTTCTCCAAATTCCCGCTCAAATAGCCTGTTTGAGAAAGCTCTAATCTAAGGTGAAGACTATGTGTGATGTCAGCACTTGGTTAGTCCACGCCTAATATACGGTCTATGGGGTATGGGACCAGACTACAGCCTCTTGGCCAGGTTTCCATGAGTGCACTGTGAATCCATCTGACAGTGTAATGCTTGTGGTAGTCCTTAAATGTGAGTGTGGGGGGTCACGAGAAGGGCACAGCTGTCAGACTGCAGTCAGGAGCCAAACCACAGTGTCCTCCACATACTCTGCTGAAGAGAGCTTTATGGGCCTGTTAAACAGAGATGCTTTGTGTAATGCCATAAAGGAGCACCGCCTATATCCTAAAGAGCAGCTTTTCATTTTCATCTATTTAATAATCTTCTCCTAACCTCAATTATTTCTTCTTTGTATTGTTCTTTCATGGGACAAATTGGCTGAATTGTAACTGCTTTAAAGGCACGGTCACATAGGTTTCTACTGTATATGGGAGACTGCAGTAGGCTCTTGCTCACTGACCAATGAGGCCTTAAATGCAGAGATTTACTGCAGCATCACCTCACACTTCTGGTTTTGGTCAAAGCCTAAGCTTTAAGGGTGGCATTATGTGGAATTGAACGTTGTGTATGGTGTATAGTAAGAGATGGTTACATTACAATTCAGTATCTACTTTTGACAAATTATGCTGATGCAATTGTAGAAAATTTAGAGTTTCAATTCTGCTATATAATCCTCATATTGGTAGAAGTATGTAAACTTCAATACAGCTTTGTTTTTTTTGTAGTTTAGGTATACTGCGTGTCAACTCACTGCCGGCGCCGCATGGAAGTACCCTGAAGATATTTGTTCCCTTTTGACTATTGTTTACATGGAAACTACTGTAGTATATGTTCCTTGCTGCTGAGGGAAGAAATTCATGCTTTTGCAGCTGTAAGATTTTGTCACATGATCAGTGTTACAAGAATCAAAGCAGAACTGAAGCTGACAGAAGCACAGAGGAACTTGTTGTTTACTGCTCACCGAGAAGCCAAGCCCTCCCCAACCATCAATAAAATATAGAAGCCAGACAAAGCAGAGATGGGATAGCGATGGAGTGACAGTAAAAAGATGAAATGCTCTGTTACTTTTCATCAATCAGTCTAATGGGAGGTGCATCGAGAAACAAGGAGTCTGTGCATTATCCAGTGATCAACATTGGGGATTTTGCAAAATATGAGTATTAGAGTAAGTCAAGTCAACATTTTCTCATTGTTGATTTTATCCTGGTCATCCGGTCAATCCTGTTATCCTGTAATGATATTATTTTTCATTTTTGCACATCACATTTCAAGGAAACCTCAAAGTGCTAATGATGAGAATTCAAGCAATACATCAAAATTACATCATATACACATGTATTTAAACAGTTGTATCCTCCACCCTGTGGCTCCTCAGCATTCTTATTAATGGGTCAATAAGTTCATATATCTCATATCTAGTAATATCCACTAACCAGATGTCATGTCATAGAGTTACAGGGTACCTACTGCTTAATTATTGTCATTCTGTCAAGCTCAGTGGGTCTTCATGTGTGTGTGTGTGTGTGTGTGTGTGTGTATGTACATAACCCATAGCCTTTTCAGAAAGAATTATGTAGATTTTACATCCAATCATTGCAGCATTATTGCAGAGGCTTGATCACTGTTTTCTAAAAATGAATTCATACGAGAAGACTCTAGCATTTATATTTGTGATGAGGAAGCCTACATGTGGTATGGGTTTTCTTATTTTATTGTGTGTTGTTTTCCTCTTTACCTTTTTTTATTTGCAGCAATGCTGGTCCAAGTTTACTGAAGTGGATCTACTGTCTATTTTTTATTCAAACTTGAATAGAATGCCTCATCTAACTAAGCTATTGAATCCATCGGCCACCACCATCATTCACTCACTCATCAACTTGTACTGATTACATGTACTGCATGTTATTTTCTTTCTACAGGCCAATCTCAATGACTCCCATAATCAGATGGTCGTACACTGGGCTGGGGAAAAGAGCAACGTGATCGTAGCCTTGGCCCGAGACAGTGCTGGAGCCACGGGTCCCAAAACCAGCTCAGTATGTAAAGAAACAGGCATGCAATAGACCAAATGTGTTCTACAACTAAACAGTACAAAATGTTTTTTTTTTAGGTCTATGTCTCCTACGACTACGGAACTACTTTTGCCCTTGTGTCGGAGAAGTTTCAACTAACTGGGTCCAAAGCTAAAGATGGAAACAAGCAAATCATCTCTCAGTTTTACCACAGCCCAGCAGACAATCGGAGGGTGAGTTAACAGCAAGTGCCAGCACCTGATGTTTAATAATGCCCATACAAACACATTGCACCTAGAATAGGGCTGTAGACTATTTGGCCTGTTATCTTTCTATGTCAGTGTGTAGTAATAATATAAGAGCAGCCTTCTAGTCTAGAGTATTTCCTGAGCATACATTATAAATCCGATGCCATTCCCCAAAAATCGAGTTTCGCTTTTCCACAGAGGCCATACTGTATGTTCAACAGCGGTTGAACAGCATCAAGTAAAAGTGCATTTATTATATATTATTTACCGCAGGACATCATCCGTTGTCATAAGATGCTTTTAACAAACGTATCTTTAATCATGAAGTGCAATTCTCAGTAAGCCATTTTTCTTTTCTTTTTTCATATGGTTAAAATTAAGCCACACAGAATTTGATACTTGATAAAACAAATTGCAAAAGCCTACAAATGATTCAATAGCAACAAAAGCAATGTTTAGTTTTAGTCACATATTACATACAGTGAACCCACAGCGTTGTTCAGAACAGTATTCAGAACACACACAAAAACAGATACAGAGAGTTAGGCTTGGCCTTATGGCTTTGGGAAAGAAACTCCTTCTTTTAGCCACGTACAAACATGATGCTGGTTTTATCAGGTTTCTGGGTTAACTTCTCATTTTCTGAAGTTGCATTAAGTGTGAATTTGAAGCCCATTGTCAGTGAAGAGATAAACTTTAGGGCAATGTTCTGTTCAGATGATTTATAGCCCAGCTACAATATCACTTATGCAAGGCTCATAGTGTGAGTCAGCAGCAGCAGCTCTGAGCTCAGTCACAGACACATAACTGGAGTGCTCGGTTTCTACAGGCTGTCAGCCCAGACTGCTTTGTGTGTACAATCATATGCCATTGTAAAAAGTACAATGTTTTTATGGTGGACCACAGTGTGACTGGTCCAACATTGATTCAACTACATCCTGAATTCTAAACATTTTACAACTATCATCAGTATTATTGAACCATTATGAACTATTATGAACATTTAAAATATTGCCATTTTGAATGTATTCCAAGGGCATTGTATAAACATTAAAAACCTGTTTTCTGGTTATATAATTCAGTGCTCTCACTGGAGATTTGATCTGTATTTCTTTGCACAATAGTTTACCACAGATCAGATATAACATTGCACAGAATGCTCAGCTTAGATGCACTGGAAAGTAAGTCTACCCTTGGTTCAGAATGTACTTTCACTGGAGTGAATGATAAATGATTAAATTGAGCACTAGTTCTAGATCTGTCTTAGAGTTGATTTAGGAGTGTTCCAACTGTGCCTCCGCCCACAACCACACACAGTAACAAAGTGCTGATTTATCAAATCTGATCTTAGATAATTAAACTGAAGTATTTGGATTCAGTGGCTTTTTGGCTCACACTGGCCTTTTATTCCATTGGGGCTCTCCATCTTCCACAATGCTACACTAAAAAGCAGCTCAACAATATTCTTCATGTAATGAGGATAGAAGTACAGTTTTAATTATGGTATTGTATAAGGTTGATGTATGGCTATCAAAAATGTTGAAATAGTTCCAAATTTGGCTACATTGAACTAGATTAAATAGGAACAAAATCCCCTGCCTACAGTAACATGATAATTAATCCCTGATAGCAGCTGTGTCTGTGCCCCTCACCTCTGCTCTCTGCAATGGTCATCAGTAGAGCCCAAATACACTTGTTAAGCATTGATTCATGCCCTGGAATCCAATGGGTAAAGACAAGAATACAAATGCACCTCTCACCGACAAGAGCATATCAGATTGGCTTGATAAGTGCATCTGTTTTTAAAAACATTTTAAAGTTTCTTTGTGATTTTTTTCTCCTAGTATCTTTTTGTGGACTCTACAAACAACTTTCTGTGGAACACTTTTGACTTTTGCAAGACGGTCCAAGGCTTCTCTCTACCGTTCAAACCCACTGACCTGCTGCTGCACAATCGGAGGTCCAACCTGGTTCTCGGATACGACAGCTCCCACCCAAACAAACAGGTAATGAATAATGCAGGATTCTTCAATTAGTTTCTTTTGCATTTGAACAATATTTAATGTTTTCATGTTTCACCTGTTAGTTTTCAACTTGCATACTCAAAGCTAATATGAGAGATTATTGTTAAAGTAACATTTAAAGAAAAGAAAATAGTCAGATCACAACATGCTGTCTTTATCTTATTAGAAAATGTGTTATCTTTTACATACTGAGATCTGATTGAATGAGAGTGGTCCTCTTTTTTTTCCTTTTCGGTCTAAAAAATATCAAAAATGCACGGGCAAACAAGTGCTCAAACCAAACTGTTTTGAAAGCGAGGAGTGGAGTGTTAAAGTATTCTGTTGTTGCATTTTATGGCATTATACAGGTGTATACCGTAATATTTACCAACAGATGCATTGTTCTAGCTGTTTCTTGAAAAATTATTTGACAAGCTACATCACATATTGTTGATGTAACTAGTCTGGCAGCCCTTTTTCATGACAACTGCCACTCCACGTTGGCCATCTGAGCTGAGCGTTTGTGTTTAGCTCTCAATATGCTTTAGTTTCCAGCTCTTGATTCAACACACAATAGCTCCAAACCGCTCCACACTCTTCTTTTTGTCACGTGTGTTGCTGCAAAAAACGTAGGAAGGAGGTTGACCTACATTTTTACAGTGCACCATCCCCCTACTCCTTCTTCCACTCTTTTTTCACACTTTCTTTTTACTCCTCAGCTCTGGAAATCGGACGACTTCGGGGAGTCCTGGGTGTTGATACAGGAGCATGTTAAGGCCTACTTTTGGTAAGACTCATCTCCCTGTGTCATAAGTATAAATGTCCACCTATACACCTCAAGAAATTACCTCATACACATACTATATGTTAAGGCTTTGGTTTCCCCTTCATTAATTTGCTCACTGATAATGGGGAAGGTGTCCATTCAAATAGCAATAACAGCACATTGAAAACTTGTATTTTCTCTTTCATTTTCTGTACAACTCCATACGAATAGTAAGGATTGGGATCAGACATCTCCAATTCTCCTTTCCCAACAGCAATAAAGCCTCTCTGCTGATCCATGAATATCATTTACATGCAATTTTCTTATCCAGCGGACAACTCAAAGAAAGATGGAACAAAGAGTCAAATCTCTCTATCCTAGTAAGATTTTTTATTGCATACTTCGCCACCCTCAATAATATTTCTTCTTCATGACATCTTTTCTATTTAACTTGTCAGATGTGGCCATCAATATTCCTTTGACTATTGTCAGAGTCTAGTATAAATATTGCCAAAGTCATATTGCCAGATGCATATTTCAAAGACATGTTTGCTCAATATTTTAAAAACATGATCAATTTGGTGCATTTCTTTTAACTCAGTAGTACTGTAGCGTTTCATACTAGGTGCCACAATGTCACAGTCACATTCAAAGTATTTGGCTAATTCTATTATGTCTAAACAAGGCAACAACCTTGCCATACTACTGTAGTTTGAAACCAATGCTAACCTAAAATAGCATAAAACGGATGGATTACATTTCCTCTACATTCAGAAAATATGTAAATGTTAGATTTAGAATATGTATTAGTGTCACATTTTAGAAAGTGGGAGAAATGCCGATATAACTACATATAATTTTTTTGTTTTCCTTCCATATCCCATTTGTCTATCCACTTTAATGAATGATAAACCATCGCTGAACTATATTATGTTCTGTTTACATCTCTTCCATTGTAATTACTGTTCTCTAAGAGCCTAGAAGTGCAAGTCTAATCTAATCCTAACTAAACCTAATTATTTACTGCAGCAACAGTCAGTGTTTGTCTTTTGGGAAGGGTAAGAAGTGGTGTCATCATTCATTGAAAGAAGTGGAAGTTTACTTTTACTTTACTTTGACTAAGTCTGTTTGTGTTTGCAATGTCTGTTGCTTAATTTATGGGTGTTACATGTTTAAAAAAATGTATTTAGTCTCTACAACTTCTGCTGCCTTATGGCTAAAGTGGCTATAGTAATGAGTCATGTTTGTGTTTTTAAATTGATGTTAGAGGCATGTTTATGCTTACATTTACTTCCTTTTCCTCTACACGGCTGATAAATCTGATACATTTAAAAAATGTGCGTTTCCACAGGAGACAGTCTCTCACTTCCAAACTATTTTCTGCCTTAAAGCCGAATGTATTTGCAACATTTGAACAAGAATAAAAATTGGATTGGCAGACACGGCTTGAAACACTGGATTTAGTTAGTTAATTTCACTTCAGTTGTTCTTTACCTAAACAGCTGGAGGTTGCATTACATTCCAATGAGCACAGCTCAGGCGGCACGGTGGTGATTACCACTCTCAGCCCTGGCTTTGATTCCCAGTTGGAACAGGGCCTTTCTGAGTGGAGTTTAGATGTTCTCCCTGTGTCTGTGTAGGTTTCCTCCGGGTGCTCCAGTTTGCCCTACCACTAAAAACATGTGCAATAGGTAAAATCTGCCAGCTCCAGATGTCAAACTGGAGACTGGTCCTGACAGAAGCCCTAGTGGCAATGAAGTATGGGTCAAATGCAGAGGACAAATTTCCCTATGGAGTCAATGAAGTATTCCATTTAACATGTGAAATTCCTATTATCTGCTTGACTCTGAAGATGTATAGCTTTGCCTTGCCTTGTTTCAGTAAAGAAAGACTGCACCTTGGCAAGAAATGTGTGGATATTGTGCTCCCTTCACTACAAGACATTGGGTTGGATTGTCCTTTCATGAACCTTTTGGCCTTGAGAATCTATTGGATTGGATTTAACAAGCACCCGGAGACATGGCAATTCTATATGGTATTGAAGACAAGGCAAGGGATATGAAAACAAAATCCTATTGTGATAATAGTTGCATCAACGCCTCTAAGCAGGCCAAAGGGAGCCTCTTCACCCAGTGTGTGTCTCTAATCTTGTTTGTCGGCCTTTGTGCCGACTGTTGTGTTGCTTTTTCAGTGGTTATTTACTTGACTATTTGTGTGGTAGCACTGAACTCAAAACACAATCTGATTCGGCTCCATAATCCTCTGTGAATCCACTGCTAGGAGACGGAGACAGGCTAAGAGGCAAATCTGCTGTGTGCAACCAAAAACAATAATAACTCTGAGCTTTTGGGAAGATCAGCCAAAGCAAAGTAGCAAACACACACCTTTACTATTAAGTGTATAACGTGCATTCACTAAATTAAAACTAACTTAAATATATTGTGCAATATGAGTTTTTAACCATTGTTCCCTCTTCAAAAACGGTTCTGGAGTGTTTTAATCCTTCCATGCTAATATGAGGAACTTCCAGCACAAACATGTAACTCTGCCCCTTTTGTCCAAAAGCTCATGTCTCAGTCCTGTAATGGTATGATGTCATTGTACCACTCAGACGTCACTGCCTCTTAAAACAAAAAGTGAAATGTATTATCACATGGCTGTGTTTGCTGTGTTTATTTTAATGGTCAACATAATTCATTTTTTAAAATTATTTTAAATGTTATGCAATGTTAACAATATGTTCATACACCAGCTTATATGAAAACATAAAAAGTAAGTTCTCAGTGCTCTCCGGGAAAAAGGATTTCAAAGTTAGTTATCAGGACACTGTATGTTATCAAGATGTTTCGTTTTCGAAAGTTATAGTTGTGCTGAAATGTACTGGACATCTGGGATTTATGATTTTATTGGCCTTGAACAAAAGGATAGCTGCATGTATAAATTCCAGTTGTTAAATTAGATATCGTTTGATATTTTTATATAATTTAGTTGCTATAAGAGGTCTGCTGGCCTGTGTTTTTAAGCCTGTAAAGCTTAGTGTTTGCCATGGACAAAATACAATTACTATTTACTAGTCACAATTAGTCACAATTAGTTTATCATTTGTTGCAGCTCTACAGAACATGCCAAACGATTATCATAGCATTCATTATAATGCAGACAGACTGTATAATGAGTCTGCCTGTAAAGTCAATAGACCCAAAACAACAACAACAACAACTAGAAATATGGAATATGTTAGCCCATGAACCAACCACACCTCCAACCACATGGCAGAATAGATTTGTAACTGTGCGGTAGAACCATAAGTGACTTGAATTAAAAGCAGCAAGATGTACACAGTGTGCCCGTAGCCTGGTGTGCACTCTGCTCCCAGACTGTGTCCATGAGGTGAACAGAGCCCATTCAAAGGCCTGGCTGAGCATAACACTGGTGCCTCTGTTCTGGGCTCCACTCTCCGGAGGAAACACTGCTGATTTGGACGACAACCACAAGACGCTGTGACTTTCTCATTCATTCCTCACTGACTGCTTTCCAAAACACGCTGGTACCGAGACACAGAAAGTCCAAAAAAGGGGTGACTCATGAGGAAATGTATTTATTATTCAAAACATGGTGATTGCATTTTGGTTTAGCTTTTGCATTTGTCTGTTATGTACTTTCCCAGTGTTCATTATATATATATATATAATATAATATATATATATATATATATATATATATATATATATATATATATAGTGGGGGCGACAGTAGCTCAGTTGGTAGAGCATTGGCCTTCAGGCCTGAAGGTCGTGGGTTCAATTCCCACCTCTGCACCTTCTCCATCGACTCCCACTGATAACTGCTGTCGTTGTGTCCTTGGGCAAGACACTTAACCCCACTTTGCCCAAAAGCCCCCACTGAAAGATCAAGGCTATGCTCACACTCAGAGAGCAGCCGTCCTCCTGTGGGCTCACCACCTGCAGAGGGTCAGTGAGGGGCTGGTGCTATGAGACTTGGGTGGCATCTCTGACTGCCACCCCCCTGACCCAGAAATGGATTAAAGGGTAGAAAATGGATGGATGGATGGATGGATATATATATATATATAATATATGTGTGTATAATCGCGCTGGCACCTCAGGGCCATGTCTCGCCACTCTCTGAAATGAAACTGTTAATGTGGTCATGAATCGTCTACGGTGCAGGGCAAACATAAAAGGCTGACTTGATATCAGTACTAAAAAAACTATAATATATTGGCTCTCCAAAACATGTTTCAAATAAAATAATTGGACAAAGTACTGAAACCCGATTTGATCAAATCTATTAATTGGTCCCAACCGATCAAGCATGTCTACACTTGGTCAGTTTATTATTCCGGCTATTATCCAAAACCAGGATATTGCGTTGTAATTAAGTTTGAGTCAGGTTTGTAGAAAGGCGTGTTCACTCACATTAAGGACGCATGTTTCAAAAACTTTTAGTGCTATAAAACAACAAGAAAACATTTTTTTGTTATATTTTAGGGTGAACTAAAACGTTTTACCCAAGGACTGTACATAGACAAACTTGACTAACTTGTCTCCCGACGTTATTGCCTAGTCATTGACAATGGCGTGATCTTGCTTTGTTTACAATGTTATCAACTACATTGTAATTAAATCAAGCCTTAATGAAGCCTTAATGAAACATAGCGTAAATGAAGTACAAACTCGATAATTTAAAGCTAGAGTACCCCACTTTAAAACAGCAAAACATAGACTATGTCATAAAATCTATGTATTTCCTATTTCTCAAAACTAACTCTCTAAAACTTGCTAGTTCAATTGTGGACACTCAAATGTGGAACCTGTTCTGTCCTCTCTCCTCAGGGGTGTGGAGCCGTACGACCCACCCACCACGGTGCTGGTCCAAAGGCATGAGCCCCAGGGTGTCTCCACCGTCCTGAGCAGCACAGACTTCTTCCAGAGCGAACAGAACCGCAGAGTCATTCTGGAGCAGGTGGACAGCTTCCAGCTCCGAGACAAATACATGTTTGCCACTACTGCACGGGTCAGTTACACCTCTCATTACACTCTCTGTACAAAAAGTCTGCAGTAAAAGTGCACAGCTGTTAGTGCTGAGCATGTACTTATGGTTGTACTGGTAAACCACACAGCGGCGTGACGCGCACACAAAGCACAGAGCTTACAATAGTCATTGTTTTTGTGTGTCATGTACAAAAACAATCTTCAAAGCACTTACAGATCTGAGTGATTTCAGTATGGTAGTCTGGATTTATAGGTATTATAGTGAGACATGCTTTCTTTATGAAAAAATTCCTATTTAAATCTCCAGAATAAACAATTATAAATCCCACTTTTCCCATATGACAGTAGACTAATATTAGTTTATATTTGAGGTAACCCTTTTTACCCAGAATTGCTAAATGAGCTTGAAACCAGGACACTTCCTATACAGCAACCTCGCTTCCCTAAATCTTTTGTTTCTTTTATTTATTTCTGTAATTGTTGGAGTTCTCTTTCACTGTTTGTTCCAGGACTCCACCAGTCTGTTTCACATCCCACTTATGAAATAACTCTGGTGCCTAAGGTTTAATTCAATAATTTCAAATGCTTTTTGTTTTGACATTCTGCACAATTTAATGTGTTCAGTTGTTGTTTTTCAACCATATTTTCAACAGACCATCAGATCTATTTATATTTCTATTGCCATGCTGTGTTTGTATTTCTATTCTGAGTTGCTAGTGTAGCTTTGGCATGCACCGACAGAGGAGCAGATGGAGTGATATTTGGATGTGATGTCTCATAGCAGACACCGATTTGCTATCACATTATGACACGTTAGATGAGACGTTAGGAGCATATAAAATGTTTTTCTCCTGGTGCTTTTTTTTTTACGTTCTAGTTTCCACCACTATTCATTGCTGTTATAAAACATCAGCCAAACAACAGCAGCACTTTACGCACTACCAGTAGCTGCTGTGGTAAAACACTGTGTAATTGTCATTGGTGATTTTCATGTGGTCCAATAAAAGGAGAGAGCGCTTTTTGTGGTATTGTAAATGCGAAGTAAAAGACGCGTGCAAACATAAAAACACAGAAGGAAAAACTGCGGCAACAAAGTAATGCATCATTATTATGTCTCTGAGGAAACCTAGCAATTATGACACCTCAAGCAGCTTTTCTAAAGTTATACTTAAATACTGTTTATAGTCTGTGTGAGTAATGATCTTTAATGTGTGGTTTTTTTCTAGGAACTTAGTTATTAGCTTAGTCTAGAGAAAGCGCAGAGAGATACCTGCTGCGGTCTGCCGGGATCAGGCTTTCAAATGCAGGTGGCGCCACAATTATGAGCTATATTTACTAGAGAATTATATGAAATCGTTTTTTCAATTGAATTCAAACAACCAATTATGTTACATCTAGTCTCTATGATAATGTTCTTGGGTGGTATCGCTTTAACTTTGTTGTGGTCAAAAAGATTAAACAACTAATGATTTAATTTAAAGAATACGATAAAAATAATAATGATAATATAGCACTTCTATAGTGCTTTTTGGACACTTGTAGACGCTTTACAGAACCTACATTTATATTAACTGATAATAATAAGCCCTAGTTTTGACCATGTTTTGAACAGTTTTGAAAAGTGTTTATTTCATGCTGTTTTGTTCATCCAGTAGTCCATATAGTTTGATGTCATCCATATTAATATTGTCTTTGGTTGACAGAGACTCAGAAGCACACAGGAAATGGAATGTTTATTACCACACCTTTCAATCTCTTGATGGGCGGCACGGTGGCTGAGTGGATAGCACTCTCGCCTCTCAGCAAGAAGGTCCTGGGTTCGAATCCCGGTCGGACCAGGGCCTTTCTGAGTGGAGTTTGCATGTTCTCCCCGTGTCTGCGTAGGTTTCCTCCGGGTACTCCGGTTTCCCCTACCAATAAAAAATATGTCCAATAGTTCTGGCATGCGCTTCCTGTTCAGCGACCCCGCTCCCATCTCTGTGTGGAGTGAGAGACAAATACCCAAAAATTAACAATTGTAAACCGCTTTGAGACTCAGATCTGCAGTGAAAAGGCGGTATATAAATAAAGATTACTTACTGATAACTTGAATTGAGTGATAGAAAGGTGACTTATTGTTGCCTTTGCCACTTTTAATATGCAGCCTTCATTCAGAAGAGCTCTATCTGCATTTGATCTGAGCAGAGTGGGTTGATAGAAGTCATTCCATTACTGTTGTTGAGATAAGACGCAGAAGCAGGCTGTTGAGTTAGCATTTCTCTAAAACAGATTAGAAAGCACAAATATGAGAGAAGATCGTTGATGGGGTCTTGTCTGTTGATCTTTACGACAGCTGCGCTTTGCTTCTCTTGAGATTAAATGCATTCAAGTTAAATGTGAATGCTGTCTGCCATTTCTTGTTGTCGGTGAGACGGGAAGCAGAAATTCCCAGAAAACATCACTTATGTCTTAATTTTTGCCGTCTGTCTTGTATTTTGTTTCGAGTTTGTATCGCAGGAAAATGAAAAAAAGTCTTCATCTTGTGCGCTGAAACATTTTGAGACAGATATTAAAACATTTCACCCTAGATGATCCAAATGCAGGTCTGAACTCTATGAACTATTGCTTGAACCATTGCAACATATGAAAGTCTTGCCTCTTTGTGCACAGTATTTTGGAGTAATGACCACTATAAAGAATTGCACTGAATCCCTGGTTCAACTTGGCCGAGGTGCGACTTTTGGCACTCTCAATTCAATCTGGTTTAGTTATAGAGCTAATGACCAATATCTGCCAACACTTTGAACCGAAAAGGCAAATGGGGCTTTATTGCGTCATTAAGTAGTATTTGCAGCTTACTCAACTTATTTTAATTTAAAAAGAACTAACGGTTCTGTGGACAGATTTATGGTACTCAATAACAGCATTTAAAATTATATATATTCTTGTAAAAACATTTGGATGTTATATATATCTGAATATGATATGTACTTAAAATGAACTCAGGGAAAAACTGACTGTTCATTTGACCTTTCAAAAATAATTGACAGCACTAAAAACAATCACACGTGAAGAGCTGCATTATGTAATTTCAGTCAGCCAACCGGTTTGTCTGTCAGTGTGTATTATGTTCACTTTTCTACTTTGAATTATAAACAGAATCTTCCAAGAACAATTCCATTTGTTCAAGTTCAGTGTTTGTATATTATTTACCTGGTGAATTATGCAGGCTGATATTTTTGTATTGTTCGTGTGAAGCTGTGATTGACTTTCTTGGGAGCTGTTCCAAATTGTTATCTTAGAATGAATCAGCTCATAATATTTCCTCTGGCTTGAGTTGGTTTAATAGGATTAGACTAATGCAATATCCAAAGTACTTCTGGCAGGATTGAGATTCAAAAGCCAATTAACAAAGCGGAATAGGATATTCTTATTTAAATATTTTGGTCATAAATTTACCAGACTTTGTCATTACAATGAAACTTTCTGCATAGTTAGATTGTTTTATTTATTTGACGGGGACAGTACAAAAAACATTGTCACCCAAAGGTAACTGAGACATTTGTTAGGGTTAGGGTTAGAAAAATGTGAGGAGCATGAGGTCTAGAACATAAGTAGAGTCTAAAAAAGATTTATAAAACTGTAAAAATGTTGTTTGATAAAAGATAAAAGGCAACTGGGAGGAACAATGTATCTCAGCTGGCCTGGGAACACCTCAGGATTCCCCTGGTTGAGCTTGAGGGAGGGCTTATAACTGCTGCCCCCGTGACCTGTCACCGGATGAAGTGGAAGATAATTAATGAATGGATGGATGGATAAAAGGCTGTTTACTCATTCACAAAAGGCTCTCACATTTTTGGGTTTACCATAAAACATTTGATGTGTTAAGTATATTTTATTGTAGAGGTGTGTGCATGGAACAATATCTCTTATCTCTTAAATAACTACTACATGAAGAATAATGAGCATGAGAAGTCATTGACTAAAACTCACTTCTGGTGTTTTGCAACTCTTTGAATGCATATGTATGAAGAGAACAGCTAAAACACTTTGGGAGAGTCGAGAAATGCGTTTTACATCCCTGAGATCCCTGAAGGATTTGTCTTATTAAAGAACCGACTTGTTGGCTTTTTGCTTTGTTGCAAGTGTAGCCTGAGGTGCAGCGGACTATGGTCATGAATATGTATGAGAAAATGGCTGGTATGTGTCAGACAGTGAGGGACTCAAGGTCTAACCATGGTACAGATGTGGCTTGTGAAATTCTGTAGCTTTCATAATAAAATGTAATTGTAAAAGGGCACAGCTGTTGACGCAACTACATCTGCAGAGACCAGAGACCGGTCATTAACCAGAGTCACCTTGAGGCAGGAGAAAGACTGCATCAGCAAGGCCAGGTTTAATATACTCCTGTGTTTGTCCCTATGGGTTTTTACTCTATTGTAGATGTGTATTATCATGCATTCACAAATGAGTAGAATGATCTTACAAAGCATAATTTATGTTCATCTTTGTAAGGAATTAATGAATAGCCATACACTAAGCTTTAAACTAAAATCCTAATTGTCATTGCTGTATCCGACTTTTTGATGAACGATATATTGACTTGACGTTGTGCTTTTGAAAAACTCTGTGAACCCTTTGTCTTAATCCTTAAAGACAAAACAATCACGCAATAATTACTCCACAGAAGTGATATATTCTGCTCATATTGTTTTGTAATAGAAAAAAAGCGAGAGCAAAAGCATTTTTCTTCTCACAATGCAATTATTGAACTCTTCGGGGGAATTCACAGCTTTACCCAAGACATTCCCAATCAAGGCACTGTGAATATTGGGTAAATAAATATAATAAAACAAGGAATGTTCAGTGTATTGCATTGACGGGCAGGCCAGACTACACATCCGCTTATAGTAAAAAAAAGCTTGTAATGAAATAAATGTGGGAGAGTATGTTTAATGCCTTAAGATGGAGCTTTCCAGTTAAGCAGCTGCTGCTCTCCCGCTGGCAGCTCACCTTATCGGTCTTAATCTAAACAGCTTTTATATGATCCCTGCTGCAGGCACTCAGTCTGCGCTCCCCTCTTCCCCTCCAACGTCTTCATCATCTTCTCTTTTAATTTTCACCTTGCGCTTCAGAACAGAGCGGCCTGAACTGTAATAATGAAGATGCTGAGTAAATTTACAGTTTTGGGAGCAGCTGGAACCAGAAGGGGAAGGAAAGGTTAGAGTGAGCGTAAACGGTCGAGACAATGTAATTAAAAGGAGAAAGAGGATGCTTAACGAGAGCACATACAGACAGCTTTTTAGCAAGGGAGGAACAAGATTGTGCTGTTGTTATGAATGCAAACACAGGAAGTCAAAGAGTTTAAAAGGATTTTTGACAGAAGTTGTGTTGTATTTATGTTTTAAAATATCTGTCTTAATCCGCATTGCGTTTAATCTTGAAGAATTGTGCAGGAATGTGAAAAATTTAGATATTATTTCTTGTGCGGTCAACAACAACAAAAAAACAATTTCACATGTATTACCCAACCAAGTTTTTGTTCAAAAGGGTTTGGGTTGAAGTTTGACACTTATTTACGAAGACAATTTAAGATCTAGAAAAAATGTGCAAGACGGCCAACTCGACTAACCATTTGTTTTGTCAGTAAATGTTTTAAACCAGATTAACACTGAGAAGACCAATTATGAAAAACCTATTTTCTTTTAAAGTTTCATGTTTGAAGAATATTTGCTAAGACATGCCCACACACCTTTCTATGTTTCCTTTTGCAGAAGCTGTTTGGAAGCCATGATCCCTCGTCTGTGCAGCTGTGGGTCTCCTATAACAGGCAGCCCATGAAAGCTGCAAGGTTTATGACCCGCCATCCAATTACTGTAAGTGGAATGACTTTACATATGCTGTAGTGCACTCTTTTTCAAACAAAACAGTTTGGTCCTATCACTATTTTGCCCCATGCATGTATTTTTGGCATCTTTAGAGCAGCTTTTTCAGACAGAAAAATGATAAAGAGAGGACCACACTCACTCAGCCAATCAGCTCTCAGCCAAGGCAACCAGTTTGTGCCATCGGCCCCTCTGACCACCATCAATGTGTGTGTTTGGCACTTTACAGCCGCCCCAATCAGCTCTCAGCCCAAGTGTCAATTAGTGGCTCACAGGGTATGCAAAAGATAACATGTTTTCTAAAAAGAGGCATATTGTGGTTTGATTTCTTTAAAATATTTTACTTGACTGTAACAAGCATTAGTTTTTTGAAGTTTGGTTAGTATCCATTTCTGTAAAGGAACAAAACAAAAGTTGTGTACACTGTAACTAATTCAATTACCATGTTTAACACTTTTCTGTGTATTCCTATCGTAGCTGTTTTTTTAACTACCAGCGCTTACCTCATGTCTCTATTTGCCAGGAGTACTACATCGCAGACGCATCTGAAGACCAGGTGTTTGTGTGTGTGAATCATGTGAATAACGTCACACACCTCTACATCTCGGACACTCAGGGCCTCTCCTTCTCACTATCACTGGAAAATGTGCTTTACTACAGTCCCGAAGGATCGGGAAGTAACACACTCATCAAGTAAGCTCAAATATCTGTAACAGGCTTCACATAAACCACAGTCATTTAATTTAGTCAAAGTGTTCAGTTAAAGTATTAATTCTGAGTGGGTTAATTCATTGATAGTGTCTGTATAGAGGTATTATTTGTTTATCAGCACAAGGCAGCTCACTACACAAGCAATGATTTGCAATGTCATCTAGCAAAACTTCAACTGGGCCAAACATGCCATATCTGCATTGTTTTAAACTTAAAATAATGCAAATGTTTTTTTGGACAATTACGGATTTATTTATTTTTGCACAATATGGTCACTGACAGCAAAAATATTGCTTGTGAAAAGTGGGGGCAAAAGTAAATCAGCTCCACTAAAAATAAGTCACTGTGGATCCAACAGCTAACCCAGTTGTCATTGGTTAGTGTTTATCTAGTCACCTGAATGTTGAAGATTTTTAAGCATCTACTCAGTCCAGTTGATGAAATTCTCTCAAACTTAAGCATAGGTAAGATAAATTAATGTGTTGCTTTATTGCATCTTACCTATCTTGCCACACTGCTAGTCTATTAAACCAACACATCTCTTTAGTCGCCTGCAGCCGTATTGAGTATATATTCTTTGTATTAACATGCCCAGCTTTACAGCTTTCAAACACATTGTGAAACTACAAATTATGTATTGGACTAATAATCAACAACTAATACCTCCCGTCGTAGGTGTGGTGTCAAAGGCTATTTGGACAGTGACACAATTAATGCAATACAAAAGTAACAACAAGAATCATCCTTCTTCATTTTGAAATGATAACCCTGCACCTTCCTCCTTCCTCCCTGATGTCGCAGTGACCTCTTCGCTCTGAATATGTCTTTCTGCTCAGACTTAATCACAGACATTCTGTGTTTGTGCAGATGGCAGATGGGGCACTGTAGTGGCACTGTAGAGGACCAGCTGAACCAGGTCCTCTGGTTCAGCTGTAAACACTGAAATGACTCATCATTATTGTGTAATGAGAACTGGAATTAAGTTACATGAAGTGACAAAGTAGTATTCACTATCATTATGGTAGCTGAACACAATACACCTTCGTTAGATAAGATAAAACTTTATTGATCTCACAATGGAGAAATATACAATATATAGCTATATGTTTGTTCACTTTTTTATTTAACTATAAAAGTATTAAGACTGTAATCTGAATCTGAATCCAAAACTTTTTGGGTGTTAAGGGTCAGGTATATATATTTCAGGCAACTTTGCCTGAAATGGCTGACAAAAACGTCTACTAACGGAAGACGCTTGTGAAGCCTTTGGACTAAAAACAAATGCCCTGGATCTTTGTGAAGTTATCCTTTTGGTCTTTGCTGTTTGATTTACGCAATAACAAGATATGTGTAGATATAAACGCAATTTCAAAAACTTGCTGATAGATTTTGAGTAAAAGGGGCCAAAAAGCTGCTGCCGGAAGATACTGACTTATATATAGCCAATTGGAGAAGAACCATCTGGACCCAAACTCTGATTCTACCCAACACCAAAGGTTTTTGGACCACTTTTTAGCACAATAAGTCTGTTAAACTTCATCAAGCTAGCTTGTTGGCACTGTCCATTCTATTCTTATGCTGTCTAGGTCAGAATGACATTTATTTTATGCAAAGATAGTATTATTGAAAAATATTGAAGATAATCCCCCTTTTCCAGGTACTTTGCAAACGAACCGTTTGCCGACTTGCACAGAGTAGAGGGTCTGCGTGGAGTTTTCATTGCGACTCTCATAAACGGTTCCGTCAGTGAGGACAATATGAGATCAGTCATCACCTTTGACAAAGGAGGGACTTGGGAGCTGCTCCAGCCACCTGCTGCTGACAGCTTAGGAGGCACCGTAGGCTGCCAGGTACATTGTCTATTTCATGTATTGATTCAATAGAATACATTGATGATATTGTTTTTCAATGCCTCTCTATGCTCAATCATGAACACTTTTCCCCACTCACTTTGCCCATCGGCTAGCTTGTGTCAGAAGTGACTTGTGACTTTAGTGACTGTATGGCCTCTCATATGTCCAAATATCTTGTATTATCTCTAGAGTTTAGGAACTATGGTTTTGTTTTACCATACTCTTCTTAAATTTGTTTACATTTTTATAAGAACAGAGTGGCCTTCAACAGTTTAGCATAAACCATCTTAATCTTAATCATCATTAAACCAAACTATTTTAATCCATTGTTTATTTCCTTTCAGCTGAATAAAGGCTGCTCACTGCACTTGGCCCAGCGCTGGAGTCAGCTGCTCAACATCCAGCTCAGGAGGATGCCTATTCTGTCCAAAGACTCTGCCCCAGGCCTCATCATGGCCACAGGTGGGAAAGCATAACATCATGTACATCACAAAAATAAGCACAAACCAACTGAACTCAATTTCATTTATAAAGTTCTTTAAAAGCAACGCCATTGACCACAGCAATCAAGGACAACATTGATCAAATAAATACAGATAAAATAACACATATAAACAGTAAATAGTCAACCCTAAAACTGAGTTAAAAGCCAGAAACTAAAGATGAGTCATTTGATAGATTATAGAAAAGGTTGCATTTGTTTCAAATATATCCAGACTTATCAACGGTACACTCAAAGTTAATATTGCTTGCATAAGCCGGATGTTTTTTGCTGAAATGTAGACACAGTTAAAAACAAATGCAAACTATTTGTCCGTCTGTAATGAGAGGTGCCTGCACTGCCAGCTGGGGTGAGGATCGTGTGTGTGTGTGTGTGTGTGTGTGTGTGTGTGTGTGTGTGTGTGTGTGTGTGTGTGTGTGTGTGTGTGTGTGTGTGTGTGTGTGTGTGTGTGTGTGTGTGTGTGTGTGTGTGTGTGTGTGTGTGTGTGTGTGTGTGTGTGTGTGTGTGTGTGTGTGTGTGTGTGTGTGTGTGTGTGTGTGTGTGTGTGTGTGTGTGTGTGTGTGTGTGTGTGTGCGCGTACTTGTTTTCAACTCCTGGTGGGTTCCATAACCTGAGATTCCACTCACGTCATGGGGACTGGTTTTACGTGGTGGGGCCCGAACACCGGACCCCACTGGTCCAAGCTTAATAATCAATGGGTAATGCTTTTCTAACGGTCCTTATGCAGTCTCTGTAAAAATATGGAAAGGACCCCTGGAGGTTTACTTTCCTGAAAAAAGTGTGTTATGTGTCGGAACCCTGGTGGTGGGTTGCGGGATATCAAGGAGGGGCACACTGGGGCAATTTCAGTCCAGCAGGCTGGAGCCAATCATGGAGCAGCACAACAGAGGAAATCAGGTGTCAGGCTAGAAAAAGGTGCAAGTGTGTGGTTCATTAGGCTGCAAGAAATCATGGAGGAGCACACTGAAGCGCACGCTTACAAACCACTGGTAAGTGCTGACTACAAGTCATGACTTCAAATTGTTATATAGAATGATTACAAATTATTTGTTGTTTGTGCAGCTTAGTCAAGAGTCCCTAATTGATGAAGTCGACTCAGATTCTGACGATTTAACTGTCAAGAAGAAACCTGTAAAAAAGTATGGAAAAAGAAAAATCAAAAACACTTTTCTTCAAGACTCGGAAAGTGACGAACCAAAGGCAAATAAGATTGTTATCATGCAGCTGCAAAAGAAGAAAAATGGGGGGGCGAGTATACAGCAAGAGACACTTCTGCCTCTACTGTTCAATGTCCTGCCACAAAATGTCCCGTCATTTGACTAGAAAACATGGAAATGAAAGTGACGTAGCCAGAGCATTGGCTCTACCTGTGAAATCTAAAGCACGTAAACTTCAGTTTGATTTGATCAGGAATAGTGGAAACCGTGAGCACAATTTTGAGGTTTTAAAGGCCGGCATTGGAACTTTAGTCCCAGCTAAACAGCCAAATTGCCCAGTTAAATCCAGTGAGTTTTTGCACTGTATAGACTGTGGGGCATTGCTTAAGCGAAAGTCGCTGTGGAGGCATGTGGCCAGGTGCCGGCTTTCACAGAAAGATGCCCAGGCTAAACCAGGTAGAAGTAGGGTCCAGTCCCTCTGCTCCCTAGCCCAGCCTGTACCGGAGGGCATCAGCAAAAAGCTGTGGTCTTTAATTTCGGCAATGCATCAGGATGAGGTCACGGGTGTTGTCAAAGCAGAAAAGGGGATTCTGAGACTCGGAGAGCACCTGTACTTAAAACACGGGCATGATAAGACAAAGCATGATTACATTAGGCAGAAAATGAGAGAAGTCGGTAGGTTAATTAACGAAGCAAAAACCGCAGGGAAACTGAAAACAATTAAGGATTTCTTTATTCCTTCCAACTTTAACCATGTGATTGATGCAGTCAGGTCTGTGGCTGGATATGATGAGGAAACAAATCAATACAAGACTCCATCCTTGGCCCTCAAACTCGGCCATAGCCTCAGAAAGCTAGCAGATATTCTTGAATGTGACTCAAAAATGGAGCATTGTGTTGATGAACTATTTATTAAAAACCTCCAACGAAGCCGGCTGCTTTTTGAGAAGAGGTGGGACGTCTGTGTTTCTTCTGCTGCCCTACAGACCCTCCGGCAAGCCAAGTGGAACACTCCGGACCTGCTCCCTCTGACTGAGGACGTTAGAGCCATGCATGCACATATTGAGGTATGTCGACCTGAATATGTGCAAACCCTAATAAGTGAGCCAACGTCTAAGCATTGGTCTAAACTGGCAGTTTTGACTCTTTGTGAGGTCATCATTTTCAATCGAAGAAGGGAAGGTGAGGTTTCAAAGATGCCACTGACAGCCTTTACCTTAAGAAGTAAGACTGGGATCCATTCTGACATTGCTCTGGGACTGTCCCAACTTGAGAAAAAGCTGTGTCAGCATTTTCAACGCATTGAAATTAAAGGGAAAAGAAGTCGGAAAGTGCCGGTTCTTTTGACTCCTGAAATGATTGCTTCGATGGAGGTGCTGGTGGAGAACAGAAGGGCCTGTTCCATCTCTGACCATAACCCATACTTCTTTTCCCGCCCGGGGCAGACACCCACATCAGGGGATCAGACTCCCTACGCCAGGTAGCCAAAGAATGTGGTGCGGTGCATCCAGAGATGCTATCCTCAACCAAACTTAGAAAGCACATAGCTACTATGTCTACAGTTCTCAATATGAAAGAGAATGAGATGGACATACTTGCCAACTTCCTCGGCCATGACATTCGCATCCACAGGCAATATTACAGACTACCAGAGGGGACACTGGAGCTGGCCAAAATCAGCAAAGTGTTGATGGCCATGGAGCAGGGAAGAGTGACGGAATTCGAAGGAAAGAGCCTCGACCAGATACAAATTGAGCCTGAAGGTAATTCTTGATATTATTAAAATATGTATGATTTTTTTCCCCTAAAGGCCACTTGTATTTTTATTTTCTGTGCGACAGGGAGAGCAGTAGAGATCCTCTCACAAACGGACGGGCTAAAAGAAACTTCAAGCGGAGAACCTTCAACCATTCATCCAGATGCACCCCATGGTAGTGGCAGTGCCCCTTCTGGTAAGTGTACCAGGTGGGGGATTACAGCCAGGCTGCTTGGTCCTAACCCTGGGAGTGTATATTGCTAATATATTTTTATTTCTCTCCCTAGAACGTGTAAGAAAGCCATGGTCTGCATCTGAGGTGAAGGCTGTGGAGAAGACCATGACACCTTTCATACAGACTGGAAAGGTCCCTGGGAAGTCTCACTGCCTGGCCTGCATTAATGCCTCACCAGATGACCTTAGACATCGGACATGGAGTGGCATTAAATTCTATGTCAAAAATAGAATCACTGCAATTCGAAAACAAAATCTAAAATAAAATTCCTTTAAAATAGTTGTTTGGTTTCTATTGACTGTTTTGTATTACTTAAAGTAGTCCCAGTAAAAAAAGATTATGTCTATGGGTCCCATTCTGAACGGCCCTGTCAAAGGGACCCACCAGGTAACAAAAACGTGTATGTGTGTGTGTGTGTGTGTGTGTGTGTGTGTGTGTGTGTGTGTGTGTGTGTGTGTCCTATTGCCTCTCAGCTTGTCCCTTTAATTAAATCCTTACTGGATAAAGCCGGGGAGAGAGACTTGAGCTGGCTTCATGCAGCGCCGTGCCTTCGTTATCGCTCTCACACAGATGAACTAATTACAGACACAGTTCATGGGTCCTTTGTGCATATTCAACATGCTCCAGAAGAAAGGTTTAGTCTGACAATTTTATGATGACATAATTAATTATAATCTGATTGTACAATATCTTATCTTTATATACATTTTATTCAACAATTTGTCAGACATATATTTATATATATTTTATTGCCAATATTTTAAAATGAGTGTCTAAACCTAACCAACACTTTACTGCCACACAAACTAAAATACTTATCGTAGGTATTACATTTAGTTTTTATGATTTATGACTATAAACCAGAATAGAGAACATACTTTAACTAGAAACTTGCAATGGCTGAAGCCATTGCGATTGACTGCGGAACAGATCTAATGTGGAAATCTGCTAAAAAAAATCCTTGAAATCCTTTAAAAAGCCTTGAAACTGTTAAAATACTTGATAGATATTTGAAACTCCTGAAGTCCTTGAAATTGTTGAAACCTTTAAACTCCTGAAATCCTTGAAACTGTTGAAACATTGAAACTCCTGAAATCCTTGAAACTTTTTTAAACCTGGAAACTGTTGAAAGTGTGGAAACTCCTGAAATCCTTGAACCTCCTGATATCCTTGAAACTGGTTAAATTCTTAAACAGCTGAAATCCTTGAAACTACTGAATGTATTGAAAGTGTCCTTGAAACTGAAAAATCCCCTCACCGCTGAAACAATTTGGTTCCTGTAACTAAGGAAACCTGGTCTGTGGTCATTATCTGGTGGTGGTCTGAGTCTTCGTTTGGGTCTTGGTCTGGTGGTATAATGCAACCTATTAGGTTGCATTATACATGAAAAAACCCTATTAAGTTGCATTATACTGGTTTACATGAAAAAAAACCCTATTAAGTTGCATTATACTGGTTAACATGAAAAAAACCCTATTAAGTTGCATTATACTGGTTTACATGGAAAAATCCCTATTAAGTTGCATTATACTGGTTTACATGGAAAAATCCCTATTAAGTTGCATTGTACTGGTTTACATGGAAAAATCCCTATTAAGTTGCATTATACTGGTTTACATGTAAAAAAAAAACCCTATTAAGTTGCATTATACTGGTTTACATGGAAAAATCCCCATTAAGTTGCATTATACTGGTTTACATGAAAAAAAAACCCTATTAAGTTGCATTATACTGGTTTACATGAAAAAAACCCTATTAAGTTGCATTATACTGGTTTACATGGAAAAATCCCTATTAAGTTGCATAATACTGGTTTACATGGAAAAATCTCCATTAAGTTGCATTATACTGGTTTACATGAAAAAAACCCTATTAAGTTGCATTATACTGGTTTACATGGAAAAATCCCTATTAAGTTGCATTGTACTGGTTTACATGGAAAAATCCCTATTAAGTTGCATTATACTGGTTTACATGAAAAAAACCCTATTAAGTTGCATTATACTGGTTTACATGTAAAAACCCCTATTAAGTTGCATTATACTGGTTTACATGGAAAAATCCCTATTAAGTTGCATTATACTGGTTTACATGGAAAAATCCCTATTAAGTTGCATTATACTGGTTTACATGGAAAAATCCCTATTAAGTTGCATTATACTGGTTTACATGGAAAAAATCCCTATTAAGTTGCATTATACTGGTTTACATGGAAAAATCCCTATTAAGTTGCATTATACTGGTTTACATGGAAAAATCCCTATTAGGTTGCATTATACTGGTTTACATGTACAAATCCCTATTAAGTTGCTTTATACTGGTTTACATGTAAAAACCCCTATTAGGTTACATTATAGTGGTTTACATGTAAAAATCCTTATTAAGTTGCATTATACTGGTTTACATGTAAAAACCCCTATTAAGTTCCATTATACTGGTTTACATGTAAAAACCCTATTAAGTTGCATTATACTGGTTTACATGTAAAAATCCCTATTAAGTTGCATTATACTGGTTTACATGGAAAAATCCCTATTAAGTTGCATAATACTGGTTTACATGGAAAAATCCCCATTAAGTTGCATTATACTGGTTTACATGGAAAAATCCCTATTAAGTTGCATTATACTGGTTTACATGGAAAAATCCCTATTAAGTTGCATAATACTGGTTTACATGGAAAAATCCCCATTAAGTTGCATTATACTGGTTTACATGGAAAAATCCCCATTAAGTTGCATTATACTGGTTTACATGGAAAAATCCCTATTAAGTTGCATTGTATTATACTAAGGTTTACATGGAAAAATCCCTATTAAGTTGCATTATACTGGTTTACATGGAAAAATCCCTATTAGGTTGCATGATTACACTGAAGTCCTTGAAACTGCTGAAGTCCTTGAAACTGCTGAAGTCCTTGAAACTGCTGAAGTCCTTGAAACTGCTGAAGTCCTTGAAAACTTGTGCTGAAGTCCTTGAAACTGTTGAAGTCCTTGAAACTCTTGAAACTCTTGAAATCTTGAAACTGCTGAAATCCTTGAAACTGTTGAATCCTTGAAACTGTTGAATCATTGAAACTGTAGAAATGTCTGAAAGAGCTGAAGTCCTATTAAAATGCATGGGCCTATTAAAATGCATTGCAGAATTCTCAATGCAGATTTTTGTCCGATTGCGGAAAAACCGGAAATCGCTGAAGTCCCAAAAGTAATAGCAATAATCTCCCAAACATGTGGAACGTTTTGATGTATAACTTGTGGAAATTGTTGAAAATGTGAAAGCTGTGAAACGTGTCAAAAAAAATGACGGAATAAAGAAATACAAAACCAATGGTTGACTGCGGAAGGTTCCGCAGTCAATCAATGACTGCGGAAGGTTCCGCAGTCAATCAATGATTCAACATTACAGTTGTTCATGTTGTTTTTCGACAACAAGTATATGTGAAGGGGCTGGTTCTACGGGTACTGGGTGCAGCTCTGACTGCCAACCCCCAACCCCGAAATGGATAAAGGGGAAGAAATTGGATGGTGGATGGAAGTATATGTGAAAATAACTTAAACAATGATATGATTTATCTACATGTATCTAAACAAGAATTATGATATTAAAGATTAATGGACAGTAATAATGCCATAGAGTCAATCTATTCTCCACAGACACCAGTATTTCCTGGAATTATCTGCCATTTTGGCTCAGAATCCCTCCGCTTTGGATAGGTTTTTGGCAGAACACATTGTTTTTGTGCAGATAGGCCCCAGTACAAATATATTGTCGGAGTGTCCTAAAAAGTGAAAGTGTTGGATGTCTGGTGCCTGTTCACACTTGCCAGATTCATATCGACCACTGAGCACCTTTTCAAACATGTTGTTTATTGTCCCTGGAATTTGCTCACTGTGTAATGATATTTTATGAGAGGTAGATTCACACTGTGGTGCCGTTTAATACGTTTCGTCGTATTGTAACGGTGTTGGCGAAGGCACAGGTTTAGTGCTTTTGAATATGGTATCTCTGAAATAATATTTAATTGATATAAATTGATATTTAAGTTATTTTAAATTTATTGAGTGGCAAACGGAAATGCTTTGACTGTACAGAATATCGTTATTTTTTGAGGTACTTATACTAAATAAAATGCGTCATTCTGTGTTAGGAACTCCACTATTTCTCTACAACTAATGCTAGAAACTACTTTTGAATTATACTGCAATATATATATATATATATATATATATATATATATATATATATAACATACATACATATATCTGTCTTGTGTCCCTTGCAGGATCTGTCGGCAAAAACCTGGCTAACAAGCCCAATGTTTATGTATCCAGCAGCGCTGGAGCCCGCTGGAAAGAGGTAAGTACAAAATGACAAGTAACGTACATCTTCAAAAACCTTCTGGTGGGAAAGTTTTAAATCAGAACTCCTAACTAGGTCCAGATGGAAATGTGGACTGAGGCCAGATTTTTGTTTTTATTACATTGTAAATTCATTGGCTTTTTCAGGCTCTTGCTGGTCCTCACTTCTACACATGGGGAGACCATGGAGGGATTCTGATGGCCATTCCACAAGGAGGCTCCTCCACAAATCTAAAGTAAGTCTTCACTTCAAGTCCAGTGACGTGTTGTTGACTGTGCCACAGCTTGTTGAAATCAAAGTCCAAACATGCCAGTAATCATGCCAGCTGTGCATCAGATTCGAGGCATGCCATATTTTATCAATTGAATCATCTGAGAAGAAGTGTAGGACTGCCAAATCAATGTCTTGGACATGCTTAAAACACACATAATTTGCCTGGAAACAGACACAGCATGAGATTATACTTGTGATGGTCAGACTGGTGTGCCCTGGTCTATGGAATTAGTAATGGCAGTAATAATACCTCACATGATTGCTATAGCACACAACTCAAAATGTAATATTACTCACAATTACCAATTATCAAACATTCATTCTACATTCAAAATTTGTTCCATAATTTTACTCAATTTATATTATAGCACTGTGTGTATAGTATAGTGGCTGAGTGGATAGCACTCTCTCATCAGCAAGAAGGTCCTGGGTTCGAATACCGGTCTGATTTCAGTTTGCATGTTCTTCCCCTGCCTGCGTAGGTTTCCTCTGGGTGCTCCGGTTTCCCCTACGACTAAAAACATGCACAATAGGTATAATCCTCCAGCTGCAGTAGTCCTGACCAAGCCGAGCATCAAAATCTGCAGATGGGTACCCGGGCGCTGTACTACGGTGACCACTGCTCCTCACAAAAGCCTTAGTGGCATTGGGATGGTGGGACGACAGTAGCTCAGTTGGTAGAGCATTGGCCTTAAGCCCAGAAGGTTGTGGGTTCAATTCCCGCCTCTGCACCTTCTCAACCGACTCCCACTGATGACTGCTGTCGTTGTGTCCTTGGGCAAGACACTTAACCCCACTTTGCCCAAAGCCCCCACTGAAAGATCAAGGCTATGCTCACACTCAGAGAGCAGCCGTCCTCCTGTGGACTCACCACCTGCAGAGGGTCAGTGAGGGGCTGGTGCTATGAGACTTGGGTGGCATCTCTGACTGCCACCCCCCTGACCCAGAAATGGATTAAAGGGTAGAAAATGGATGGATGGATGGATGGCATTAGGATGGGTCAAATGCAGAGGATGAATTGCAGCTTTTGGTGGAAAAAGACATTTTTGTCTTGTGTTCTGCATTAGGATTTTATCATAAGTGTGTTACCACTTTTTAGCTCACTTAGATGCAGGGACCCACTTTGGGCTCTGGAAGGTAAATATCTCTTTAGGTTAAATAATTGAGATGCCTCGAATGTTTGAGAAATTAAGGATGTATTTTGCACTTCTGAGCTTGTTGCTTGTTTTGCTTTAAAGGTCCAGTGGCCTTTAATGTAAACGTAATCAACTGTTGTAAAACAAAATTTACATACAATTTTCTGTTTGCCATTTTAGATTCAGCACAAACGAAGGAGAGACTTGGACTGATTTTAAATTCTCAGATCGAGAGGTGTACATCTACCAGCTCCTGACTGAACCTGGAGAGAAGAGCACCATCTTCACCATCTTTGGCTCCTACGCCGATCAGCGGCACAGCTGGCTCATCCTGCAGGTCAACGCCTCCAGCGTCCTGGGTCAGTGACACTTTGAATGTCAACTCTGGGCTGAATGCTGACTTGTTTATCATTATTTTAACAACATTCTACACGTTAATAATAATAATACATTTTCATTTTCATTATAAACATATAGACGTTAATCTGCAACACAATGCGACAGACCTAACACAATAAGCTCCAACTTTATTACTTTAAAAACACTTTAATTAACACTAAAACACTGACCTGGCAAAGTCCTGCTTGCTTCCAGAAAAAATACTTTGACTATGGGGCCTTTTAAGTTAGGAAAAAACGTGTCAGTGCTTTGTTCAAATAAAATAAAAATCAATGTATACAGGTGTGGAATAACAATTACAAGGAAGAGTTGTTTATAAGGTAAGCTAATGTTATGTATCTTTAGTGTTGTAATTGTAAACTGGGCTCAGTGGTGTTGTAGAGGTAGTCGTTGGGTTATAAAAGACAGGATGGCAGACTGTTGGCTGTTGTTTTGTTTATCATTTAATAACCCCATACTCCTGCTCTGTAAAAAGTATCTATCTCCATGAAGAAAGTTCGAAGTTTAATCTTGTGGAACCACTAAGAGTAATGTGCAAAATGTCACTTCTAACAATACATAAAAGATGCGTGCTGTCATTTTTGGGCGTTGACATCTGCTGTTTTCCTTCTCATACTGTGCAGGCGTCCCATGTTCAGAGGCGGACTACAAGCGCTGGTCTCCCTCAGATGAGCATGGGAATGATTGTTTACTGGGCAGAGAGATCACATTCAAGAGACGGGCTCCACACGCCACATGCTTCAATGGAGAAGACTTTGACAGACCGGTCACCATCTCCAACTGCTCCTGCACCAGACAAGACTACGAATGGTGAGAGTGGTTGATTGAGTTTCAGCGTGGGACAATATAGGAAGTAAAAATATGAGACTGATTTGGAGTTCAGCAGACTATTCACATGCAGGATGTTGTAGTGTTGTCATGATATCAATTTGGTTTGGGTGATTTTTCTAGTTTTCTCTATGATTTCTATTTTTGTCATCTACCAAAATAATCAAATGGGAATGGTTATCTCATTTGCATTTGAATCATGCTATCACTTAACAATACATTCTTTACAGTGTATACATTTTCCATCTGCCATTTTCCATCCGTCATGAGAATGTTAAATTGTCTTTGCTCTTGAACTATGATCATTTTTTACAAATCAAACAAAGCACAATAGTGGCAAAAGTTTCCTTTTCGTCTATGGAAATTAACGTTGTTCTCAGTAAACTAGGAGATTTAATTCAGCAGAAGTGCTGTTTTTATGCATTGAAGCATGAAGTTGTTATCAAATATTGATTACAATTCGTTCAACTCAATATTAAAACATTATAGCTTCTTGGGCTGTGAACAGCCTGTAACAAAAGTGAAAGAAATTACTACACTAGACATACCTGACTTATATAGACTATTTAGCCTATTGCTCTCCCAAGCAGGGAATTTTCCCAAACTCTGATAATCATCTGCTTGATTGCTTCAAAACAGTGAATCATTTGTAGTATTGGAAAACCTATTATAATTTTGGAAAAACAAAATCCTTAATATTAGGCCCGAGCCCATATTGGACATTCCCCCTCCTGCAACATTCGGCCGGAATCAAAGCGCCAAATCATAACAACATTTCATGTACAGCATATGTCAAGAGACTTTTGAACATGAAAGGTCTTTCGAGTCACATAGGTTTTTACAAACAAACTAGGCCAAGTGGCCCTCTTCGTCGCCACAGGGGTGTGAAGACGGCCCGCAGTCACAAGGGCTTTTTTTCTTAACCGTGCCAGACCAAATGCGCTGTAGTACAACACTCGGTCCAGCTGGTGGCGCTAATAATAACTTCAGCGACTACCTCGTTATCAAGAGTTAAGTTTCCGTTTCTCGTCCTGTTTATATTCTGCTACTGTAGCTAACAGCTTGAGCATTGAATGCGTTGTTTGCATCAGAGCAATGAGAACAAGTGTATATTTCTCCAAAGTGCAGTAGCTCAGTGGGTAACGCGTGTGTGTGTGTGCGTGTGTGTAAGCTTGTGCGCACACCATGCACACAGGAGTGCGCCTGTTAAGTAACGAGCGTAAAGCGCTGAGAGAAGAATGAATGAGAATTAAAGAATTAAAAGTGTGGCATACGAGCAAAGCGACCGGAGCCAGGCAGGACACAAGTGTGTGTTGGTGTGTTCTGGCGATTAAATGAAGACTGATTATTGAATCTATGTTAAAATGAATGCTCATTCAGCCAGCTCACAGTTTTTCTCTCCTTCCTCTCATTTTCTTACAGTGACTATGGTTTCAAACTGAGCGAGGACCTGTCTCTCCAGGTGTGTGTGCCCGACCCAGAGTTTTCGGGCGACCTCTACGCTCCTCCTGTCCCGTGTCCTGTCGGCACCACTTACCGCCGCAGCAAAGGGTAAGCTGTTATTAGAGGCTTCGGAAATGAGCAGCTTGAGAATCCTTTTATGTTCCTCATTTGCATAAAGCCAGTGTCTGCTACTATGCCAGACTGCAATTTACATTTTTATGAGACAGGACGTGTTGTGGTGTTACAAGAATTCATGTTAAGAGTGTGATGTAATGTTGGCATTGGTCTTGCAGCAGTAGTGATGGCAGTTGAGTGCTATAGATTACGTTGCAATATATACAGCATAAACATAAATTACACACCCATATTTTAATAAAACAGTTGACCTAATATTTGTGTTGATATCCTGTTTATCTTTCTGATATACTTCGACATTTACCTATACTAATATTATAACTTTCAAATCCTTAATACCTGTACTAGTACAATTTACAAATTACATAAAGATAATAACAGCATTACCTGTTGCAAAACTGTGTAAATCTACTATCATATATTTGGTCATTTCTAATCTATTTCCAATCTGTGTTCATTAGCCAGTTAATAAAACAATTCTACAATAATTATTACATATTTTTATTATTTATTTCTGTAGGTACAGAAAGGTGCCTGGTGACAGCTGCAGTGGAGGTGATGTTGAGGCCCGACTCGATGGTGAAATGCTGCCATGTCCTGTAGGAGGTAAACTTTCCACAAATGAGTTTCTTGGGGGAGAATATCATTTGAACTATATAGCATAGGAATAAGCCACATTATTATCCATTAATCCACAAATCACAATAGAAACGTCTTCAATAATGTTCTTATTTGATTTGTATATTTCCTTATATTTCAGTTGGGTCCAGTAAAGAAATATAAGCTTGATTATAAAATATTTCAAAATATACGACTGAAACAGCATGCTTATCTTGCAGAGAGTAATGAATTCATCCTGTACGCTGTGAGGAACTCTATCCACCGGTACGACCTGGCCACTGGCAGTGACCAGCCGCTGCCACTCTCCGGTCTCAGGGAAGCTGTGGCTCTGGATTTTGACTACGACCGGAATTGTCTGTACTGGGCTGACATGTCTCTGGACACTATCCAGGTAAGAGAGGAATTGAAAGTACTGAGGCTGTGTACACACTATATATCAAATCAATACTAAACTGTGACTGAAGTTATTGTTGACTAGAACTAGTTGTTTGAATTTCTCACTTCATAATCAAACAAGGACAAAAATTAAAGGTATATAGGAGGATTTTCTACTTCTGTGTTGATCATCAAGATTATTGGTCCTCCCAACTGTCAATCCTTCGAGTGATACATGCTTGTCAAATAAAACCATAGAGTTTTGTTCAAAATGTGGAGGGAGTGGTTATTTCCTAAAATTGGGGAAAATCCAATATACCTTTAATTAGGACTTAAAAGCTTTGGTACCGGTACATACATTTAAGACCAGAAAAAATGAATCAATGTAATAAAATCGGTTTCACTAGTTATTTGCTCTCAATACAGTTTGGTTCTATCTCTCAAAAAGTGACTCACATGGCTATTCCAAGTATGCAAAAATGTCTTCTAATAAGATAACATTTAACTTTAACAAAATTTTCTGTTAGGACAATCATGTTGATTACAACAAAAAAATCTACTCCAGCTATAAGGATAGTAGAATTATTATTTATAATTGTTATTATTGCTCTACCATCACTGGGCTGTGAATTATTCTTCTCTGCTTAATTCTACACAGTTGTTTTAATCAACAAAATTCCTTGTTAGTGGTAAAAAGGTAATTGGTAAAATTTTTGTTTGTTTTGCATCAGCGCTTGTGTCTGAACGGTAGCTCGGGGCAGGAAGTGGTCGTTCGAAAAGACCTACAGAACGTGGAGGCCCTGACATTTGATCCTGTTAGTCGACTTCTATACTGGGTTGACGCTGGAGCACAGAAGATTGAGGTAAATCATGCATTTTGTTGGCTTTTTGTTGGTGAATTTGATACAAGTTGTAAAAACCAATTGTCATTTTCAGGTTTCTAACCCCGATGGCGACATGAGGCACACTCTGCTAAACTCGTCCATTCTGGAACATCCGAGAGCTCTGGTGCTGCTTCCTGGAGAAAGGTGATATTTTTTATGTCACCAGTCCTTTAACCCAAATACTGGAGTTTATGCTGTTTTTGAGAAGCCCATGCATTTAAGACTTTTTTGTTCACAAATTATCTTGGTTATGAATACATTGAATCTAATGGTTGACGTTAAAACCTTAGAGTATTGTCTTTTTGTTTTTGTTTCAGTCTGATGTTTTGGACAGACTGGGGTGCCCATGCTGCTGGTGTGTACCGCAGTTTCATGGATGGCACTAATGTGTCGTGCATCGTGTCTGAGGGTGTGCGCTGGCCTAATGGCATCACAGCTGACGACAACTGGCTGTATTGGACCGAGGCCTACAGCGACCGCATCGAGAGGGCCGACTTCAGTGGAGCTCAAAGAAGTGTCCTGATGGAGGGTCTCCCACATCCATATGCCATAGCAGTCTTCAAAGTAAGCTACTGTTCTTTAGATTTCTCATATGCCCTTTACAAAAATGCACCTCTGATCCAGAGATGATCCTTCCAAGGCCCCGGTGTACACTCCCATTAAGATCCGGATTAGCCAATATACTTACAGAGCTGCAGATCCTCCTCCCAGAACAGATCAATGTGCTCTTTTCTTTCATTACATGAAGAGCATTAGTTTAGTGGTGAAACTGTGGTGAAGAAATGTGTTTATTCCCCTTTCACTTATAGCTGCTGTAATATCTCCTCAGCCCTACTCTACTCCCCCGGATATGATACTTCTGTGTTCAAATACAAAATCCTGAAGTTACACAGAAGTTACAGACTTTGCTGCATAGATCCCAAGAAGATCCAAATTCAGAACGTTGTGTTCTCTGATTGTGCTCCATTTCTGTTTGTACATTGATATAACAAGACTTTAGGAGGAGGTGGCACACTGTACAACAGTGATCTCCAAACATGTACAAATGTCTATTAGCCTTTTTGTGATAAAACACAACAAAATATTATAAATAACAGTCTACTATTTACACAATAACAATAATTCATGTGATTATGTTTCTATAGAATGATCTTTACTGGGATGACTGGTCCAGAATGGGAATTTTTAAGGCTCCAAAAGGTGGATCCCAGGGCAATGAGTTGATTGTTGGTAGACTTACTGGAGTAATGGACCTAAAGATATTTTACAAAGGCAAACACAGAGGTAAGTAGAAAATATGTGGTGTTTCTGTTAAAAAGGGAATGTAATCATTTTATTTTGATTAATTTTCAATACATATGCAAATAAATACACACTATCCATTTACCCATTACCTATAGACAGTCTGCACCATCCATCCATCCATCCATCCATCCATCCATCCATCTTCTTCCCCTTAATCCATTTCTGGGTCGGGGGGGTGGCAGTCAGAGCTGCCCCCAATTCACTTAGCACCTGTCTGCACCTTTGTATCTAAACAAATATTACATCTCAACATTGCTGCTTTGTCATATGGTATCTTTACGGGCCATCTGTTTAAAATCTTTTCTTCTAAAGTTTTTGGGATTAAAAGTACCATAGTAACGGCAACAATTTCCAGTTATGTGACTTGCCAAATGAATAGTGTGTTTTGTTCAACAACAAAAAAGCAAAATTGAGCTTGCACTGTCTCTAATACAGTATATGAATCTGTTTTAATTGGTTGATCCGCAGGCCATAATGCATGTGCCGACCAGCCGTGCAGTCTGCTCTGTCTGCCTCAGCCTGGACATCGTCATACATGTGTTTGTCCTGACGGCGCACCCACCTTCATGTTGCCCAATGGAGAGCTGCAGTGTCAGTGTCCTAAAGGCTACCAGCTCCTCAACAACACCTGCGTCAAGACCGGTGAGACAAAAACACTCATGTGTATTACAACATGTGTTTATACAACCCACTGTATGTCTGCTATGAGATTTACTTTAAAGACAAATGTGTGTATTTATGGAGGGTTTGTGTTTGTGTTTGCAAAAGTGATTAGCGGCATTTAACATTGGAGAAAGCTAATTTATCATGTTCAATAGACCTAAACCACTAAACAATTTGTTTTGCACGATTTGTTTAATTAAAAGATGAGTATGTTTTTTACAAAGTGCAATGTTCAAAATATGACATAGACAAGAATATAAACCTAAATATATAATAAACAACATCAGAATACTGGAGTTCACAGTTCAAGTGCTCATAGAGGACACATTTGCGTAAAAGTCTCATTTTGGTCAAAAAGCATTGGTTTCTCATAGGGCTGTCCAAAATAGCGCGTTATTAACGCGTTAACGCAAATCAATATTAACGCCGTCATTTTTTTTATCGCGCGATAATAAAAAAAAAAAAAAAAAAAAAAAGCTTTTTTTTTTTTTTTTTTTTTTTTTTTTACTTTTTATTGCAGACAAACACACATACAGAAAAAAAAATAGAAACAAAGAAAAGGACTAGTTCAGATACATTGTAGACAGAGATTACAAACAATATGTAGTTGGAGATACAGGGGGCCAAAGAAGAAACCCAGAAGGGCACATAGGAGGGGAGGGGGGGGGGGGGGACATGAAGTGGGAGATGGGGGGAGGGGTTAATAAAAAAGGCAATACAAGCAAACAGTATACAGTCATAGATATACCGAAGGTAAACAGAGAAACAGCATAGAGTATTTACATGAACAAATTTACAAAATATTTACAGATTGTTTATCATCATCATAATGACACCATGATGTTTCTATACAGTCTATGGTCTATACCCACACATACACACACACACCCACACACACACATTGAAGGGGCTTTTTGTTACCAATTATTTATTTTGTCATCCATTTATTGATGATTTTGCATCAAATGTTAGTGTGTAATATAACACTACACATTGTTTTCAATAAAAAAAGCAATTGCACACAGCACGCAAATGTGTGACTAATTTGCGATTAATCGCGAGTTAACTATGAAATTCATGCGATTAATCGCGATTAAATATTTTAATCGTTGGACAGCACTAGTTTCTCATTAAATAAATGCTGAGACATCATAATATTAATCACTCTCCATATCTATTTTTTCCTTTGTGATGATCAGAGCAAAGTTGTTTACCGAACCAGTACCGCTGCTCCAATGGCCGCTGCATTAACAGCATTTGGAAGTGTGACAGTGACAATGACTGTGGCGACATGAGTGACGAAAAAGAATGTCGTAAGTAAAAGGAAGTCCTCATCTTACCAATTATTTTAATATTATTATTATTTCACTTTTTTCTGTCTACCAGCCACCACCACCTGTGACCCATCCAACCAGTTCCGATGCGTGGCCTCAGGGTCCTGTATCCCTTTGGCTTTTAAGTGCGACCATGAAGACGACTGTGGAGACAACAGCGATGAAGATCGCTGTGGTAGAATTTGCTTCCATTTCTCCACGAATAATTAATAATGAACAATGGACAATTTCACACATAAAAAGACTATGTGACGAATCAATAAAACAGTCAAATCTAAAAGAAATACAGCAGAATAAAGCAGACAGACAACAAGAAAGACGAAACAAAGACAAAGTGGAACAGTGAAGTGGAAAATGTGAATTTTAAAACTAGCAGTTAAAGGCTGTTTGATAAAAGTGGGTTTTAGGGAACTATTTAAAAGAGGTTACTGATAGAGTTAGCCTTATCTCCTCAGGCTGGTCGTTTCAGAGCCGAGGAGCTTATACCATATTAACTTGTGGTGCATTGTGTCTATAGAGTCTCACCAGTGTGGTCCAGGAGAGTTCACTTGTGCTCGAGGAGTGTGCATTCGTGAGGCCTGGAGATGTGATGGAGACAACGACTGCAGAGACTGGTCTGATGAGGCCAACTGCACCGGTACGTCATCTGAATATTTTATGAATATGCGTTTTCTGGTGTGATTATGTGAAAGGTTGTGGTCTAGTGCGTCTTCCATTCTCCCCATTTGTGTGAGAGTTAGCGCAATTGTACACTTTTACACTTTGAAAAGCTGAATGCTGCAGGTCCAGAGAAGAAACAAAACCATAATTGTGTGTGTATGTCAATGCTTTCTTTGTGTGTTCCTAGTTGGCCACCATACATGTGAAGCCAGCAGTTTCCAGTGCCACACAGGACACTGTATCCCACAGCGCTGGAAGTGTGACGGGGATGATGACTGTCAGGACGGATCAGATGAAGATCCTGAGCACTGTGGTAATGCGCTGCTCCACTATACTGTAGAAACATACTGTACTTGTGTTCTGAAGTAGTTTCTAAATAACAGCTCAGCTCAGAATGTGGACGACCAGATACTATCATATTTACACTGCTCTTCCTTATCAGATGGGAATGCAACTGTGCTCATAGATTCCCTTGGTTCTGGGTTGTTTTGTGTAAACAAGTGCTTGCTATTTTCTTGTTATATTGCTTTTTCTATTGTAATTCTCAGGTGCCACTTGAGGTAGTATTTGGCTTTCCGAGTCCCTCCAAATGTGTATTTGATCTAAAAAAAACAGCTCTAAAAGGAAACTATACTGTTGATAAGATGGCTCAAGCCCTTTTGCCGTCTCAGGCTTTTCAGAAACGTTATGTGAAAAGTTTGAGCCCTAAAACTTTAGAGAATATAGAGGACTATTTAAAATATGAATATAAATAAATAAAACTATAATATGTAAACGCTGTCAATTGTTCAAGGGCTGCCAGGTTGCAATATAGAACATTTCCTGGAGTCATGAGCTCATGTAACAAGGTTAACTCAAAGGGCACATTTGAAAGATATTGATATGATCCTATTACCATTTCCATCAATGTGTGGGTGAAACACATGCATAGATCAGTAAGCACATTTCCATTTCATGTCTTAAAATTGGTCATAAAGTCAAAGCTAAAAACTTGGATTTAATGTTGTTTTAGAGGGGACTAAGTGTAAAGGCTTCCTCTGCTCCAATGACACCTGCCTCCCAGCGACCGCACACTGTAACGGCATCCAGGAGTGTTCAGACGGAGCAGACGAACAGAACTGTGGTAACCATTTTACACCTTTATTCATGTGCTATTTCATATGCAACTATTACTATTATCCACATTTGTCTTTCAGATCCACTGTGCACCCGTTACATGGAGTTTGTGTGTAAGAACAGAGCCCAGTGCCTGTTTCAGTCTCTGGTCTGCGATGGGATCATACACTGTGAGGACGGATCAGATGAGGACTCAGAGTACGCTGGCTGTGGTGAGTGACTTTGACAGATGTAGTTTAATTCATTATGCCAATGTCTTATTGAAGAATAAGCCAAGTAGAGCTAGCTCAAACCGGCTTCTTGAGCATAAATTTGGGGCCAAGGTAGTGGGTAGAAATGATTCGGTAGCCAAGGCAGGAACTGTGGTGGTCTGCTCTTATTCGATCTAACAATTATGATTGGTCAGTTATTATGGATCATACCTGGATTTGCACAGACAATATCCAAATAAAAACACCAGGATCACACAGATATTTGAGCCAGAATGTTGAGTGTCACACAAACAGTTAGAGGAATTCATTTTCTATGCAAGCGAATGGAGTCAAAGCGAGTTGAAGCAAAACTTTGAGCACTTCCGCATTAGGCTTCATAGAGCTAGCGGTTTAGCACTGTTAATTCCTATATTCAGCCTATTTAATTGCATGTTAATTTGTATTTATTTTTTGTTTCAGCCACGCCTACAGAGTTCGGTAAAGTGTGCGATGCTTATACTTTCCAATGTGGTAACGGGGTCTGTGTGAGCCTGGAGTGGAAGTGTGACGGCATGGACGACTGCGGAGATTACTCAGATGAAGCAAATTGTGGTAAGGGGGAAACACGTGAAAGAGCCTGTAAACAGCGTTTTCTGTATTTTACCATGCCCCAAATCTGATGCTCTATGCCGTATATGTTAGAAAATAATCATTTAAAGTATAATACTAATTTCTGTATTCTGTATTGGAATTATGCAATTTTTTTAATGGGAAGTTTGCCACTAATATGGCTAGTTCTTCTTAGCTTACCTTGAGAAAAAACTGCGATCTGAAATTTGCTCATTGATAGAAAATAGCCAATTGTCAGAAGAAGTGATTAAAACATTTATCCGTTCTGTTGTTGACAGTTTTAGGATTGTGATGCGTGATGCTTTAAGTACATTTTCTTTGACAGCCGCTCCCACTGAAGTACCAGGATGTTCCAGGTACTTCCAGTACGAGTGTAAAAATGGCCGCTGCATCCCGACATGGTGGAAGTGCGATGGAGAGAACGACTGTGGTGACTGGTCTGACGAGGCTCAGTGCACTGGTAAACACACTGAAGTTTAATCAGAATCTTTTATTGCCATTTGTGGGTGAACAGGGAATTCACAAACTACAAATTTGCGTTGGGATTTATGGTACAATAGCAATGACAAAACAGTAAAATATAGATATAATAAGGCATGCATACAAATCTTACTAATATAATTCTAAAATATATAAACATAATAGATATATTACAGTGCAAGTTATTAAGTGCACAGAGTTATGAAATTATAAAGTGTCCTGACTATGGAAATACATATACAAATGACTAACATGACATAACTCGCCCTTCTGTTGCATCATAGGAGGGGTAACTCCACACACGGTGGCCCCGGGACCCTCCACCTGCGCCCCCAACCGCTTCCACTGTGGCTCTGGAGCTTGTATCATCAACACGTGGGTTTGTGACGGCTACGCAGACTGTCCTGACGGCAGTGACGAGCTTGGCTGTCCCACAGGTAGGAAAGCTCAGCTGTAGTTTTTGATTCAGTAAAATGACAAAGTGCTATTACTAACAATGTCATGTGTTAATATGAAACTACAGAATGCTTACACATAATTACATTTTCATCTTTTTGTTAATTGTTGAGTAAGTGGATTGAGTTGCCAGAATAGTACTCAAGTTAGAGTAAAATTATTCTTCAGTATAATATTACTTAAATAATAGTATAACGTCATTTTGAGTATTAAAAAGGGAAACTACTGGAAGTAATTATTCTGTTTTATACTTGTGATCATAAATGAATAGATAACTTATTTAGCAATTCAAAATTACTTGTGAAAAAATAGAAAAGAATAAACCCAAAGGAGAAATCAAAAAACAAATGAATCAAATTCATTCATTTTGTTACATAAACATAAATTATCAAGACTTGATACAACTCAATATCTATGCAAACTGTTATTTCAAATACAGTATCACATTGATATCGTAATCTATCTCCGTATGACCCACCACTGTTTGTATTAATGGATCATTGGCTACAATTTCCCTTCTAATCCAATGCTTGTTCAAACCGAGTGCATACTCGTTACAAAAACAAGTCATCCTCATCATTATGTTGCAGTGATAAGCTTGAATTGTTCTGGGCCCCTCACCTTACATAATGCCTCCTTGTTTGTGTCCGTCTGTTTATCTTAACACATGCTAGAGACTTTTGACCAAGTTATAGTTGCTTGTAGTAACACACATTTGCTTACATTTGCATGTTTGAAATACTGTACATCTATAATCAATCCTTCAACAAATGGTCAAAACATATTTATTTGTTGTGCGATTGTCAAATATATGAATGCATTTGTGAAATTGTCTTGTCAGTGAACGGCTCTGTGACTGTAGCCCCAGTCCCCACACTCGTTCCGCCGCAGCCTCCATTTCCGGGGCGATGCACTCGGGGCCAGTTCCTCTGTGTCAAACCTCCAAACTGCATCCCAGACTGGCAGCGCTGTGACGGACAAGCTCACTGTCAGGACGGCTCTGACGAAGCCCATTGCCGTGAGTGTACACTGCTCAACTTTCTTCAAACATATATTACACGTCTGTATCAGACAATAGCAGTGGTGGAGTTTCAGGTACTACAAGAGAAAAGTTCTGCACTTCAGTTACATTTTTAGGTACAGCTCTTTAATTCATTGCATTTTAGACAACTATGGTACAGTATCTATACTTTGAAATGTTTTGAACTGGACTGATGGACTGAAATTTAAAATGACTTTCCCTTCATGGTCACAGATCAAAATGGATAGTATTGTTTTTCTAGTTTAATTCATGCTTGAACCACTTGACTAATCAACAATCAAGAAATTTGCGTCCATGTTCACACAGTTGTTGTTATAGACAAAATCATCTTACTATTTTTTCACCTTTTCTATTTAAAAAAAAAAAAACTCTTAAAGTACCTGTTTGAAGTGGTACCTCAATACATTTACCTAAAGCTGGTGTAACTAACTTTTTGCTTCAGAAATCCATTTTTGCATCCATATGCATGTGAAAACTAGTAATGGATCAAAATGTTCTAGAGCCAAGAACTAGTTGATGGATTTTATTACACATATCTATAGTTTGAAAGGTGCTTTCCCCCAAAATCCTTCTTCCACCACTGTCATTCTGGTCGTTTTAAGCCCACTGTATGTTATAAATGGTGTATGTTTCTGCAGCCACCCGTGGGCCTTTGTTCTGTGTGAATGGGACTCGTTGTGCGGACGGAGAGGCCTGTGTTCTGGAAGGTGAGAGGTGCGATGGTTTCCTGGACTGCTCCGATCACAGTGACGAGGACAACTGCACCCGTAAGGATTTGACCATTTCATAAGAACAACTCTGCTGCCCTCTATGGGTGATGAAATGTAGAGCTTAATTTATTTATTTTTTGCCGTTTCATGTTTTGATTTTAGCTGAGAATCAGGCGTTCAAAGTTCAGAATCTGCAGTGGACTCCTGACTTTCTCGGTACCGTCACGTTGACCTGGTCCCGGCCGAAAAACCTGCCATTGGATTCATGCAACTTCCTCATCTCATACAGGTTTGGTACAATGTTCTGGATCCCCACAATTATTTTTCAAAAATACAATTTGCATAAAAAAACATTATTACGACGTGCTTAGATATTATGGTTGTTATTTTTCCACTGGAAAGAAAATTAACGTATCCTGACTCTTGATTGCTTGCTTTTTCACAATCCTGACTCGGACTTAGAGTTGTCCTTGAAATTTTCCTTTTTTCTTTCCATTCTTTGGCATGAAACTCCTCTCCATCCATCATCAAGAAAAATAATGCTTTTCGTCTGTTTAAAAAAAAAATTAACCAAAAGATATGAGGAAAAAAATATATACTTAAAATAAATGGTTTCTACTGGTTATTTTAAAAGCATGAATTTGTGACAAAAACAAAAACCCTCGGAGCTGATTGTCTATCCTAAGGACTTTAGTAAAGAGCGAGTGTGTGATTGGGTGATCTGTAAACTAAAGCATTTTTGTAGCTTTGCGCCCACCATTATTTTTATGAAAAATTCTTTATAACGTTTTAATGATTGATATTTCTTTTTTATCATGCAGTTCTAAATTAAGTTAATTGATAACAAATTCATGCATTTGAGTCTTCTTAAAGAGCAAATTGTTGTGTGCAAATCCTGATCTGATCCTTCCCACATTTCCCTGCTCTGTGCCTCTCGTTCTCAGGCTAGTGGAAGCTCAGCAGTGGACCGTGATGGACACTCACAGCAACAAAACCAGCTACAAACTGACAGTGCTGCAGCCGGACAGTACATATCAAGTAAAGGTCCTCACCCAGTGTCTCAGCAAACTGCACAAGACTAACGAGATCATCACCGTCAGGACGCCAGAGGGCCGTGAGTGTTTGATCTACCACTATAGCTAAATGTGCAGCTTAAATACATGTTTTATGATGTTAAGTCGGTAAACAGCTGGTCAAAAAGAAATCACTGTAGGTTTAAATGTCATCTAATTGTAAGAATGTTATTTTCCAAGACATATTGAGTGACGTTGCCAACTCTAAAAAAACTACGGTGGAGACACCAGTGCTAACTCAATTTGCTTAAATTGAGTTTGTACGAATCTACTTGAATTGCTGCTTCTTCACTCTGAATACTTTCCATAAAAGTTTGGCTACTTTGATTTTTTTTTTAATCTATGATCCATGTTTGGCCCAATAGAGTGTTTTAAAAATAAAATGTTGCGAACAAATCAAATCTTTGTCTTGTTATGTTAAGACATGTTATGTTATGTTATCTTTTGCATACTTGAGCCTCGTGAGTCACTATTTGACCTTTTGGGCTCTTATATACTGTATGTCTATTCTCTGTAGTGCCTGATCCTCCCAGGAACCTGCAGCTGTCCTGTGGGAACAGAGAGGACGGGACCGTGGAGGTGTCCTGGAGCCCCCCTGACAAGTCTCATGGCCTCATCAGAGAGTATATTGTGAGTCTAAACTGTTTATAATTCATCTTTAAGTTGTATACAGGAAGAGTGCACAATGATATGTTGGTGTCTAATTGCCTAATGCTAAACTGTGTGTTGCAGGTTGAATATAGTGAGAGGAGCGGACAGGACTGGACGTCTCAGAGGTGTGTGGTGACAAGCACCGAAGTGAAGGCTCTGCGCTCGGACACTATGTACAAGTTCAGGGTGAGTACACATACTTTTAATAAGTTGCTTACACATAATTTTAAGAGCATTCTAATAACTTGAATTACAGCAAGTTTTTGTCAATGAATGGACATTAAATAAACTTGGATTGGGATAAAAAAAAGTCATTACATTACTTCCAATAGCAGCTTGTACATGTCTTTAGTGTGAGATTAATAAAGTTTTAGCTTATCCTAAAAACCATGTTGTAATATGTTCCCAGAAGTTCCCAGTGTCTCAGTCAATGTGTCATGCAGTAACTGGCATTTTCTAGTGTTTAACAAATGTGCATGTTTTTTAGGTGGCTGCTTTGACCAGTCGCGGATTAGGAAACTGGACTGAAGTTAAATCAATTACTCCCCAAAAAGGTAATTCTAGAATTCCTCTTGATGTTTTTGTTGCTTTTTAATGCTGCTCCCTCCTGGTAACTTTTGGTTACAAAACTGATTATATCCATGGATCAATATTAAAATCATATGAATACATGGAAGTATCTTTCCTTACATAATTATTTAAATAATGGGTTTGTTTATTTTAACAGCTGGCTAAGTTTCATATTTGCCATTTCCTTATTTTTCTATTTTTGGGTCCTGCAGCTCTTCCACCTCCCTCAGTGAACGCTGACATCACAAACGATTCCATTAGTTTCTCCTTCAGCTTTAGCTCACAGTACGAGGTAATTATGATTCTGAGTAAAGTTTGGCTTCTATATACTGTGCTCATTTGAGTTCATTTTTTATTCTCTTTTTTATGTTCTTTCTTGAAGGCAAAGCACTATGTAGTGGTTTTGTCCTGGCAGTTTGACAGCCACGTGAAGGAGAGCAAAAACTACACCGTACAGGAGAGGATTCTGAAAGGTATTCATACGACATACAACTGTCTGATAACTGTGGTTTGTAGTTTATCATCTTTGTCTTTTTGCCAAAATCAAACCTTTTTTTTTTCTTTTCATTTCTATGATTTTTAGTGCATCAAGCATGTGTTTATCTATTTTCAGCTGGACAACTGCAGTGGTCTTTTTTAACTATGCACTTTAATGGATGTAGTTAGTCCAAAATAGTGCTGTGCAGCTTTTAAAATGAAGCAAAAAAATGAAAGCACATTTGTAAGTAAGTAACTAAGTAATCTTTTATTTATATACCGCTTTTCACAGATCAGAGTCACAAAGCAGTTTACAATTGTGGGCATTTGTCTCTCACTCCACACAGAGATGGGAGCAGGGTCGCCTGTACAGGAGGCGCATGCCAGACCTATTGTACATGTTTTTAGTGGTAGGGGAAACCGGAGTACCCGGAGGAAACCTACGCAGACATGGACAATTTGTCCAATCCTTGTGTTTCTTCCTGTGAATTTTTTTGAATTGATTTTAAGATTTTATTGATTGTAAATCTTTTAATGGACTGACACCACAGTACATATTGAATCTCATCCAAAGGTGTCACCTGTTCTGCTGGTGAGGTCCGAAGCACAGTTCTAACTCATGGCGCCTGAAACCAGACTAAACCAGGGGGACAGGGCATTCTCACCCCCCCCCCCCCCCCCCCCCCAGTGTCAAAACAGCTACTTCGTGGAGTGTTCTATGTCCTGCTTTAAGACCCACTGTTACTCTCTGCTTTTTTTAACACTGCATTAGTTGTGTGGTCCTTTCATTTCTATTCTCTTTTTTTTTTCATTTTATTATTTTTTGGCAGATGGATGTTTGCAATATTAATTTGCTTACGTGCAGTATTTTGCCATAAAAAATAAAGTGGATTGGGTAAGTGACACTTTGTCATGATATGTCCCTCCTGTTGCAGTTCTGAATCTGACGGCGGGGACTGTGTATGAGGTGGCAGTGTGGGCTCACACCAGTATTGGGGACAGTCCGTCTGCTCTGTCCCATCACCAGACCAGCGGCGAACAACCAGAGCGACCACTGCTCAAGACCCGTGCACTCAACCAGACCTCGGTGGACTGCAGCTGGACCATTAGCGATCCACCTGCACAGGTCTGTATAATCTGTGCCTGTATAAAATATGGTTCACAGAAAAATCCCATAAATGAATTCTTGTTCCATTATGTAAAGTGCTGTTTTTGTGCTCCTTACTATAATATCATGTTTCCGTCGGGTCACAGCTTATTTCTTATTCTTTAAATATGTCAACTAAAATGTGTTTTGTCTACAAAAATCAAATGAATGGATCTATGAACTTTACTGTAAACGGTGTAGTCCAACCGTTTTTTCCTGCACGTTGCTGTATTTCAAATTTATGTGCAAAGTATATATGCATCGACAATAACCTCTATCTGGTCAAATTCTTCTGTGTACTCAAGCGTTATTGCTTTGATGAAACCTGCAAACCGGCTGTATGCAGGTGGTGTACGGTGTGTTCTTTGCCACATCCTTCCTGGACCTTTACCGCAGTCCTCGTCTTGTGCACTCTGCGTCTCTGAGTCTGACGGTGACAGTGGACAGTGACGAGCAGTACCTCTTTCTGGTAAGACTGATGTCGAGTTTGTGGTTTGCGACAAGACTCCTTTCATTTCCTTAGTGATTTTGAACTCAAACAAATTCCACTGGTGCAGAGACAACTTCCTCCAGCTGATAAAAGTGGGAACATCTGGACGGATTAAAACTCTGCTTCACCAAGTGTCATTATTCAGTATTAGCTTTGAGAGACGCAGGTGCAAATTTGCCCCAAAACTGCTCCGCCTCTAAAAACCACCTGCTGGGGAAAAACCAGGGGACCGTGGGGCGCGGAAATATGAGCGAAGCTATGATGTTTAAACATGTTCCAAAAGCTGGCGTGTGCAATATTTTTTTATTGGTTTTGCTACAGTTTGTTTGCTTGCAATATCACTAAGGACTGATCAATAGCTTCATGGGTTTAAAATTATATAAATGTCTTTCAATCATAAACAGAGAAGACTTTTAATATTTCTTTCCTCTTTTAAATATGCATTTTTTCGGCCCTTCAAAATTATAACGAGATTTGATTACTTTGTTATTTAATATTTTAGAATGTAAACTAATCTCAAGTTAAAACTAGTATGAAGGGTGAAAAAATGCTTTCCTCCTGCAAGTCCCTATGCTCCCACTAGAGGGAAGAGTTTAATATGAAAATTACCAGCTGCATTCATTACTATACGATTTTCAAGAACGTAATTATTTGAGTTTCAAATCAAATCAAATCAAATCAAATTTTATTTATGAAGCGCTTTTCATACAAAAGATGCAACACAAAGTGCTTTACAGTTTGGTTAAAAACAATCCCGCCGGCCCATGTCCCCTCCCCCCGACCACCCAACAGACCCATCCCAAACCACAGACAAACACACACACGCTCCCATGCACACTCTCTGACACACACACACACACACACACACACACACACACACACACACACACACACACACACACACACACACACACACACACACACACACACACACACACACACACACACACACACACACACACACACACACACACACACACACACACACAAGTAAGTAAAACAGTAAAACAATGATGAGAGACTTGGCAGGGTTCGGATGCAACCAGTTGAAAAAGCGTCATCCTAGGAGCCGTCTGCACCAGGAGCAGAGAGCCGCCTGTAGCCACAGGGGACGACACAGGATCCAGAGGAGACCCGAAACCGAGGCCCCAGGCCGCCACCAGGTCCAAGAGTCCGACCCCCACAGCCATGCCCACCACCGCTCCCAGTGCAGAGGGCTCCTCCAGAGGAAACACTGGGTACACTAAAAACAATACAATAACATAGGGCTGGGCGATTAATCGATTTTAATCATTAATTCGAGTTTTACGTTTAGGGCGATTTCTTTTTTTAAAAATTCGATTTTTATTTTCTCCAGCGCAGAACTACAGCACTAACGCGCTAACCGCGGGTCTATGGTGTTGAGCAGTCATTTTGAAGCTAACCTAATGCTAACAGTCTCCCTCTGGCCTGATGCTCGCTCTCACAGTTGGTGCTGTTGCAATAACACTTCAAACGTTCAAGAATCAGACTTTATTTAATCGCCAAAACACACACACACAGGCTCCGTTCGTACGCCACATCTTTCACGCTCTCTCACGCTCGTTATTCCAAAGCGCACTCCCGTGTCCGTGGCGCGCACACACTCGTGTCCCACTGAGCCGCTGCACTTTGGGGAAAGACACGTCTCACACATTGTTCTCATTGCTCTGATACAAACAACGTGTTCCCCGCTGTCTGCTAGCTACAGTAGCTGCTACAGTAGCTGTTAGCTACAGCATCAGAATGTAAACAGGAAGCTCGCACAATGCGGGAGTCACTGAAGTTAGTATTAGCGCCACCAGCTGGACCGAGCGTTGTACTACAGCACAGTTACTCAGGCACAGTTGAAAGAACAAGCATGAAAACCCGAGGAGGCTTTTGGAAAAGACTGTCTGTTACAACATTTCTATTTTGAGTAATCAGTTTTAAAAATGTGATATTTCATGTAAATAATGCATGTGTTTAATAGGATTGATATATTTGCGATGGGCCTTGTTTGTGTGATTTAAGTTATTTTGAAGGTGCATAGTGTCATTGTAAGTGAAGTTATTATAAAACTGTTAAGCTACATTTTCACTGTTTACAATGGCAGAGCCATCTCGTTTACAAGCATGTTTTAAGGCTTAATTCCTGTTACACTTATGCTCCATGGGGATTTAGATTAAACTGCATAAAGGAAAATCTATTTCTTTGTCAGTTGTAGTTTGTTTTTAAATAGAAAAAAATAAATCGATTAAAATCGAAAATCGGATTTGGTGTGAAAAAATCGGAGATTTTTTTTTTTTGCCATATCGCCCAGCCCTACAATAACAATACAATATGTAAAACACAAAAATGTGAAACTAAAATGAACTAACACACAATACATGAATAAAAGCAATAGCAATACAATAAATAATAGAAGATAAATAGAATATATAAAATGAAATAGTAAAAATTAATCAAAAGCTAATCTAAAAAGGTGTGTCTTGAGCCTGGTTTTAAAAATATGAACGTTCTCTGCGGCCCTGAGCTCCTCCGGCAGACTGTTCCAGAGACGGGGGCCGTAGTGCTGGAAAGATGCCTCGCCGTGAGTGTGTGTCCTGACTTTGGGGATGGTTAGAAGTCTGCTGCCGGAGGAGCGCAGGGGCCGGGAAGGCTCATAGGATAAAAGCAAATCTGAAAGATAAGAAGGCCCAAGACCATTAAGACATTTAAAAACCATTAAAAGAACCTTAAAATCGATCCTGAAACACACGGGGAGCCAATGCAGCGATTTTAAAACCGGTGTAATGTGGTCCCGCCCCCTGGTCTTAGTCAGGACACGTGCGGCCAAGTTTTGGAGTAATTGTAAACCTGAAATGTTCTTTTTGGGAAGACCAGAGAGCAGGGCATTACAGTAGTCAATGCGACTGGTTATAAAAGCATGCATCAGCGTCTCCGTGTTGCCCCGAGAGAGAATGGGGCGGACTCTGGCGATGTTCTTTAGATGATAAAAACCTATTTTTGTGATGTTCTTGATGTGAGGAATAAAAGTCAGCTCAGAGTCAAAGATTACGCCCAGGTTTCTCACTTGTGATGATGGATTAAAAGAGTGTGATTGGAGTTTTGATAAAAGTTTCTCTCTCTGGGCCTCGGGACCGATGACTAAAACCTCAGTTTTGTCCTGGTTGAGCTGGAGAAAGTTTTCTGCCATCCAGGATTTCAGGTCTAAAATGCAGTTAAAAAGAGCATCCATTGGCCTGGTGTCGTCAGGAGACATGGAGATGTACAGCTGTGTATCATCTGCATCGATGTGGAAGTTAATTCCATGTCTCCTGACGACACCGCCAAGAGGGAGCATGTACAGGTTAAAAAGGACTGGACCTAAAATGGAACCCTGGGGCACACCACATGTGATTTTATGGACCTGAGAGGAGCAGGTATCCAAACTTACCATGAAGGATCTGTCTGTTAAATAAGAAGTGAACCATTTGTGGACAGCACCAGAGAGGCCGAGGTGTTGTAGGCGTGATAAAAGAATGGTGTGGTCTACTGTATCAAAGGCAGCGCTTAGATCCAGTAGAACCAACACGGTCACCTTTTTAGAATCATAATTTAGTCTAAAATCATTTAAAATCTTTAAAAGAGCCGTCTCTGTGCTGTGGTTCACCCTAAAACCTGATTGAAATTTCTCTAAAATTTGCTGCTGATCTAAAAAGGCATTGAGCTGGGTAAAAACAAGTTTTTCTAAAATTTTGCTTAAAAATGGTAAGTTGGATACCGGTCTGTAGTTGTTAAAATCATTAAAATCTAAATTGCTCTTCTTCAGAAGGGGTCTCACCACAGCCGCTTTGAAGGCTGCAGGAAAGACCCCAGTCTGAAGAGAGCAATTCATCAGGTTTAAAAGCTCCTCTCTAAAAGATTCATAAAATGACTTAAAAAATGGAGTGGGGACTGGATCTAAAAGACATGTGGTGGGCCTCACTGAGGAGAAAACTTTATCAAGTATCTCAGCATCAACCACGACAAAACTGTCCAGTGTTTCCTCTGGCGAAGACAAACAATCAGATGTGTTGAAAACAGTAGTGCGGTTGGATAAAATGTTACATCTGATTGTGTTTATCTTCCCCGTGAAGTGGACTGCAAAATCCTCACAGAGGGAGTCTGTGGGGGTTAAAAGAGACATGCTAAAATCAGGGTTTAAAATGGTGTCGATGGTTGAAAATAGGACCTTTGGGTTATTTTTATTTTGGGTGATTAGCTTTGCAAAGTATTTGTTCTTATGATTTCTAATTGTGTTATTGTTTAGTTACATTTATTGTTGTTTGTCACATACACATTACATGCAGTGAAATTCTTATGTTCAATACAGTATTCGGAACACACAATAACAGAATAACACCGAAACAGAGACCGAGTTTGGCGTTGTTTACTAGTCTTCTGGCGTCAGGAAAGACACTCCGTCGGGACAGATACAACGGCAGCCAGGCTACCCAGCGCCATCTTGCAGAGATTAAAAAATACCAACACTATTGGTACAACTTAATAATTGACAATGCTAGCAGTCAGCAGCTTGTTACACTATGTTCTCCTTTGGTTTTATGGATCAATGAGCTCAGATCTGATTGACCCCAGAGATGCTTTTGGCAGAAATCTGAGTCCTTCGCCTCTGAGGCTTGGCTTAGTTTAGATTAGTTAGCTTAGTTTAGAATTTCACTTGAAACACTACCAAAATAAATGTAGGGGCACTACTATTGGTTTTAAAGGCAGAAAGCGGCTCTGAGCTTGATGTATTAGTCATCATTCATTCATTCATTTAATCATACTATTACCAGACTGAGATAGGAGCTTTTAGACAAAACGGCTTTGTGCCAGTAAATGGTTCAAAGCTCAAACCAATCGATCTACAAAATACTTCTTTAATGTGTTCCACTTAACACGCAAAAAGTCTGTTTTTCTTGTAATTTGCTGTTTTTGAGTCCTGCATATTCAGCACTCTGAATTCCGCCCCAAAATCACTTTTATAAAGGAATGGAAACCCCATAAACTAAAATGGCACAGAATGAAATTACTGGATGCTAAATTACTGGATGCTTAAAAGGTTCTTTTAAAAAGACAAAGAGTGTAAAGAAGCTAGTACCTCTTATGTAACCAATTCACCGTATTGGAGAAATCAGATCAGGTCGGGTGAGGATTTTATGCACATGATAGCCTATTGTACACAGCTATTTCATTCATTTTTTGACTTGTGTTTTATTCTTTATTGGAAAACCCTTTGGTGACTGGTGTTGTAAAGGGCTCTAATTAGAATATATTTATTTAAAACGTAGATGCTCAGTTTTACTTTCTCTTTTCTTTACTGTTAAAATGACACAGTTTTAACCTGAGTTCTACTTGGTTGTCAGGTGCGTGTGGTGTCTCCGTATTTTGGGCCTCCGTCAGACTACGGTGTGGTCAAAATGATCCCCAACGAGCGTCTCCCTCCCAGGAACCTTCACCGAGTTCGAGTGGACAAGACACAGGCCACACTAAAATGGCAACCTCCCTATGACGCCCCCAACACTGCCTTGGTGTGTAACATTACTGCTATGTAACTGTAATATTTCCCATGTCACTGTAAAAAGTCCCTGAACTCCTTAGTTTTCTGACTCATTAGATAGAGCTAAGGCCACTCTTTATAATTGGTAAAAAAGTCTTTAGTATTTTTTTGTTATTTTTTAGAGCTGGGTACCTAAATTTCAACCCACAAAAATACACACAATCAAATTCATCTAACTAGATTCTTGCTCTCAAAACAGGTGGGCTCTATCACTAGTTTTCACATGCATATAATATTGTCCTCTGTCACATCTTTCACCTTATTCAGAAAGAAAAATTTAAATGAGAGGACCACCCTTATTTAGCCCTCAGAGTCAAATAGTGACTCGGCGAAAGAGCCCTCTTTGTGACAAATAACATGAAGTGAGGATTTGTTCAATTTCTATAAATAAATGTATTGTCAATTGTATCAGTTAAGCTTTCAATTGATGTAAAGGCCATACTGGCTGATATTAACCCAGACCACAGCTTAACCCTTTGCTAAATGCATTATGAGAATGTTACTTACCAGAGGTTTTCTGTGCAGACGTACGCGATCCATGTGCGGGATGTGGTCCGTAAGGATGAGCGAGACTATAAGCTGACATCCAAAAATAACACAGTGGAGTATGTGCTGAAGGGTCTGGAGCCCGGGGGTCGATACAGCGTCTCTGTGCGACTGCGGAACATGAGCAAAGAGGCCAGCTTCACTCTCAGCACAGGTACCACACGCATCCAGTATTTAAACTACAAATACAAGAATGTCTGCTTGTTTTTGTAAGCACTGGCAGACAAAATTTGTATTTACAATGGAAGAATTCCCCCACCACTTCCAAATAACCCCTGACTGACAATTGACAGGGTTTTTGTGAGATCTCATTAACCCTTTTGGCGCCACATTAGCTACATTTCTATGATGAGCTTCTGAATTCTTCCTATACCTGGCACCCCACAAAGACAAACATGCAGCATTACTCACATACTGTACTCATGTATTTACTAAAAGAGGAATATTTTGCAAGTTTTGTAAGTCTCTCCATGGCCTCACACCAAAGCATATCTGTGACATGTTAGCGCCATATGAACCAACTTGGAATCTGAGGAGCTCAGGGAATGGTGCACAAGAGTTGGGACAATATGGAACAATCTTCCTGAAAATTTTATTTGTAGCTATGCCTATGACTGATGATCATTGGGCCTTTGAGCCTGAAGATTTTCTCCACCGACTCCCACTGTCTGCTGTCGTTGTGTCCTTGGCAAGTCACTTCACCCACATTGCATCAAATGAGTCTGGTGTGTGTGAATGGTTTGTGGTGGTCGGAGGGGCTGATGGTACTTACTGGTTGCCTTACTTCTGTCAGTGTACCCCAGGGCAGCTGTGGCTACAATAGTAGTTTATCACCACTGTGTGTGTCTTTGAGTTTGAGAAAAGCGCTATATAAAACTGATGCATTATTATTGTTATTATTATTTAAATATGTGGCTCCCCTGGACCAACCATTGAGGTGGTCGACAAAACTTTCAAATGCCACTACCTTCAAGCTGCTAAGAAATATACCCTCTTGAGGTCAAACTTTTTAGAGTGTAATTGATTGATTGATCTATTCATTTTCTCCTGCAGTGCCCCTCTCGGCTCCAGAGGCCTTAAAGATTTTGACAGAGAAAGACCATGTATTCCTGTTCTGGAAAAGTCTTGCGGTCCGAGAAAAGGGCTTCAATGAGAGCAGGGTAAGAGGACATGCACAACAATGAAAGCCATGGAATCTCTTTAATGCTTTGCTCTGAAAAATATTGGGAGATTTAATATTTTGAGAAATGTAAGGCTTTTTTGACACACATATCTTCTCTCCAGGGATACGAGGTGCATGTTTACGACAGTGTGACCAACAAAACCTCGTTCTTGGGAAACACCACAGAGACGTACTTCCGCATCAGCACCCTCCTCCTGGGGCACAACTACACCTTCTATGTCCAGGCGCGGTGCCTCGTGAGCGGGCAGCTGTGTGGAGACCCCGCCCTGCTCCTCTACAACGACCTGGCTGCAGGTAAACGGCAACGAGCAAAGTCAACAAGCTCCACTTCACAGCCCACCAGTGGATTCTGTCTTGAATACAGGGTGGTATAAGGGGAAATGCTGACTTAAGATAGATAGATACTTTATTGATCCCCGTAGGAGACATTCAGGTGTCCAGCAGCAGAAAAAGTAACTAGACTGAATTCAAATCCTGCTTCCGTCTACCAATAAAAGGTGTAAAGGGGAAAAAAAAAAAATACAACCCCAGTTTTTCCCAGCTCCTTATAGTTGTTTCCCCATGTCATTTACACCTTCAACCTGTTTGTAGAGCGTTTTATTCATGTTTGAATCATTTATATTCACCTGAAGCCAAGAACCATTGCTTTCATGACTCCTCTGACATAGCCACTGTTTACGTTGCTGATTATTATTTTGGAATCACAGTATTGCCTGGGCATTTTTGCTCAGACGGTGCTCAGCTCTTCACTAATTTGATCGATGCTCTTATAACTTATAACTATCACTGTGATGTATTACTTAGAACGTGTATTTAATCTAATTATGCAATGAAGGATTTATTAGTATTTTTAGCACTTGAAAAAACATTATGTTTTTTGTTCCATCAACTGCATGTATTGCTCTGAGCTCAATTAAACAATCTCAATCTGGAATCTATATAATACACAACAGCACGCTATGTCTTCTCTAACTTGGACAAACTTTATTGATTCACTAGGGAAATTGCTTGGACAATTACAAATTATTCTGTCAACATTTAAATTCATGCCAAAAGGTATATATGTATGTACATGTATTTGTAACACAGTGCAATAAGGATGAAATAATAATCAATCGTATTCAGAAATTGCCAAGATGTCAAAACCCACCTGTTTCACCTTGCCTTTCCTTAATTTTCTTCTTCAATGTTTCTTTATAAAACATAAAAAAAGTCTTTGAGGGTCCAAAAAGTTTGTATTATTATTATTATCCTTATTTGATTAATGTTACCTTAGAGATGAATTGAGATGTACAGCAGTTTGGAGTGAGGTGGTTTAGCAGTAGATGGAATTGTGTGTGTCTGTGTGTGTGCGTCTGTGTGTGTGTGTGTGTGTGTGTGCGCGCGTGTGTGTTTGTATGTGTAGATTGGTGGTGGTTGGAGGGGCTGATGACGCAGATCAGCTGCCTCACTCATTCTTCCCCAGGCCATCTGCGGCTTGTAAATACTGTGTGCGAAGTGAATGAATAATACGATGTAAAGGGATTTGTTCTCCTTCTGTTGCAGGAGCCAATGATGCGTCTCGCGGTGTTGAGGCATCAGGCGGAGACATGGCGGCGGTGGTGGTGCCTGTGTTGTTCCTTCTGCTGCTGGTCGTGTGCGGAGGCCTCGTGGCTCTTTACTTCAGACACCGCCGCCTCCAAAACAGCTTCACCGCCTTCGCAAACTCACACTACAACTCACGCTTAGGCTCCGCAATCTTTTCCTCCGGGGATGAACTGGGTGAGTGGCTGCCATGTTATTTTGTTACATTTACTAAACGTTTATAAGACTCTAACGATGATCCGAGATTTTACTTTAACCTGGATTAAGAGAAAATTTTCCAAAAATAAATCTCTGTTTTTGTCTAAAAGGCCAACATGAACTAAAATTGCTAATTATAACTACAAAGCAGACGCATTGTGAAAATTTTTATTTTATTTTTTTAAACCAAACAAACCATATAACTCACCCGGCATGTCCTCTATCACAGCCCTCGGTGTTGTCAACAGCCAACTTCATCTTTTCATTTTGCAAGCTCTTGAATCCAGCTGTTGTTGTTTCAAAATTCCAGCTCATAAGAGCTTTATCCAGTCAGCCAGATCAGTTTTGCAATCGCAGGGGTCTGCTCCTCGATAAGTTTGGTGAACTTAACTTACTTATAGTCTGTCTGAGAAAACAATTATAAAAATTTAATAATTGTTTTCTAAGTCTCGCTCACTCACTTTAGAGGGAATACAATCATTCAGATATTGACAAACTTACTTATTTATGTACTTTATATTTTCAGACATTTCCATTCTTTCAGGTGATGATGATGAAGATGCTCCGATGATTAGTGGCTTCTCAGACGATGTTCCCATGGTGATCGCGTAGCAGCACCCGGTCCTGTGCTGAGGACAAGGCTTTGGATGGAAAACCAACCAGTCTGGAGTGATAGAAATGGAAAATAATATGATATTTTTCGACATTGCACTTTTTGGATCCGCAATAACTTATTTTTTACATGAATTATATATGTGGGGAAAAGGACTAAGAAGAGCTTGGACTCTGAAGACAACTGTGAAGGACATGAGTTTGTTGAGCGTTCCAGGAAGGAGACACAATTTCTGATGCAAACTCATTTTCCGAGGGAGCGGTACATGCTAATGCCAAAATAAGCACCCATAGTAAGAGAGACAGGTACACAGAAGATGAATATGCTGTATACATTAATTTAAAATTGAATATGGAAAGAGTAGTTACATGATACTTAGTACTGTGCGTACTATTGCAGATTTGATGGTCCCATCTGAACCAATGACACATATGGTTTTTTCCAAAAAGGTATCTGTAGTTCAATTTGACAGTTCGACTAATCATGGTTCAAATTCAATTACGTAATTTTGTCATAGATGTTTCCTCATGATAAATGTATGTACAAAGAATTCTATTCTGGCTTTGAGGAAGTCTGTAAATATTAGCTTTTAAAACGACCTCTCAATGTAATGCTGCACCATGTCATTTGTAAAATGTGTAATATATTTTATTCTTTCAGGACCATTTTAATCCCTCCAGCATTTGCCATAACTGTAGTCACAGGGGTCGAGGTTGGGGTTCTCAGGGAACTGTGTTGGAGTGAACACCAGCGCAGCACCATCGCCACGTGGTTTGGGCAGCCATAAACAACAACTAACAATAAAAACACATTGATAATCATCAGTAGCTCATGCAAACGTTAAAAATGAATATGGGTGGGGTCAGCTGACAGTGGACTGGCATCAGCACAGATAGACATAAATACTGTACTGAAGTCTAAAACTAGTTGAATTATCAAAGTAAAATAATATAATTTGTGTAATTTACATTGAGCTGTGTCACTGTTTACATCGTCCTGCCTTCGGAGATCTATATTTGGGCATTTCTATTGGACGCCGCTGTCATCCAAGTTTACATGCATGAATTTTCCAACACTCGTGTCAAGCGCCAAATCACATAAGTCCACCTCTGCTGACCTTCAAACGTCTTAGAAAACACTGCGGCTGCTCGCTCCTTAAGCCAGTGAAAAAGATGGTGTTCTGCTTTCTATGTTTTTGATTTGTTGATTTTATGAATGTATTTTATACGTGTACTTTTTAAGGTACCACCTGTGAAGTCTGTGCATGCTCTTTACTTTGCTTAAGTGAATTTGTAAACATTTGTTAGTCCTTAGATTGGCCTCTACAGTCTAAATAATATACTGTATGGTACTCTCAATGCCGACTCACAAACCTGTTGCACTACAGGATCTTAGCGTTTTGTCCTGGCTTTCAGTGGTATGTTACTTTTAAATGTTTTTTCTGAATATTTTAGAGATTTCCTGGACCACTGGTTAGAAAATTATTGCCAAAATAAGCTGCACACAACCTAAAGCTGGAGTACCTAGCTTTGAAACCGTACAAATTGACTCTGCATCCCCAGCTCTCAAAACAGTTTGGTTACAATATATCACTACTTTTCACATGCATGTTTTTTTGGCTTCTTTCACAGTAAAATAGAGCTCTCGGTATGTAAAAGATAAAAAACAAAATCCTTTAAAAACATGGCATGTTGTGGTCAAGTCCAAAAAGGGTACTCCAGCTTCAACATGTCAGCATAAACAAAAAATAATCATCTAAAACTTAAATCCTTCGTAATCAGTTTGCCAAACTTTATTTCTTCCTGAATAAACTCTACTAAGTGCTATAATTATGCTATGTTTAATTCTCTGTAATCCCTCAAAATACAATCAAGCCTTCATTATAAATATTTATTGGGAGGTAGTTAATACACTGGCTTTTGGTTTCTTTCCAAATATATTTGCAGACAAATCTGTTCCATACCACCTCACAATGGCAGATTGTAGAATGTGTGCCATGTTAATTTGGTCATGAGTGCCTGTAATAATGGAACAATGTTAAAGAACTGCTCTTTTATCGTTTCTATCATCTTGTCGATGTTTTTATTCATAGATATTCCCCAAGCAATTCACAATGTTTTATTTTTAAGCCTTAAGAACTGTTTTCTGGGAGTGATGCTACTTTTTACTTGCTTGCAGTCTTTCCAGATGTTGTTTTTGTTTTGCCACACAATGCCTTACTAGAAAACACGGATTATGATTCTACTGTATGTAAAGTGTAGTTCACAAGGGCACACGCATGCATTCACACGCTTACACAAACAGGATGAAGATTTGGAGCAAACTACTGTCTGGGAATTGAGTCCGATCACTGCTCCATGTGTGAACAAGGCACTGGTCTGAATATAGTCAGGTTTCTACACGTGTATAAATCATAAATCTTTGTTATGATGTGACCTTTTGATTCCCATTTGTCTTAATGTGGAATCTTGTCGAATTGTTGGCTTCAAAATTCTGTTTGGCACAGAGCTGGGTCAAGTTAGACTTGGCTACGTCTTTGAACTTTCAAGATATTTATGTCTCGCTTAAAAAAAAAAAACGTCACGAAAAGACTGAGCGTTACAGTCAGAGATGTTGGAACCACTTATACTGAATTAAACTTGCTGAAAGAAATGTTCAATGTGTGTTTCTCGTTCGTCATCAATAGTTTTTCTTGATTCTTAACTAAACCATTTAATAACTATTATTTGTGCAGTGAAATTGAAGGTACCATAAGGTGGTAGAACAACTTAAACCAACCACAATATTTCTTATGCATATATTTTCAAATTCAATTCAGATTTCATGACTCGTAATAATATGGTTAAAGCTGGGGTATCTACATTTCAAACCGCAATGAAATGGATCTATGTAGAGAAAAACTATCAACAAGTAAAGAGCTCTAAGGTTTCTTTAGATCAGCTTTTTCAGACAGAAAAGTGAAAAAATTAGGACCATGTTCTGCCCAAATTGTTAAGACTCCCAGGGCTCTTTCCTAGTATGCAAAATATAACACATTTGGATTAAATTTATTTGCCATTTGCAGCAAAACCACATTGGAATGCATGTGCAAAAGTACCCCTGTAAACAAAATATGAAAAAATAGTATTGTTTAAATTATGTCACGTTGTGGTGGTAGAGTAACATAATTGAAACAATACTATTTTTTTATATTTTGTTTGCACAGGTACAAGTACAGTGTTGTTATTTTGAAAAGTTTGAGAACCCCCTCTCGGGCTACTATGACTCGCCATTTACAAAGTTGTTTTTCTTGTCCATGTCCACCAGGGGGCAGTGTTCACCACTGCTCGCCTCTGTCACTGAGCCTCTTCTGAGATTGGGCTATGAGCTCCTCCGCGTCAGGGACGTTGGCAGAAAAGGCAGATCATCGTAAGATGCTGGAGACATGATCATGGATACGTTATACAGGTAGTTTAAATATCAAGTTTTTCAATATACTATAAAACATACCTGCACTTCACAAGCCTTGGAGGTTCATAAAGGCTGTGACTGATCTTTAGCACGCGTAAAACACATTTTTAACACGTGTTTCAGGGAATTTATTTGGGAATGACATGATGATAGGTCTGTGTTTGTCCATATTGTCGAACCCTGTGTGGAAATATGGGGCTTGTAACAGGGATTTTAGAAAAAAAATTACTCAAAGTAAAAAAAAAAAAAGTTTTCAAAATGACCGTCAAGGGAGGCCATATGCTGCAGCTCAATTTTGTTCATCCATGTAAAGGTACGTGTCCTGCATTCCTAGTTAGCTAGCTACAGTAATTTGTACATTACAGGCCATTCTATTCAAAATTGCCTTATTATTTCATTTTTTTAAAGCTGCACCTTGTAACACTGTAAAAAGACTTTTGTGTCCGAAATGTGGACTTTGACTTTGATCCAGTTTTGCCTTTCAGGTGCGGGCCCGATCCATGTGCGGGCCTGACTCCTTGTTTACATTATTTTATGAATTGCTCCTTCGGGAATGATATTCTGAAGTTTGGGATGAGTTTTGGAAGAACACACTTCAACTATCACTATTTTTCCATAAAATCAAAGCAATTTATATTGTGTAGCTCAGAATCATACAGTATCATAGGTTGTCTCAAAACACATACAGAATATAACAATAAAACAACTTAGAGTTATTTGTCCATCACATAACGGCTTAATTAAAGTCCATAAATGTCTTGGATTACCCTCTGTCCTCAAACAGGTGAAACACCAGAGCAGAAAGTTCGGAATCAGAATCATTGATTGACTGCGGAACCTTCCGCAGTCAACCATTGGTTTTGGTTTTCTTTATTCCGTCTTTTTCCTGATTTTTGACACGTTTCACAGCTTTCACATTTTCAACAATTTCCACAAGTTATACATCAAAACGTTCCACATGTTTGGGAGATTATTGCTATTACTTTTGGGACTTCAGCGATTTCCGGTTTTTCCGCAATCGGACAAAAATCGGTCGATTTTTCCCATTGACTTATAATGGGGCTTCCACAAATTCATAGTTTTCAGAATTTTCTTCAACATTTTCAGCATTTTCTGCAGTTTGTGCATGTTCAGCTTCCACAACTTGTGAGTTTTCAGAAAAAAATAGAGTTCTGCAGTTTTCCAGTTTTTTTCTACGGGACTTGGGAATTCTGCCATTAATTTGCATTGAGAATTCTGCAATGCATTTTAATAGGCCCATGCATTTTAATAGGACTTCAGCTCTTTCAGACATTTCTACAGTTTCAATGATTCAACAGTTTCAATGATTCAACAGTTTCAAGGACTTCAGCAGTTTCAAGGTTTCAAGAGTTTCAAGGACTTCAACAGTTTCAAGGACTTCAACAGTTTCAAGGACTTCACCAGTTTCAAGGACTTCAGTGTAATCATGCAACCTAATAGGGATTTTTCCATGTAAACCAGTATAATGCAACTTAATAGGGGTTTTTACATGTAAACCAGTATAATGCAACTTAATAGGGGTTTTTAC